AATTGCATTAGTATTAGCTATATAACAAATGTCTGCAGCCCAGCCACGATAATTATCAATCAAAGTTAAAATTAGCGTTTGATGACGCAACCTATTTCAAAAATAACAATCCACTATGCTGTGGAAACCAATTGTGATTTTAAGTACTGTAAAATTATTTCCAGTTATTGAAATTTAATTAGTCTACTCAATGTCGTTCTCTTAATAGAGTAGAGAGACAGGTAGAAAAGAAGGATTGGATCAAAGGACTAATATATACCAACTAGATAGTTACGTCAACGCCGGCTATGTTTTGTATTATACTTGACAATAAACCGATTGAATTTTTTTCCTTTGATAATCCGCTATTACATCAATGGCATCAAGCCCCCTGATGAATATGATATGATAAGTATAAATACTGGTAGTTTACATTTTATTTCATTATCGTCGATTCAGTTCATCATCATCGCACGCCGCTGAAATTGCAAGACTGCCAGACCATAGCCTACTTGAGTCAGAGAAAAACTTATTTTATTTATCTTTCGGTCACAAATTATATTAGAAGTATCATACGCGTATTTAAAGATTAGTCTTTATATTCCATTCTATACTGAAATTCACATCTACTTAAAAGAGATTTGCTCGAATTAATTACGATATTATCGAACTATACGTTACTCGGTCTCAATTGTAAACCACATCTTATAAGTCTTAAGATTATCACAACATGATACCGTTCAAAATGATCTTATTACCTTTTCTTTTGGTTATGGTAACCTTATTCCAACTCGCCGATAAATCCAATGCCAACGTTACTCAAAGGTTGTAATTGACTGCTCATAACTTTTAATTAAATAGAACACTTTTTCGTATTAGAAGTGCACGAATAAGTAACTATCTAGTCTACTTTTTATTGTTGTTCATATTTACAGCATAATCATGTAAAGAGTAATAAGTTCATTTGATAAAAGTTTAAAATGTTTGTAATATAATCGTCTATGACATTTAGCCGTAGTCGTTCAAAGACTATAACCAATTACAAATTTAAAACATCTTCACATTTGAACGCTCATCTCTCACCTTCTAATCAAAACTATTCCCCGTACTCTAGATATAACAGCCTATTTCTAATTTATTACATCATATTAATTAAATTTTTAAAATATTTATCACTATTAGACTATGGACTCAATCAAATAGCACCGCTTCATTTTATAAATATGTTGGAAATAAGCTACTTAAAGAGCTAAAATTTGAAGGCCAAGTAAGATCATTTATTCATGAGAATAATATCGTAGTAATGTACATACATTAATATATTAACTTATAATGTAGAAGCTCACTCATACAATACGGCTATCGTTAATCTTATGACTTTTCATTTTCAATTGCACATCGTGTATTATTACTTAATTTTTGTTCTTTACTAATAACTTATAGTCAGAAATGAGAAGCGTAGTAAGAGGGTACTTTGAAATGTATTTATAAACAATCTATATAATTCTAGCTGATATCATCTCTTTTAAGGACAGTTATTTCAATCTTTTAATCTACACGCTAATCTGATACTTTTTCCACGGCCCTATAATTCAAATACTGTAAAAGTTTAATTAGCAATCGGAGCATAAATGATTGCAACTTTATCGTAGTTTAAAAATTTTAATTTTTTGTTATAAAATTAATTATAATTATTGATTAAATTGATTAGTACATCATTTTTTATAAATAGATATCATGTACAGCAAAAAAACTGCTAGATGCGCGCCGTAGATTATAACATCAGCCTTATAACTTTATTTTTTTACTCCTTAAAGAAATATCAACCGAATCAAATCTTGAAAATTAGAGAAATTGCACTTAGAGCTATATATGACGCTAGCAAAGTATGCAAAGAAATCTTTCGATATGAACGTTGGAACTGTTCAGATTTTGAAGATAATTTATTCGACTATGGAAAGAACACACTAGGTATGGATACTTATAACGAAAGATTTATATTAATTTTATCTCTTATTTATCTCTCATCATGTATGCGTTCTAAATGATGATTTAGAAAGTTAGCAGTTAATTTACATTGAGTTATAAACGAAAATAACTTTTCATCCTAATGCAATAATAACAAAAACTGGATATCGGACGATATAGATTAATTTTCCTATTTTTATTCTTCCTCATTCTTTCAATTTTTGTTAACACACGTACCTATATATCCTTCAACAACTAACAAAATACGGCAGTAAATTACAAAAATTACGTGATTTACTGACTAGGTCGTATTGATTTTCAAAAAAGTTTATTATTCCAAGCTATGCTATATAACAACTTAATAATCCAGACAATATTTCTTTTCTTTTTATTTCCCTATCACATTTTTCTTTATTGTCATTCTAGATTAGAATAGGTAAGACGTAGAATAATAACGAGTAGGCTTCAGTTTGTAGGATTTATTAATTTCTTCACCAGTGAGTGCTATGACCATTGTCGATTTACAAAATGATTATTCATATACGTATGAACTACCTTATGCAATATTATCACAAATAATTACCCATTTTCGTCATAAATAAAAGTAAAGTAGATTTCCATCGAAACTACAAGGATAAATCAATAATAGATAAAGAATAACAGTCGTATATTTTACGGTTGATCAACGTATTTTTCTCCAGGAAGGAGGAAAAAGATTGTATCTTCACAAACAACATAGCAGTTGTTTTCTGTTATTTACATCGCAATGCTTCCCAGTAGGTATTACGCATAATGAACATTTTAAAGCTATAATCTTTTAAAATTTAAAGCTTTTACCACTCAATTATTTGATTTTTTAAGTCCAATAACGATCATCATGGCCTTTTGTACAAAATTCCGAATAATGAGAATTTTATTTGCGTTAGTACTTGTCAAATTTAGTTTATCGAATGCATCACTATATAAAGCGAAGTAAAATAATAATACTACCTTAACTAATCTCATGATGCAATTTCTTATGTTCTACAAGAAAAATCGTGTTACGTTGTCTGCCATAGCTAACGTAATGCTTTCCATATTTAGATAAAGTAAGAACTATAATAAATTTATCATAAAAGTAGAGTATACTTTAAATCAATTATTATCTATCCTGTGATATAATTCTAACTTAGTGATGGGGCTTTATTGGCAGGATATCCTACTTAGCCATTACTTTTCAATATATAGTAACGAGGATATTTACTATCTCTGATAATATGTTAAAGTATAAACCGAATCAATATCATTTAGCGTATTGTAAGATCCATATTATTTTTAGCAATGAACTTTTACAATAAGTAATTCCTCGATTGCGTTCATTTGGGAATCCTAACAATTCTATATTTTTTAATCCATCTATCGTGATGTAATCGCGTAGTTTGGAGCTATAATTCCATGTTATTATTGTTCTTGAACATGAATATATTTTATATAGATAGAGGTCATTTTATGTTCGCTAATTCAATTGTAAAATGAAATTTTTCTATATATGCATTTTTAGTCTGCATTTGTTTTAGAAGAACTATCTTACTTTAGCAAAGCTTATATTATTAAAATAGAAATATAATTAAGCACACCCATGATCAGCTACTATCTCTAGCCAGCTTAATTTCGTATACACTAGTGAGATGAAATAATGCTGTATTAATTTGGTATATATGATTACCAATTAATCCATATAAACAATGAAAGCGTTGTAATTATAAAACACCTTTATCGAAATAGATCATAAAAAGAGATAAAATGTCATTTTTACTCAGAGACAAAATTTGTACCTTGAACTCTATTGATAGATTGGCGTATAATAGAAAATTTACGGGAAAATAGTTTTTTGTACTCTTAGTCTGGTGATCTGATTGGTATCGACCAATATGAACTGTCACCTTCACATTAATTTATTTTATAATAACGATGAAACGTTCATATTTTTCGATCTCTTTCTTTGCTAAAAAATTCTAGGATTAAGTCGATCGCTATAGTTATCATAGTAATCGTTCATCGAATTGTCTTTTATCAGCAGTAGGATACTGTAGTAGCTTAGATAGATTCATTCCCTATCACATAATTGTTTTTTTAATCAATGATGATAACAGAAGACATAGGGATATAACTTACATAGACTTTATTCCATTTTCACAGATGTTCTTATAAGTAAGACGATATATATACAGTGCTTTTCTTCATTCACATTTTTATACCGATGAAATTAGCTTTAAACAAATTCGATAATAATGCAGCTGTATTCAAAAGTATATTATTCGATTATGCAAGGCCAACTTAAATATATACATGAAGTTGTATTCTATATTGATAACTTTAATTGTATTTATTACAAAATAACAATGAATTCTTAGAAATAGTCACTAAGGTTTCTATTATTGCAAGATTTTCTTCGAATTTAATCGTCTAGACGATAATAGTACGTCGCCACGCCATTCAATACCGCTCTTAGGGTTTAAATAGTGTTTCATAATTATAATACTGTTTGACTCGGTATAAATGATAATACCTTGCCTAGATAGTATATTTGGGTGAATCATAATTGACGCCACGTTATAAGATTTAAAAGTGAATGTAAAGTTTGCCTTAATCTTGTTTACAACTGCGATCTAAGAATACACTCGTACGTTTCTAACCTATCGCTCCAAAAATAAAATAGTCTGCTATCCAAATTGACAGATTTGATATCGAATTATTAGTTACGAACATCATATGAGCAAAACGGTGATTTGATAGTAATCTATGAAGTAAGAAATGTAAGAGATTGCGGCAACCATGTGAATTACTGTGTTATCAATGATGCCATTGTGCAAAGAATTTATTTGACATCGTAGAGTTGAATAGCTAAAACGAGAAATTAGTTATAAATAAATATTATAATTTATCATCATAACTTAGCATCTCTTTTAATAGTATGATATCTAAAATGTAGATGTACACAACAATAAATCTGAACATAAAAGAATAATTGTTTAAATTTAAGAAGTACTTCTCAGTATGTTCCAAATTTAAATATGAATATAAATTCAATATGGCTTAATTTTATTTCTCTCTTTTTAACTTATTTACCTCAAATGAAATGCTTTTATTACGTGAAAAATAAAGCCAATCGTGAGAATGCTGTAACGTATGCTTTCACATCATCAATTATGATGCATGCCTTTATGAAAGAGTGCATCGGTAAACGTTTGGAGTGTACTTGTGATACCAAACCAGTTGGGCCTAAAAGCAATGTCACGAGTTGGAAAGCTTTATGTGTATCTCATTATACTTATAGTATTAACCTAACCAAACTCATTTTGGATAAATCTTTTGAAAACAGTAAAGATTCAAGAGCGCTTATGAATCATCATAATCTTCGGGCTGGTAGAATAGTAAGTACTGTGATTACTATTAACGTTACCCATAATAAGTGAGGATATATCTGCAATTAATAATACTTCATCGGCTAATATATAACGTAAGGCTTCACTTTTATATATTATATTCGTCATCTTAATATTTCGACAAAATATTGGCTTAGTCACGCTAATTTCTAGCACAATTTGTATTTACGGCTTGCAGTAACTTATCGAACAACGTAAGAATCATGATACTGAATGTTAGTAGAGAAGTTAATTATGTAAGGATTCTATCCAACTTTGTTAATTTCGGGCTAACGAGAATTGAATCAATCTTATGGCATGCAGTGTATCCAAATACTGCTTAGAAAAGTTGCTTGTGATCGAACACTAGATTTATGAGTAATTTATAGCTTGAGGATACGACTGGCGGCACTGTCCATTTAGTTTACAGTAAGAGTTTAGCATTAAATTATATAAATATGTATAGAGATAGAGAAAAAGGAATGTATATATAGAATTATACCATAAAAAATGATTCATTTCGTTTAGAAAGTGATCTTTGAAGTTCATGTTGATTCGATATATGCGAATACCGGTATTTACATTTATTAATCGATATTATTGATGTAGATATAGATAAATTCGAAAGATTTTCTGCAAATATGCTAAAACATATGTATTCAACTTTTCTGACTAGTTATAGTAAATACCATAATCAGATCAAGCCAACGCAATTTGATTATTGTCATTATTACCAAATACATACAGTACATTGTTTATACTGTAGTTATATCAAAAAATTTAGTGTTCCTTGTTTGAATAGGTAAAATCTATTTTGAAGGTCTCTTAAAAATATGGATCTCCATTTTTGTGCTGTCTCGACCTTCAATAATATGCTAAATGTAGTTAATAATCATAAATTTCACTCCTTTACATGCATTTAAGTATTTTAAAATTTATTTGTAGTATCCTAGTATAATAGCTACATTGTTGTACAGTGATTGGTTACACATTAGCAATTGTGTATCTGAAAGTAACCTTTGATAAACTTTTGGTTAAATTGTTCTAATAAATAACTTATCTAGAATGTTATCATCTTTAATTTAAATTAAAATCATTTTACATTAATAAGTTACCTTACTTTATATAAGGAGAACTGCTATTTGCAATTTAACATTCTAGTTAATCACTCTTATGATTGTAGCATTTATATTATTATGATTGAGTATGTAAATTTATTACGGTATATAGTTCTGTTTCTCAGTTAAAGAGATTTTGGATCCATTTTCAGAGATAGATGTGTCACATTTTTGTTGCCGCAGTAAAACAAAAAATGAGGGCTAAAAATTGTCTTCGGATTTGTTAGCCGTTTCTTAATTGACTAAATTGTACTATAAAATTAGTAACATATAGATATTGAGAATTTAGTCAATTTTCTGAATATTTATGAAATAACGAAAGTACTATTTACAGTTATGAGTAATAATACGTTAATGCTGTTAATCCTTTTTATAGGCAGTTAAAAGAACATTATATAATGAATGTACTTGTCATGGAACAAGTGGTAGTTGCCAATTTAAAACATGTTGGCAGAGAGTTGCTTCTCCGTTAAGTATTGGTAACGAAATATATAAACAATATAAAGATGCTCGGTTAGTACAAGTCGTAAAAGATCAACTAATTAGAAAGAAATCAACTGCTAAATTGGATAATGCGGAAAAAGAATCAAAGCCTGTATCTGCGGGAAAATTAGTTTACTTGGAAAGATCTCCTAATTATTGTAATGCCACTATGCCTGACGGTAGTATTTTAACGACTATTGGACGAAATTGTACTCGACAGGGTGAAAGTTTCAAAAGTTGTAGCCAGTTATGTTTGAAATGCGGCTATAAAGTTAAAAGTGTTACAGTGCCCAAGACAGTACGATGCAATTGTATCTATAATCTGTTTCTTAAAAATACAGTGAATTGTGAATTATGTTTAAAAAATGTTACTCATAATTGGTGCATACCTTCATCATTCGTTTAAAATAAATAATGCAAGTGTACTGAAGTCTATGCGAATAATATATATTCGTTTTAGGGCGAAAGTACTAAATATTATATATCATTATGTACAACATAAATCATTAGGCTTGTAAGACAGGTAAAAAATGACAATGATTCAGTTGTATATTAAATAATATAAATTAAATTTCTCCGTCAAATAGTGAAACAGTGCTGGATGCTAAACACGTTAAGTAACTTACTCCAAAGATACTTATTATTATACCAGATCTCAAAGAGAATTTGGTAGTGCTGTGACATACTGCATAGATACTCATATGAGTAGATAAAAATTATTCTCTAATTATGACTACCCCTGCCTTAATTACCGTTTTTGCTGTATAGTTAAAACAAAATATATATAAATATGTGATGTTGAGTGTTTAATTAATTGTTCTCATGAATGGACTATGATGCATGATAAATATCACCAGTGTTGCAAATGTTTTAATTATTGTATATGATAAGTAATTATAATAGTTACTTAATTCGCAAATCGTAATGATTGCACCATAAGCTTTCGGTTGTTAAATATTATAATTATGACCGATACTGAAAAGGTATATTGTTGCTAGCTTAATAAAGATCGATGAATTAATCATGATATATCTGATTTGATGATGTAACCTTCGGCTATGAAATCGTAGAAAAACTTAATATCTTTCCAGCTAATTCTTATAAAATAGTACACCACTGTGAGACATCGTTATTAGTGATGTTAAAAGAAAGAAATTTTATAGTAGTCTATCTCTTCAGCTAATGCTAAAATTTTTTCGCATTGTCTGGTTAGAAATTTATTACCAGGAATTACAATAAATCCTATATTGTGTACGTAATTTTGTCCGAGAGTGCATTTTAATAGTTTTTCTGTTTACTTTTTAATCTTTAAGGTTTGAATACTCTAAATTACCTTTTATAGTACCAATAATATTGCGCGGGGCTTAATTAAGGGCATGCGAGATGGACGGTTATGGCACTAAATTTAACAATATTCCTTAGAGAAGAATAATCAACCATTGAGATTATGGAGGGTAAAGTAATTTTAACCGTAAAATTATAATACGAATACTAAAAATCGTTATTTAAAATTTAACGGTCATTACCATACTATTTCTATTAAGTTGGATTTATTAGCATTCAGAACGTTAAGCATTGAACATGGTCAATTTAAAATATTTTAGACAACAACAAAAAATATGGTGTTATTCTAAGGGTAACTTAGAAAAGAAAGGGCAACATCACAGAATCAAAATGTAACTATGTTTGAATGTTCTTTCTACAAGAGTTGGGGGTTTGCCTCTAAAAGATTTTTTAAACTCTGACACGTATAGCAATTATTACAACTGCGCTTTATACCTGTATTAATATACCCTTACGATATCAGAAAGATACAGCTAAACGAAAGCATAAATATCATTAGACAAATTTTATTCCAGCAGAAATAACTATCAATAAGCTCATAACCTATGCTTATTTACTTGAACCACTGTTACTAGTGGTATGTTGGCTAAATGTTACATACGATAACAATTCTTAACAGTACATTATTCTTAACTCTGTGCACACTCTAACAATATTCAACTATAAATAAAACAATAATAGTCACTATAAAATGTATAAACAATACCTTTGCAAACAGCTTTAAATTATATAATTAGGATAAAGGTTTTAGTTACAAAGCCTAAAATTATGGAATATGGTTTAATATCGGTGTGATATTAAACGTATCGAAATCATACTCGCAAACATAGCTAAAAACTTAAAAATGCTAGGACTGCAGGAATAATACGTGTAACCTAACTTTTAAAATTAATATGACGCTTTATCTCTTCATGACAGGACTGCGATAACAACTACTTGCAAAACGTCCCTTTCAACATTGCATGAGAATTCTGTAATACAGCAGACAAAAATTAAGTTTGGATAGCGATATGATATATATATATATATATACGAGTATGTACACTATAATTACTTATTTCTAAATCACACGTTTCATAAATCTTAAAGCATAAGAAACATTTCTTATAAATCTAGAGCTAATTGGACAGTTTCTCTTTTTAAACACCTTATCAATAGCGTTTCATTACGTAAACTTCCAAGTATCATGGACAGGTTAAGATATCTACGCTGATGAATTTATCCGATATATTGTAGTAAAGCTAACTAGAAATCTGACTGGGATAGTAAATATCAATCTCAAATTTTAACTATTGCATAAATTAATTTTAGTTTATCATATCAAAGTTCAAGAGTTTCCATTTTGTCGTACAGCAATCCTTTTCGCCATTAGATCCTTAACCAAAACACTTGCTCTCTCACTCGACGATGCCTTTGATGTAGTGCTAGAGCCGGATGTAGCGGGGGGTGTTGGTCGACTGGCACTGGTAGTTGTAGCTGGAGGTGATGTAGGTGTTGGTGTATTTGCACTAGTAGTGCCAGCACTTCCACCAGCGCCCGATTTTTTGTTGAGTAAACTGCTGAAGAAATTTGCTAAAACGCCTTCGCTCGATCCAGCAGCTGCTCCAGCTTTAGCAGTATCTCCCTAGCGAAATGAAATTAATTCCTAATAAGAATCCGGTACATCTTAGAGTTTTATGATCAAATATTGCTAGACTGTACCGGTTTCTTCATCAGGGCTGATAGCGCAGTTTTGTTAGTGGTTGCCCCAGCTGTTGATCCAATTGCAAGTGGTACTTTTGGTGCTGCAGAAGATAAGTTGGTTCTCGGTGATTGACCACCGGCGCGAGGGGATATGCTAGCAGCTGATGCAACTTTAGCCGCTATTGTGGATCCCACAGTATCTGCCTGTAACGTAATATTAAAACTATAAAGTTTAACTTCCGACGTATCTACAAGGGTATCTGAAAAATGGCATATTTAAAGTTTACTTACAGAGTTGTTTCCGGCTGTAGCAGCGTTAGTAATAGCAGTAGAAGTAGCGGCAGACACACCACCGACAGCTGCTGCTCCTAATGGAGGCCTGTTGAGTAGAGAAGCTACCGATGGCTTTGCTACGCCTAGGATAGACTGAAGCGTAATAAAAACTAGTATTAAAGTCCTTTTAGAAAGCAATAATGCAGACAAACTGTTTATACCTGCTGCTTAGATAAAAATATCTGGTCATCTTCTGCTACAACTTGAACAGACTCGCTTATAGCCTTATTTTAGAATTAGATGTTATTGTTTGTTTCTAAAAATTATAAATCAATTAACAAGAAATCGTTAATTCTAGTGTACCTTCGTTGATGGAGGCTTTATGATACGTTCTTCATATGCGTCATCAGGAGAAAAGTATTTCATGTGCTCATATAAGATTCCAATCTTCTTCATGGTATCCCAACCGGAAGGTCTTTAACGAAAATATATAAGTAACTATAGGTACTGTTGATATTTATAAATCCAGTAATATTGTGCAAATTACATGAATATAGTATCTTTCTCCACCACAGAGGCCGGATACTTAAAGGAGAACCCATATAGTCTATGCAATAAGTATCGTAGTAATATATCCACGTTTTTCTTTTCCTTAAGCGTCGTATAGGCTAGCGTAGCACCGTCTGATTTTGGAATCACAGTTAAGAATAATAAAATAAAACTTAATAGTAGAAGAACAATCACATTTCTTCAGGTGTAACTAGGAAGGATACAAGAAAGGCAGAATTTTCTTAGATGTTGCTGGATGAAATCAAAGTGTTCGTCTATATAATCGTGATTTTTTTCCAGTGCAGGGAAAGTATCCGACTAAAAGTCATTATAATTATATATAATTAATCCTCACTATGTAGCTGTCAATATTTTATGGTAGAATAAGATTCCGGAAAGATTCAAAAATTATATTAATTTCGTTACAACTGATGAATATTAGTATTAGTAACCTTGGTACCGACGACAATCAACGGGATGCCTAGATTCGAATCCAGTATACCTTCGCCAAGTGGTAGATATACTTTTTCTTCTTCTTTTAGGGATTTATCAGCATCATCTGCCACTTCAGAATATCCTTGGAATTGATTTACAACTATTGAAAGGTAAAATCATGCTAATTAAAGATTTTTAATGATAGTTCAAATTCTTTCCGTGGGCTACGTTAAAATCTATCTCCGCTTACACTAAAAATTTAAAGCAAACTAAAGGACAAGATGGAAGGATCTAGTTCAACATGCTACTTTTCTGTACTTACTGTTACTTTTCATTTCTTCTATTACATTTTTATCGATATTCAGTGACTGCATATGTTCTTTTAAAACTTTTGTCCAACCAGTGAGGCACGACATCACCTCCCAAGGTCTAGATAAGTCAACTACTAGAACGACTGCTGTATCACGCAAATTATCATTGTTAATAGCAAATTTGAGCAAAGATTTATGTTCGGCATTCCCATGTAGGATCCATACACCAAAGCGATATATCTCTATTTTATGAAGTAAAAAGTAATTTAAGTACATAAACTATAAATAGATATGATTCCTGATTTTCAAATTAATAAAACGTATGATTAAGGAAAGAAGCATTTCAATTTGTTTCTGAGTAAAACAATGATAGCACTGAATGCATAAATTCAAGTATAAATAGTCGTTCTTATGATCATTGAAGTAAAATAATACTGAGAGAAAATAAATTCTGAATACGTTATTAGTACTTTTAGCATCGATCGCCTTTTATCGATATACCGTATGGAGTCTTTTAATTGTTCAGTGTGTTATTACCATTGAAAAGTTTTACAATCTCTAATCTTAAATCTTGATTAATGTAGAGTAAATATAAATCTATAATCTGTTGATATTTATATCATACGCCATTTTTTTAGAAACCTAATACAAATGTTCAACACATTCGTATTCTACTAGTAAAGTGTAATGTTAAATAACTACTCGTATAGTCATTGTCAACCAAGATATTTTTAGCAAGACAGACGATTCTGTTTTAGTTCAGACGACTATCAACGATCTAATAACGTATAAAAGCAATAATATCTAGCTGAGTTTACTACTTTTATCGTATGCTAATGCTATTGTCTTGGAAGAACATATAGCTTTTGATATATTAATCAGAAATAAGAATATGATAGTTAGGTAAAAGATACGCGAAAGTAGCTAGCTCTTACCGTCACTGTCTTCGTCATCAACATCGATATATCGATAATCCAAGCCCGAACAATGATATTTTTCTTTCTCTTCTATGTTTTTCATACGACTAATTAAAGTGGATTTTCCGCTACCATCATGACCTAATAATGTTAAGTTGTTAAATCTTAATATTTATTAAACAGTGGCAGTTATTCAGGCGAAAAATCTACAAACATCTCCGTTCGAAAGGATGGTTGTAAGTGTAATAACTGCCCCAAGGTAAAAACGGTGGTACTACTGTACTCGTTCTAATGTTTCGTATAGAAAATACCGGTACTAACCCATGCAAAGAATATTCTAGCAACTGTCGATAGAAGAATTATGACGTTCATGGTCTTTCATTGAAAACAAAGTTTGTCGATGTTGCGATTTTTAGACCGATAAAGCATAATATCCTGTAAAGTATGTGATGCTACGATTGAGATGTATAGGGTCTTATATCTCTATAGGTGCTATAAGTTATTTACTATTTCTAGGAAACTAAAGACTATAACATCTAAAATGGGGTAAAATATATATGGAATAAATAAATAAAATTAGAACAAGAGAATTTTAAACTTTAACAACAGTTGTTGTACCATAAGTACAATAATTCAACTTTAATATACTTTACTGTATATACTCGTACAGCAGTGCAAGGAGTACAATATCAGTAAATTATTGCACTATACTTTATGAAGTTAGTAAGCCACGACTTGATAATACACTAATAGTTGAGTCGAAATGTCTTAATACAAGCAATTCCGTGCTATTCGTCTTGCGTAATGCTATAAAGCTAAGATTTGTGGGACTCTATAAGCGTGTGGAGTATTTTGGCAACTACCTAGTACAGCTTATAAACTATATTTCAGTCAATTTTCACGTAGTTTATAACGAACGTACAAATTACAGCTATTCGTCGTTTGTCTCTTACTACTGCTGCGTGGTATAATATGAAATTTACAGTTAATCTTAGCAAATTTCTTATCTATGATCTATAATATCCGACAATCTACATTATTTTTCTACTCAATGAATGTAACGATGCAGTGAGAGTCCCATACAGTACTCATAATTAGACAACACTTGTAGCTAGTTGTCATACCATAGCCGAAAAGATGAAAACAAACAAACTTTGTTGTGGCATTAATGTTCCAGGCAGAATAACATATCTTTATGGTTTGTAACAGGTAATAAATAACCCTTTCATCATTAATCCGTTATTGATCACAAAAGTTAAAAAGGATATTTTCGTTTGGTTGATCCTAGCGAAATCCTTCATTATGATTGTCAATTGCAGCTGCGACATTTGACATACTACAGCACTGTACTCTGTGTGCAGTATGATTCTACTAAGCTATACAGTACAATACTGCACAGTCTAGGCTACAGTATACTGTAAAGTACAGTAGTACAGTATACTATACCAATATTGAAAAATTAAATCGCAAAATTTTTCGACATTTCAGGTGCTACTAAATTTATTTTTTCTATGATAACGATTTTCCAGATTGCATTGTAGATATGGCAAAATCCATAAGCAAACGGGAAGATATCAACATGTACAAATAAAATACTATCACCGTATATAATCCAACTAGCGTACTTACCAACAACCAATACTGATTTGTTGCCAGATAATTTTGTTTTTGATGCATCTAATACCTCGCCTAAGATAGCAGACCTATTATGACGGTTTCAGAAAGATTATTTAACTGTGAGTAAAGTCTTTTTTCAACATCAATTAAAAATTAAAAATTTTGCCAGTTATCTACCACAAGTCTTCATGTTCAGCAAATGATTTATTTCTATCCGCTTGTTCTACTACCAACGCCATTCCTACGAATTTCTTGTAACGAATTTGCCTACACTTGACAGTGTAAGTACTAGTACTATAAACGTACAGTAGTCTAGTTCGATACAGTACGGTACCGTACCGTACAGTACTGTACTGTAATTAGAAATTGTACATACTGTACTGTACAAATATCCACCCACCTTACAGTACTGTACAGTACACAGTAATGCATACTGTACTAGGGGTTACAGCCGTGCAAATTATTTCGTTCCGATCTCTACAGCACAGTGTGCAGTGCACACCAGTGCCCTACACTGTACTGTACACTGTACAGTACAGTACAGCACGTATTCGGTATTTATACTGTACAGTACTGTACTGTAGCTACGGAGCTTGTACTATAAGTTTCAGATGGACAGAAAAAGCCGTCTGCATTCAACTGTACTAGTGACAGTCTAGTGTACTGTACACCGTGTACAGGGTAACGGTACAGCAAGAAAGAAAGAAAAAATCTTAAACCCCATGGGCCATGGCACACAAGATACTGTACAAGTATGAATAGTTTTAAGATAAAGTTACCAGTTTGCAATCTTCTTGGCATTTATCATAATAGTTATTTAGCATTTACGATCTTTGTTAAACTTACTTTGATGCCACTGTATTTCCACTCTACAGTACTCTATAGTGATGAATTAGTTTTCATATTAGCGTATTTTACAAGCAGCTAATGTATGGGTTTAACTGAATCAATGACTCATAAAATTGGGTTCAATGAATGTTGAGCACATAGAGGTACGCCTGAACCATGAACTACTAAAAGACCAAGTAGTCCATGACCTGAACATATAGATAAAAAAATTATAAACTGAACGAGAAGGGGTAATAAGGCACTGACATCTGACTTGTAAATGTAACGACTTTTCCCTTAAATTCTATGGGTCTGACGTACAGTTAACTTACGCGTTGCACCTTTTTATCCCTGATTCACTGTACTGTAACAGTACTTCGATACAATAAAGTCGATAATGACTGAAGTTTTTCCCAGATTTCAATTTTTGGCGTACATTTGGATATTGTAATCAAGGATTTGCAATTTTTCGCCTTATTGAAGCACTTGCCCGTAGCAATAGCATTGCTTTTTTACAAGCTAAACTTATGGGATTCTTTTACTAACTTTTTTATGGTTTAGTACTCTAGTCAACACGAATTATGTAACAACTGTTAGTGTAATTCTATTCAAGTACGAAATATTTCGTCTCCAATTTATCTACTTAGTACCCAAATAACTGTTAGCGATCACCTGGCGTGGATATAACTAGATGTAACACTTTACATGGTAGCACGTTGTCATGCTGTTGACTCATTGTAGAAATTGACCAGCATATGCGTTTCCGATTCTGGGATCAATAGTTAGTTAATCAACGTTAAACGTAATTGAATGATTCATAGGTTATCTTTATCTGTGCTTAAGGGTTAATCACTCCATTGTAAATTAATAGACACAATAATTAGGTGCTAAGGGGAGTTTATGCCATTTTATACTGCATGCATGAATTAAATAACGATTTTAATTACGTATTGAAGCAATCTTTTAATACATTGTATGTACCCAAACATAAGATAACCACCTTAATTGTTGCATATCGCTACAAACAGATGCATCAAAGAATCTTTAGGCATTATCAAATTTCTAATTCTATCTAACGATTACAAAGCAAAAAGGATTAAGAAGGCCATCATCAAACAGAACAATCCCATAGCTTCAGACAAAGCAAATCCCAAGATAGCATATGAAAAGAGTTGTTGTTTCAAGGACGGATTCCTAGCGTAGCCGATAACCAAGCTACCAAAAACAGTACCAATACCAGCTCCACTACCAGCTACACCAACAGTGGCAGCTCCAGCGCCGATAAATTTCGCAGCAGAATCAATGTCCTTAACTGCTGCACTTGTTTGCAAACCGCGACTAATGATGCTATTAGCTGATGTTATCTGAATAGGGACAGCACAAAGCATATGAATAATACTAATACCTTTAAAACTACAAAGCTGAAGCCTAGGTGCTTATTGAGGTATAATATTCAATAGGACATCTCATACCTGTGGAAGGGCACCTACAGCAGTAAGAGTAATATATCAGTTAATAAATAGATTTAACCTCTTATTCGACTAAATTGTAGACGCCAATAAGTATTAACTTACTCAGTCCAGCCATTGAGGAAAGACTGGAATGTGGACCATTGTTAATTCTGTGGGTAAGGGTCAACGATTGTATAGATTAGTTTACATTATTAGTGCAATGTTCTATATTCAGTTGCTGATTTTTACTTACCTTACCATCGTCTTCTCGGATTATATGAGCAGCAATATTAAAACATATTAAAATATTTGGGGAGTGAGAATCATATTAGATTTTTTGAAAGATTTATAAATTTTAAATTTAATTATAATTATACGAATATTTAGTCTCGTTGGAATGAAATCTGTAAATACTGTATAGTAGTGGTGTGACCCATAATGTACAATATTATCTTGCATGGAAGGATTTTAGATCAATCCTAACTATAGTACCGTACAGTAGTCTTCAAGGCAATGGAATAAAATCTGTGAGGCTACAGTATTAAGCTCTTTTAAGCCGGTATAGTACTTAGATAGAATTCCAGAACTACCCAAAATCATACTAAATATACAGTAGTCCTTACTGTAGATATAACAATCTATTTCATGTTACTTTTCCTGCGTTTGACTAAATATATCATTGAATTCAATTGTCAAAGTTGATCATCAGATTGCGGCTACTACTTATGAAATCTAGGTGCGTACTCCTTTAGTTACAGTATCAATTTATCGCCTACAGAAAGAAATTAACCAAAGAAATTGAAGCAAACACAATTCTTAGAAATATCTATAGTTAATGGGAGTTTTCTGTTAACTGCCATCTTTACTATGTTATCTGGTAGCCGATATAAATATTCGCAATATTTTCTATTCAAAACGATACTAGTTTGAAATTGGACAGATGTGACTAAAGAAGAGAGTTCTGTGCCATGAACTATATCGTTTACAGTAATCTCGCACCATCTGCGGGTCTCGAATTGCAAACGTAAAAAATCTTGATAAGGTGTACTCGTTAATCAAGTATAGTTTATAGCAATTCTATATAATATCACCTCATTCTTATTGGCAGTCTGTCGGCTACCAATAACAGCACTGCTCAAGGGCCTTGCCAAGGATCTGGCGTTATTTAGCTGAAGCAGAAATTGCAAGAAAGGATTTATATTTAAATTAAATTAAAAAATTTCAAATTTATAGTAATAACTATGTGAAGACAACGATATCTTACCAGACTCCTAGAAATAGGGATAGATAATCTCGTGATAGGAATCATTTTGATGAGATTAAAAAGGTTGAAAAATAACGATTGCTAAAGGTGACTTAAACAGATCAAAATGACCAGCTACCAAGATGGCTACCACTTTGAAAAGCGTGCGTGCACTTTCCCAGAATGCACTTCGGCAATATGTGCAGTACCTCTGGACCGTTTCTGATATGGACCAGGATGCATCGCTGCACGCTTATCGTGTAACGGCTTTCGTACTTAATAAATACAGTACTGTACTGTACACTGTACTGTACACTAGTGTACAGTACTGTACAGCCAACGACCGCTACAGTACTGTACAGTACAGTACTAGTAGTCTTTGGTACGGTACTGTACTGTACAGTACAGTACTGTAATATCGATTTTGGGCCACCATAGATTACTGTACTGTACAGTAGAGTACACTGTACTGTACTGTACTGTACTGTACGCTGTATGAATTCTACTGTACAGTAGTACAGTACTGTACAGTACAGTACAGTCCCACGGTTACGGTTAGAGGTCAACATGTGTACTGTACTGTACTGTACAGTACAGTACAGTACAGTATTATACAGTACACTGTACAGTACAATAGTGTACATACTGTACAGTACAGTACATCTAATGATCTGAACGTAAAGTATATGCGCACGAGCAGAAGCACGTAATATTGCATAAATTTGCGAATGACTTAATATTACCGGTCTACTGATCGATCCAGCGTCTGTTAACAGCTATGAATACATCGCTGGAATGGCTTACATGATTAGGGTTAGGGTCAAGAGCTGTTAACAGACGCTGGATCGATCTGCTACAATACTGTGGTGAAAAATTCGAGAAGTCCCTGCGTATAGCACCATTAGTGCCATTCAGTTGGTAACTGTTATTTTTTCAGATATACATTATGAAAGTTATGGACCACTAGAACCCCGGTGCTACGGTGCTACTACTGTTCGTTATACTGTTCACTGTTCACTCCGTACTGTACTGTACAGTCATGACGATGACTGCAATCATGAGTTACCCGTGTTACAGCAGCTGTATTTTAGTAGACTCGTCAACTAAAAAGATCAGTGTCAAGGAGATTTTTTGAATTTACTGTACACTGTACAGTACTGTACTGTACACTACAGTTCGCCGGGAAATGTGTCGCCCTTAAAAACAGCACATCCTACTACTGTAGACACAGTACTGTACTGTACTGTCCTGTACTACTGTACTGTACACTCAGTGTACAGTGTACACCATACCTCACAGTACTGTACCATAATCCGACCGATACCCGTAATACCCGTAATAAAGTACTGTACAGTACACTTTACAGTACAGTACCGTAAGCCTGTACCGTACAGGACTCCATACAGTATGACATTGTAATGATTGGTAGCTTGCAATTTCTAAATACAACCTTTATGAGGTGATTGCATCAGCTCGTCGACACACTCGTATTCCGTGGTTACGTGAAGACACCATATGCGAAAATGTTAGCTTCTAAATTTACTTGCTCGATCATTTCAAGAAGCCTTGTAAGTTTTTTCTCGTACTTTTACGATAATAAAATTCATTCAAGTAGGATGCATATATTAACCAACTTCAATTTTTTAAGATTAATAATACACGAGCAATTGCTCGTCCACTTGGTAGCTCTTCGTATGTCACTCAATTTAGCGGTGAAACTGCAAAACAGCAGCAGGTACCGTTGCAAGCGTATGCAGTAATGTCGTATGATATTTTCTTATTTCAGAAAATAGATCACAGCAACAAAAACAATATCATCTAGTATCTTAATATTTTACTAATAGATTTATCTAAGATTTTGTTTCCTCTAACTCAATGACAGGTCGAACGTAACATACCGGCTACCAGGTACTTCCATCTTTAAGCTTTGCTTTATTATACTAATATCGCAATTCTGTAGAACGATTGTTGATTCAGTCGTCATAAGTTGAGGTTACATGGGTTAATGGATTATTCATTCAGTTTGTCTACTACTTCGGGCTGCTCGATGTGGGTATTTTTAGCGATAAATTTTATCCTGAGCTGATGAAAACTGTAGGACTGAATGGTTTGTACTAGAGAACCTAGGGTCTCTAGGCTGTACCATCGACTAATACAGTAGATACTAGTAGTCCATGGTCTATATCCTTTCACGAAATTCTATAAAAGAGGAAATTGTAGCTGTTTATATCAACAGTTCAGCACAATCCAACCTTATTATGAGTAAAAAGCTATTCTTGTTAATGTGGTAGCTTTAATCGATAAATGGTGTAGTGTTATGCCAGCGTGATTATTATAGTCCTTACCATGAATGGTGAAGCTTCAAAGCTTCTAAGCTTTACAGTATTACTTCGATAAATGAATGTCTATTTACGATCTTTCGATTTGATCATTACGTATTATCGAAATTGATTTAAAAAAATTCGTGGTAAGGTATGCATTTTGAATGCCATATTACTTTGCACTGCACATATTATAAATGTTAAAATACGACTAATACTACTGTAGCTAAAACCACTATAATCGTGCATTTTAGGAGTACAATATAGCAGGAAAGCATTACACCCTTTAAAGTTGCTGCTACTGCTGATACACAATTCGTGATTCGTCCATTTACGATATACTAATTTTGGATTACATTATACTTTCAAGCCATAATAAGATATATATGTAAAAATATCTTAGAAGTAATTCAATAATTTACTTTTTAGATTGTTACCATTTAATTGTGAAGACATTAGATTTTACGTGTATCGGTATTGTTTCGTATGCAAACTTCGTAATTGAGACATGGTGGCTAATAGTAGTATTAGAAGACATTTAAACAATTTTAATTGTTAGTTATGTTTGTATGAGTGACATACATACTGTGCATATATATACATTACACTGTACAGATTACTGTAATTAAGCTTGCCGCATTGTACGGTGTAACGAGCCTTAAACCACGAACTGTGTGTGGGTCTACACTCGTATTTAGTTAATAGATATAAAGATATATAGATATAGTTATACTAGTCTATTCTCAGTTAGAAAAAGAATGTTATTTTTAATGAGTGTAATTTTGTCATTTCTTATAGCTTACTAATGCAACCTAAGAGTAACTTGCCAGGCCTTTCCACATTAAGTACGGTGATATAACAGTATTAATTTACTTCATGAGATTACGAAGTCACATTGTGACAACAGTGAAAAGCTGACCAGTTAGCATTTATATCATGGGTTATAGCGTTTTCTCTTCGAAAAATAAGATAAATTATGATTACGTTAGACTTTAAATTTCTAACGGCCAATATCTCTTTCTTCTTTCTTTTCTATATCACTGCACCTATCTGCATTTGGTAGAAGAGGTGAGTCTGTAGAATTTTCTGGTAAAAGTTTTTCAGTATTTATCATTTAGCAGATAAATGCAGATCGATAACATTGTGTTAAATCATCGTATTTTTTCAGATATCATTTCTAAGCCAGGTCCCATCACGTGGATTTCATTCTAGTTCGCAAAGAAACGATATTGATTCAGCAGCTAAATTTATAGGCGCTGGTGCCGCCACAGTTGGTGTAGCCGGTAGTGGAGCTGGTATTGGCACTGTCTTTGGTAGCTTAGTCATCGGTTATGCTAGAAATCCATCTTTGAAGCAACAACTCTTCTCATATGCTATATTGGGATTCGCCTTATCCGAAGCTATGGGATTATTCTGTTTGATGATGGCCTTTTTAATTTTGTTCGCTTTGTAAACATCTGACTTAAAAAGGAATCGATGAATAGTGATTTATATTAATTACTATTAGACATCAGGGATTCTTAGCCAATTAACTATTATTATGATATTAATAGAAATCTGCTATATACTGTTTAATGATTTCTATCTTTAATAACTCTTAATTATATAGAATAATGCTAGTAGTACATAGTTAATTGATGTAATAAGATATGCAGATCTTCTTGACCTACATTGCAATAAATCGTCGCGTTATGACTATATATATATATATATATATATATATACTCTAGCTACATTTAGTAATCAATTGCTATACGGAGGACGGCAGGAGGCGATTCCAGAACTTGAAGTCTTAGTGGATATCTTAACGGGTACTACTTTTGCTTTAATAGTTCCTGGTCCTAGCTTAAAGTTTGTCCTTACCTGTGCACAGTTAAAAGTTAAAGTTATCAGACAGTACCGTAAAGGCATTGTAGCTCCCATTCAAGGATGAGAGCAGTAATTTAATTTATGTATATTATATAGAATTATATGGACAGCTTCATCACTGCACAGTATACACTATCTGTAAGTTATTCAGCATGTTAACATGAATATGTACCGGAATCAGAGTTGCACAAAAATGACTATGGTAATCATAAGAGGTAAAAGGAAACCCAGCCTCCATCTTGATCTCAAAAGATCTCTGGACTGCGTTTCGACTGGCAGCAGCTAGCTACCCGTGTTTAGTTTCGTAGGGACTGGAACTTAGAGTGACTCTATGTACTGTACAGTGATTAAACCGGTGACTGTCCTGTACTGTACACGGTACAGTACGTACCAAATGCAGCACTGGTACTGTACAGACAGAGAAGGGACGACTAAATGAGGAAAGAGAAGTACAGATCATTAGTACGATAGGTTTTACGGATACTTTTTTATTAGCGTCTGTACAACTGCAGATAAAGTAAAGCAATAGTTCTTTTGTAATAATAAATTACCTTGAATAATTATAAGTAATTAATTTTCTGATACCTCAATTTCTATGCCGATTTTATTGTAATCGACAAATGTATCGATCGGAATATGAAGTATGTCTCCAATAATAAAGTATTCACTCGTGGCTGGAATATTACGTTTATTTTTGATTATGTATGGAGAATGGCAAGATAAATATTTTGTTGTCAAGTATACTGACGTGGATTACAAAGTGTTCACCGATGCTGCAAGATATGTTGCAAATGGAGAATCGCCCTACCAACGAGCAACCTATCGTTACACACCATTGTTAGCTTGGATATTAGTGCCCGCTACTACCTTGAGAATGTCATATGGAAAGCTTCTCTTCTCAGGTTGTGATATTCTATCTGGATGGCTTATTTTTGCGATATTATCAATAAAAAAAGTTACTGACAGTAATAAGATAATTTGCACTAACTTATGGCTTTTCAATCCACTGACAATTACCGTATCTACTAGAGGCAATGCTGAGTCTTTACTATGCGTTTTAGTACTATCATCTATTTATTTCATGTTGGAAAGACGTACAACAATGTCCGCATTTTCATTGGCCCTTGCAATTCATTTTAAACTATATCCAGTCATTTATACGCTACCTCTTCTATTATCATTACATGACATTTACTACGATAGCGATAAAGTTAATTACCATTACAATATATGGTTAAATTTATTGTGGAAATTAACCAGGTTTGAGATAATCAAGTTTATTTCGATTTGGTTACTAACCTTAATAGCAATCAACGGCTTAATGTATTGTTTGTAAGTATAACCGTAGTATTATGTACTATTCAATTTTCTTTACTATGATTGGGCTCTATGTACTATAATTAATATCGTATTGGTAATTAAAATTATGTTAACTGCTTAATAAATAAATCTTTATTAATGGTAGGATATGGATATTTGTAGCTAAGAATTTTAATTTCAATCCAAAATTATTTTGTCGTTTCTATACCATTAGCATAATGCTTCAGGAAATATAGTAAAATACTATCTTTGACTTGAAAATCTAATATGTATTGTTATTAATATTACTGAGGTATGGACTGGATTACATTCAGGAGGCCTATTTATACCATCTGACCAGAGTGGATACTCGTCACAATTTTTCGTTATATTTTTACATGATGTATATAAATGTAGAATCGTGGCTTGGATCGATTATTAGCAGATTAGCTTTCATTCCACAGCTAATACTGATGTTGATTATATCATTGTATTCGTATACTGATATTTGCTTCTGTATGTTCGTTCAGACCTTTGCCTTCGTCACCTTCAATAAAGTCTGTACATCACAGGTATGTGACCGTATGTCCTTCATATCATACACCTTAATACTGTTATGGCATACCCCTTAAACAGAATTCATAGTGAATCATAACAGATTTTGCGTAGTACATCATAATTAAATATGTGATTTATCGTTTTTTGTTTTAGTTGTGTGATTACACAATACAAGAATATAATATCATATACGTATAATAACCTAATACTGCATTAATAATTAATAAAACTGGTTATTCCATCGTTATATAGTATTTTTTATGGTATCTATCCCTTCTACCTTTGGTGTTGGCGAATAATAGATTACTTAATAAGCCTAAATATTCCGCTACTTTAGGCATTACCTGGTTTTTATCACAGGTAAGTCAATTAATTATTTTGCAAGGCTTTCAACTAAGCACATCATGCTATTTTCTAAATTCAGAATTACTATCAACTCAGGTAGTCTGGCTTTTCTTTGCATACTTGGTAGAGTTCAAAGGAAAGAATACCTTTGTACTCATATGGATTGGTTCCATTTTGCATTTTTTTGTAAATATTTTTGTTTTAGCAGAAGTAATAAGACATCATGTTGGAATAGATATGTCTTTAAGCTATTCAACGGAAAAGAAAAACAATTAAAGAGCTATATTTATACCTAAAACAGTTATGAATAATGATTTCGATGTTTTTTTCTGCGTTTGAAAAAGTCCTGATTCATATCCTGCGAAGTTGAGCTTTATCCCTTGGTCTACTCTGGTCAGCCTAATACTTAATATGTCGCATTTATTCGGTTATTACTATAATATTTATCGACGAAATATTTTTGATATTCATTTAATTAAAAGCGCTTCTGTTACAAAATTGTGAGTTTGTGACTATGCTTGAATCAGTTTTTAATTAAAGATGAACCTGCTACATATCTGCTGTTTATTTCTTTCTTAATACACGAAACTATATACGAAGGAAATAATAATGAAATATTACTTTAGAGACCATAAAGTTTTTACACGGAATTTTAACTTATTTAAGGTACTGTACAATTACGATTGAAACTAACAGAAGCTAGACGCATTACAGTATCTTACAGTCTTTACAATACAGCATTTGGTAGGCTCTTTTATAGCACTAAAATTGGTTGATCGCAAGAGCTGCAGAAGTAGTAAGAATTTTAAAGGCAACACCCTAATTAATTTCGATGTTGCATATAGTCGCGGTCGCGGATTGCTAGAATTCTTAGTAGCTTACTTCATCGTATAATACATAATACAACATTGTGCCGTTATTATGAATACTAAATACGCGTACAGTGGTACAGTAAGATATTCTAATCCTATACAGTACTAAAAGCTTGTTGGAGTAGATATTAACTACATAATTAATTTAAAAACTATATCAGCTTCAAATGCAAATCCCATTCTAGTATGAACATAATGCATACTCAGGACGAGCTTGCTCCATAGTATACAATACTAAATACAATATGAAATCCTACGAATTTGCCTAAAGATTGTACGTAACTAATTACCAATCTTGCAAGGTTGGCACTATCTTACAAAAGAGGTTTCAAGATATTTTCATGTTTAAGAATATTTCATCTACAAGATAACAAATTTAGTTAGTTTTTTTGTTATATCCAATTTATTATAGCATCCGGATAATATTCTGACAGACCATACGCGTAATTATCAATATCATGTGTGTACGTGTGTACTCGTACAACATCATATTTTTAAGCAATACAGATACTGATGTGCGGTAGATCTAATGCAAAAAGTTTTACTCTATCACATAACCATGAAGCTCGTATTAGAATAATAAAATTAAAGCGTTGTATCATTTTGGGTATTTAGAATCTCTTATGAGATAATCTAGTAACATGTAGGGCTATCATCACGGCTCGTTTTGTTCACTTCGTTCTTCATCGTTCTTTTCTTTATCGTAATCCTCTTCTGACCACCCATGCTCTTTTTTGTATACTTCTAAGGCTTCAAGAAGAAATTCATCGTGGTCAGCTACACGTACATCATGTCTCAGTATGTCTCCCCAACGACAACGTTTCATATCTTTGTAAAATTCCCTGATATTACATGATTCGATCAATAACCTCAGTGCAATGTTGAAGATTGATAATAGAAGTTGATTATGAATTCATTTTCAAAGTATCAACATACTTTCCTAATGATTTTGCAAGCACTAACTCTTCTATGTAACCTGTTTAATTCAACCTGTTTACTAAATTGATCGCTAACATATTTTTAAACAACTATTATCAATATTCATCTCTCTAAATCATTATACAAACCATCTCCAAGACAAAATTCACAAATTACATGACCAGTACGATGTTTAGGAGGTTTTACAACCCTAGGATAGGATGAAACTAAAGAAAATTTAACACTCGTTATTCTTCTCTCGATTTAGGATTAGATAAACATACAAAAGGGCTATAGCATATCATTTTAACCAGAACTTAACAATAAATTAACAATAAATCAAAGTACTTAATAATAGAACCGAATAGTAACATCATTACCATCCTCATTTCTGTTTCCCTTACGAATGATAACATAAGAAAATCGTTCTGGATAATAGCTATATTTCAAATGTGTCTCGCGCTATTTGTGATTTCATTCGTAATAAAGACATGGGATAATGAAAGAATATTGATAAGATTATATATGTTACATATCATGACACAGCATACATCTGTGTGATAATCTGAATTATGTAATCGGTACTTGGGTCAAGGAAACTTCTACTTTTTGTTCAAAAAAGCATGGAGGCGATTTAACATCCATATATTCTCTTGGACAATCTATATCATGGGGACACTAATAGAAAACATACTGCAACTGACTCAAATCGAATCATATACTATACAAGGGCTTTGTGTTGAAAATATTGTAACAAATAGCAACCAATACGAAATACTGTAGCATCTTACCGGAGCAAAAGTATGACCTAGCTGCAGGTTATTCCTCACTACCAAAAAAAAATTACTATTTACTAAAGACTAATAGTTATCATTTGCTTCATCCATTATGAGCTTACTTGCGTCCGCATTCTAGTATACAATAAAAAGTGACCTAGAATGAGTTTACAGTTTACTTAGAGTGAACTAGAAACCGATATCAACATACCATGTTGACTATTGCATTTCTTGCGTGTAATATCGTATCAAAGCCATCGTTATTTCCAGGTTCAACTATAATCTGAATATCAAATAGTATATTATGTAAAATAACAATCGGCTATGTGGTAGTAAGATAAACTTTAATGTAAAAGTCTTAAAATTAATCCAGGCTTAATAAAAGTACGCTTACAAGAAAATCTTTGGTTTTCTTCCAAAGAGCCTTGATTGCTTCTTGCCTTAATTTTATATTAGGTAGCTCATGCAAGGAATACGACGCAATAACAACGTCGTAATTTACCTGTGTCATGAAATACAATTTTACCAATGTTGAGAGCAAAAATATGGTTAATTTCCATTTTAATCAATAAATGTTCTTGCATCCTCTTACTCGCTGTGAAATGGGCAAAAATTGCCTGTAAAATATATTTGGAATCATAGAAGGTGCATTACGATCTCCTCCTGAAAGTATTAAAAAGTTCTTGGCAATTATGTAAGTAACAGTTTATTACATCAAAAGGCTCAAGTAAAGAATCTGATTTCCGTATATTACACAGGAATTAACCATAAATTAGTATCAAAAGGTTCTCATAAACCTTTGAAAAGAAGTTCAGAAAAGTCTATGGCATCTGACGAAATATCGACACATTGATATTCAGTAATACTCTCTCCCCAGATTTGATTAGCGGCCCTAGCATGCGTATCAGCAATGAAATTTATGATATAGTATAACAACAGGTAGCTGGTATAACTACCGTAATAACTAAAAAAGTACTGCATGCTAATAACATTTATTTCATATTATTCCGGTAGCTGTTTTATTATTAAAATCATAGTAATTAAGACACCTACCACACTGCTGTCCCGACACCTGAACCAAAATCTAATAAAGTTCTTGGTTGAAATCCAGGTAATCTTGTTGCTATCTAGAATATCACCAACGTTTAATTAAGCTAATCAACACTTCAAGTTAAAATCCTTCGATTCACACATACACCAAATGTAGTAATGGAATTCTCATGAAAAATCAGCATACCTCTTGCAAGACACGTAGTGTTGCACCATAGCAAGCAGGCAAACGCGAAACAGCAAATGCGAGACACTCACGAGTTCGATATCTAGATATAATTATAATATACGATATTATATGTAGTTATTAATTATAACGTTAAATAATACTGCATCAGTATATTTAGCGATACAGTATAAGTAATTCTATACTTTTTTTAGTCGCTATTCACTTATTGCAGATTCAAATGTTGAAATCGTACAAATACTTAATCAAAAAGATAACCTGTACCTTATGGAGCTAAATTTATCTGGTCTACAAAATTGATTATCAACAATAACTTCATCATCAGAGGATAGGCTTTTTACTAATGGTATAATGAAATCAGAATCATTACGAGAAAAATTATGCTTTTGGTGTATTGAACCCGTAAATTAAACACAAAAATATGATCATACATTAACATAACATATACGAGTATTATATATATATATAGGTGTATTACTTCGCTTCGACAATATCTCTTTTTCAAGATGGGATCTTCGACCACGTCGTATTAAATGTTTAGCTAAAGCTGTACCATCTACCATTAACGATTTGTTTGAATATTCTTTATATAATGTGATATCAGAATTATTAGTTCATTCTAATATTTAAACTACTATATTAATATCAGCCTAGCTGCCTATATATAGCTTTTATGAAATATCGTATAGTCTAGGGCTGCGATAATTTATCGTTTCAATTCATAAATTAAAAAAAATTATAAATCTTTATAAATTTTTAATAATCTCGAATAATTTATTAAACTTATTTACTTACTTGCTAGTATGCTTTTAAGTGAAGAATTTAATTCAGGAGGTACGGAAATTGTGGGCATGTAAAAGGAAACATGTGCAGACTTGCTAGCATGACTTTCGTCTTTCTCTTCGTTAAAGTCGTTGTCATCTTCGTTGATGCTTGCTTTATTATACAAGCCTTGATCGCTATTATTGATAGTAGATGTCTCTATTTTCATGTCGCCATCGCACGCGACTACTTCATTTGAGCCTTGATCGCTACTATTGCTATCCGATGTCTCTGTCTTCATGTCGCCATTGGCGGAAGCTATGTTTCTTTTACTAGCTAATCTATAGCTTACTCGAGCTTCTTTGCATAAATTAGCTATGAAGGTTCGAATTGTTGACTAATATATTGCAAAATATGAAATAAGTACCTCAAGATTAAAGAACCGAGAATAGCTGTAATGTCATATCAGGGTGATTATATACGTTAGTTTTATGCATTATTTTTCTTATCAAAACTATTGAGAGCTACAACTCCAATGTATCATTGTGACAGTTACATTCTACTAGACGAAATAACATAAAGTATTTAATAATAACCAATTTGTAATCTTATGCAATGTACACATTATCCTTTAATAAGAACTGCATCATAACGACAGGTATGATAGACCAGGTTTTGACTTACGAGAAATGCTGCTTACTGTACAAGTGTGCATAGGGTATTAATCAGTCGAACTAGCCATCGTAGCGTCATACAATGATTGTACAACAGAGATCTCCATGCTGCATAATTTACTCGGGAGCAATATCCCTTAACATACTCGAGTGGACTTGAGGTTTAGTAACTAAACACACACACTATCTCATAATGATCTATGGCTAAGTTGTACTTAGCGGAGATCAAGAATATCTATTAGTTATCGTCCGTGTCTATCGAATTAAAGTAGTGTACAGAACTTAACGATTCCAAATTTGTTAAGCAAGTTAGAATTAAGCAAATCAGATCCTGGATTATATGCAGTACTTGTTGAGGTCATATACTATAAGTGTGCAGTATGCCTTACCTGGAAAAGACTCGAATTCATTATGGTAATCCAATTGTTGCTTTAATTTGTACTTACAGTTAAAATCACCTACAGTAATTAGGTATGTGCCAGCGAAGTAAATCCTTGCGTCTTCTCTAAAAAGAGTGCAACCGAGCTGCAGATCGGGAAATTCAATTCTTCGGCACTGCTTTTATACGATGCTGCAGGTTAGGGTTGGTACGGGTCCGGGTACTGTACAGTATAATGTACAGTACAGTGTACAGTACTGTATACTGTACACTGCGTATTGTACATGAAAAGTTCTTATTTATCTCCGTATTGGGAGAGTTTTGATACAGTATCATTATCATGCTAAAATTTGATGCGATCTGCAGTAAAACCAACCGTGATATTTTCAATGGATTATATCGCAACTTCTGCTATTCGGATCGGTATAATTGCTTCGCTATTTAAATCGCTTTTGATACCTTCATATCGATCAACAGATTTTGAAGTTCATCGTAATTGGCTAGCAATTACCCATAGTTTACCAGTATCACAATGGTACTACGAAAATACTTCTCAATGGACACTCGATTATCCGCCGTTATTCGCTTGGTTTGAGTATTCTCTATCTCAGGCTGCTGCTGTGGTTGATCCTGAGATGGTGGTTATCAGCAAGTTAGAATATGCAAGCTATAGAACCATTATTTTTCAACGTCTTTCCGTTGTGATCACTGACATTTTATTGATTTATGCTGTATATGATTATTGCAAATGGTGGTCAAATAATCGAAGGTTATCGTCTTCATCAACTTCTCATGGTGAAAATAATACAATGATTGCAGCATTCGTATTAATGGTCTTAGTAATTTTTAATTTCGGACTGATAATAATAGATCATGTACATTTTCAGTATAACGGCATGCTATTTGGTATATTTTTATTATCAATCACTAAAATAGCGCAGGAGAAGTTTTGTCAGGCAGCCTTATTTTTTATTTTATTACTTAATTTCAAGCATCTATTTGCCTACGTCGCACCTGCCTATTTTGTATACCTATTGAGAAGGTATTGCTTTGGCAAATTACAGTATTCAAGTTGGACAGAAATGAGACAAGATTTTCGTTTTACGCATTTGGCCAAGTTATCACTCATCGTACTAGCAGTTATTTCCATTAGTTTTGGACCATTTATTGCTATGGTATTGTGTTATTAATTTATTACGCACAATCAGAATGGGATCTATTGTAATTAATCCTTTTATTTTTACATTTATGTGATTGAAATTAATGAGCTTCTTGGTCACTTAAGTCATTACTCTATGTTAACATTTGTTATATCTACAAAAATTTAGGAAATACGTTGCATGCAATCTGTTAAGCTCCAGAAATTTATTCACGACTATTAACTTCCTGATTCTATATTGCTAAGACAGTTATTACATAATTACGTTATAATTATAATCAATTCGACTCGATTACTGGTGTAATATCTGCGAACACTATAATGTAGTAATAAGTGTTCTTATTCACTGATAGTGACCGTATTAGTCTACGATTTCACGAAGTTTTTGATTTATCTTGATAAGATATTGTAGCAATTTTAGGGTTGAGCACTACACTCAAATATCCAGAATTTCATTCCTGAAGTTCTGATACAAACTACTGTAATTTATTCATAGTTTTGGATAGATTTATAACTTACAGATAATTTGTAATTAAAGATTAATATACTTCGGTGCAGGTGCAGCATTAGCTACGTGTGTTTAATTGCGCGGGAAAGAAGTGATCATTCGTATTTACTCCTCAGTTGCCTGTATAATACTTTATAATATTGTATTAATTACGCAAGTTTTCTGATTATGGTATAATAATTTATTTATCATTTTCCCTTAAAATTTATATTTAGGGGCAGATAAACCAACTAATATCTCGGTTATTTCCATTTAAACGTGGATTATGCCATGCCTACTGGGCGCCAAATTTTTGGGCGTTGTACAATGTGGTAGATAAAGCAGTTGCTATGATAAGTTTACGTTTGGGATTATTGACGGGTGATAAATGGCAGTCAGCATCAATGACTGGAGGGAAAGTTACTGAAAGTGATCATATCGTATTACCTTCGATTCGCCCGCTAACTACCTTTGGATTAACACTGATATCTATATTGGTAAGGATTACGTACAGTGTAATGTATAATAGTATAGCTATGTAATAAAGACTGCATATACTCGTATATTTATTTTATCTTATTGATATATTCTCTTAGCCATCTATTGTACATCTTTGGCGTTTTCCCTACAGTTGGCGTGCCTTTCTTCGTGTAATGATACTTTGTGGGTTTTCCTCGTTTATATTTGGTTGGCATGTCCATGAAAAACATCTTATTACAGTAATAGTGCCGTTTACCCTTCTAGCAATCGAGAATAAAAACGATGCTAGGTTGTTCTTTCTTTTATCCTGCATTGGTCACTATTCATTATTTCCTTTACTGTACGAGCCAACAGAGTCACCGATAAAGCATATACTTTATATTCTTTATTCAATTTTCGCTTATTATGGCCTGCAATTATGTTCCTGGTGAGTTAAATTTTATCAGTGTATTCAATATCATATAACTATAGTATTAATGCACTACTGTACAAATTCTTCTAAATTCTCTACTTTATGTAAAGTGTATCTACTGACTTTAAAGAGAAAATTTTAATTATAATAATTATACTGTTTACGTGAATTTTAATTATATTGTTTATTTTTATTATTTAATTATAGTTCTAGCTTAAAATCAATACATCGATTGCGACCCTTAAAAGTTTCTTTATTTGAAAAGATATACATTATTGGTTTACTCTTTGTACAGATATATACTATTTTTCTGCATTCAGTTTTTAAATTAAATGATAAATTGCCTTTCCTACCTTTACTTATAACGTCTGTATACTGCTCTATTGGTGTACTATATGTGTGGGCAAATTTTTATGCACGAAGTATCTGGCTCACATCTGATAAAAATGAATATATTGAGGATTGAATTTTTGAAAGTGTGCAGTGTACACTGTACACTGTAGATACTGTACTGTACATGTGCCCTTCTTTAGAGTTTGTATTTGTGTAATGCTGTCTACTGTACTGTAGTACAGGTTCATTTTAATTTCTATGGTTTTTATCAAATACGATCTCTGCAATATTTTATTTACAATTTTCTAATTCTATAAATAAATAAATCAATAACATGAAGTAACCCATTTAATAAATCCATGGTATTTAGTAAATTGAAGTAAACTTCGTAAACAAATAACCATACCTGAAATGATTCTACCTGATGTTAAGATGAGCTATATTTAACTCAGTACGCTCAATTTTTATATCTAAATGCCTTTACACTAAGTTGTTGCCCCTATCAACCGACCCTCGTGTAAGAAATACGCGTATATTGTAAGAAGTGTCTGAAAATAAGTTTATTGTAGCTATGGACCACTAGATAGAAACCTAGGTTTCTTTTTAATGGTCCATGTCGCAGCTCAATCACCACCCGTATTTTATGCTGTATCAGGGATTCCTAAGAGAAATACTCTTAGAAGTTCATGCATATACAGTACACTAGGCTACCCTAGTTAGCCAAAACCTGTCACTATACATCGCTGAAAATAGAGCAGTTTCCGGCATGTACTGTACACGCCTTTTGGAGATACAGTACTGTACCGGTATAATCACCCGTCGCGTTGCTGACGGATTACTATACAGTACTATACTGTATATAAAGTCATTCTAAAACGAGGCGTTGTTGACGAATTCTATTATTTTCACCATTAGTTACAGTACTTTGTTTCAAATCACTTTTCTAATATGCACGTACAAATATATGTCTAGTTTATGCAATGTTATACAGTATACCAAATAAACAAGTGATAGAAAGTGGTTCAAAAACAATCTAATTGAAGGGTTAAATCAGTTTGTTATTGTCTGCTAGTTTCTCGTAAGTTTCTTGTAATTCTTAACCTAAGGAACGTAATATTTTGCTAGTCATGCTAGCCAATAGTAAATAAAAATAATAAATAAATAATATAGTTGGTACTAGGTACTACTGAATACTAAAATGAACACTAAACTTTCTTATGAACAATGTGGACAACATGCTGGTTGTACTGCACAGTGCACAGATACAGCGGAGAGCTAAGATGCCGTGGCTCTGCACTGCAGATGTTACAGGGCCAGTCCGACCATAGTGAACTAGCTAAATCGTCCCCTATCGACAGGTGTAATGAGAACCTATAATTCGTAGTTGGCAACTTGGCATACTGTACTGTAGGCCGTACTTTACAGTACTTTGTAGTCAAATATGTGTACTGTACAGTATGTACAATACTAAGCACCTACAGTATGTACAGTACAGTACTGTACTGTAGGCACAACGCTCTACAGTACAGTACTGTACTGTACTGTACTGTTGAACACCATAAGTTGGTTTACGTCTACTGTAGTTATACTGTACTGTATGGCTGTGACTGTGCTGTACTGTAATAACAGCCAGAAATCCAATCATGGAAGTTTCCGAAATTTAAACTATTTAAACTATTAACAACCCCCTTAAAATATAGATTTCAGTCTGACAGTTTCTACGGAAAAGTAGAAAGAAAAGAGTAAAATTTTCTTTATTAATTACGCAAAACGATCAAGACTGTACTTTCTAGCCGCCTTGCCTAATTCCTTCCCCGTACGGTACTCTTCGCATTTTAGCGTCTGCTGAGATGGATTTAGAATATCAGCAATTAAATGATACGAATGGTTGGGTAGAGTTGTACAAAGTAAGTATAACTAATTTAAAAGTTATAATACGCGTATTAACTTGATAAGCAGTTGGTATTTACTATAGATGTGTAGATTTAATCCAAGATTTAGCATCTTCAATCATTGTATTACATGTATTTGATGTAAATCCCTTCTACCAAGTACTAGGTGATATGCAAGATGATATTGCCAAGTGTGGTGCACTATGCATACTATGTACAGAAGAGTAGATTATAATTATCATAGTAGTAGTAAATTTTGATTTATTCATATGATTTAATATTGATACGGTATTATCATGGTATTATAAACGGTGGTTCCAAGCAATTTATTGCGTTTAACCTTCTATCAAAGTGTTTTAATTTGGACAGTGTTATGCTCGGATTCAACGTTAAATGAAGAGCCTGCACTTTTGTTGTACTGTACAGTGTACAGTAGAAGTGATTATACATTAATTATAATTATTTATTCAATTCATACGAACAGTAATAACTTATCCAGTATGTAACTTACATATAATCATGATACATATTAGTTACCACCAACGCTGACTGCTATCTTTCCATAAACCAGAAATCTCAAATTTTTAGGGGATATCTAGTACTAAATGCTAGTATATACTAACTAGCTGCTACAGTAGATCTACTAGATGACCTGATCTAAACGATTATATATTATACAGTACCGTGCATTACGTAGTTTTTAAAGAAATGAATAGTAGGCATAATAATTGAAATGTAGCAATAGTACAGTACTTAAAACTTGTTTCTATGTTTAAGAGGCTTAGGCTAACGGCTTTAAGCCATAAATTTAAGCTCGACTAAACTCGATCGTTACCCTCTTGTGTTCCTTCTAAGAATAGTTGTATTCCAATATAATCAACGTTCTACGTAGTACTGTAATTAACTGAGTTAATAGGCCAGGACTCTTCTTCAGTATGCACATATCATGCTGTTAACATCATATCGCACTGAATTATACGCTTTAATTGTCTATGATCCGTATTTCACTGCACAAGGCGTAAACTTCATATATTATGATTATCAATTTAGAAAATATAAAGCAAAAACAGTATTAGGAAGGGTAAATACACTTTACTGTTTTTCAGATATTACCATTGATATACTGCACTATGCCCAATGTTTAAAAATTTAATTTTATTTATAATCTATTTAAAACCCTACTAATTTAAATAAACTATACATCATCTTACAGTCTATCGTTCAATCCAGCGATAACATCAAACACAAATGTGTTCAAGCGAAGGTGCCTTCTAATGTCAAGAAAAATCGCTACAATAACGTCTTACCATGTAAGCGATAAGTAAACGCTAGTTATACACGTACGAGTGTAGTAATGCTTCTTACATTAATAACTATTATATGCAGTTCATACGTAGTTGTTAAAAATTTAGAGCTGCAGTGTAAATCAATGTAAGATATAATATATCTTAGAAGTAACCCTTCAGGTAAGCATTAGGAAGCTGTAATTAGATCCGAGACTGATGGTGAACTTGCTAAAATTTTTCATAACGATATTGCAATTGAGACTTATAGCTTTAAGTTAAGAAACAAAATGATGGAACTAGATGTCTATGCTATTTTGCGTACTTTGATATTTTTGTATTTCTACACGATTTGTATCAATACTTTTCAATTACTATTCAATTATATTTTTTATACACAATCTTAAAATCTGATGGATATTTATGGTGATCTCCTATATGGGTTATCCTCCATAAATTGTCTTTTATTTAAATATATGTCTTTGAGGTAACTAGTGTTGAATGATCAATTTTAAATTAGCCCCTAAATGTTACAGCAGCTTTGTCTACTAATTACGCCTGAGATAGGTATAGTACACAATCTAATATCATTTGGCTATAATGTATGGTAGCAAACATTATATGATTACTTGATTAGTAAATGCAGTATAAACAGGGTAAACGTCTTTATTATTAGGTTAATAAATTATTTAAGTTAAGATTAATAAGTAAATACGCGTACACGAAGTAAATCGGAGTAATAATGTAATCTAGCTTTTTATTTTCAGTCAAATAGCTCGCTTCGTATTAACGGTGACGTAAAGTTCTGCTCTTAAAGCTGTTTATTTATTCATTTACCCCATAACATGTGCGTATAGTAATTCTAATAGGATGGAAAACTCTGGCCGTATCGTATTTATTCGTGAATTACTCTGGAAGCTTATCGCTCTTAATGAAGGAAATAAAAGAACTTTAGATTACAGTGTTGCTAATTGCTAATTAAAGTGGTATAACTGCAGTACTTTAATAGGCTACCGTCTTCACTTATGTTTGGATATTATTGTTTATTTAAGATAAAAGATAAACAGATTTGTTAAAGCATTTAGCCTTTGTGCACATTGATATTAACTAACTAAAAGCAGGATAAACTTACATAATAATTAATGAGATTGTTTGAGTATTTTCTTTATACTCCATATGAAGGCCGATTGATGGCATGACGAATTTATCCCCTTTAATTGAACTACTACTCTGTTAAAAATTAAATAGAACCATGATATAACATAATGTAGAACGTTCCTTAAAGTAACAATGCCATGAAAAATATTCAAAGCCGCATTATTTGTTATAACATCACACAATACAGAAATTGTTAAACTTAGCATAACTAAATTGTAATGATTTTTCGTGTACTATTCCTCAATTAGACGATGAAACGCGGGTTAAACTCAAAGGCGAGAATGATTACATTAATGCCAGCTTTGTTTCGGTAAGGCTACGAATATATTGTACAATTTCGATGTAACACCGAACGGTAGGTATAGTCAGTTTGTAATTACGTAATAATAGTCAAATTATTGTATAGTACAATATAAAGCAGCAGCAAATTTGGGGGATTTATCAGCAATATAAATGTACAAAGTAGAATACATATGTATCTATATGCTAGCAATATTTCACTTTTCACACTTCTCTTACTACGTTTTATGTTTACTTGCTAATCAGAGATAAATAGTGTCGCTTGCACTTCATTGATTTCTGTTTTTATGATATTTTAATTGGTAAATACACATAGATATACAAAATTTAGGTCATTGCTCGCATATCGGTTCGCTTCGATATTTCATTATTTGAAATACTTATCCTGGACTGTATTTCACCCGACATAAAAGCTTTTTGCTTTTAGTATATATGACTAGTGAATGAGATAGATGTTATTTGCAATTAATAACGAATTACTTGATTGAATTTAAAGACTGTATCCATAATAAATTCAGCTACTCTCAAAAAAGCAGTTATTTGTATCCCTTTTTACTACAACTATGACAATGCAAAAGCTATGAAATTAGTTAAATTATTTTGATCTTACTTTAAAGTTATAATCCATCACATTCGATATCCCACCAACAATTCACTGTTCTGTTAAGCAATACCGCATAAAAACTGATTTACAATGGATCATCTAACTGAGTATCATTATTTCTAAAGGTTCCAAATTTAAGCAGGATATATATCCTAACCCAGGTAAATAACAGACATACAATAAGCCAAAATGTTAACTTTTTGCCATTAAGTTAATAGCGAAGTAATATTTCTGACATCGAAGCAATTTAGCGTACCATAAATAAGGTATTCAAAAGTTTTCCTTCGGTAACTACTGATCACTGTAGTAGTTTTTATAACAAAATTCTATATCACTGGTAAAACATAGCGAAGGTACAGTATTATTAATATTACATAGTATATCTAGTTAATTATAACTGATAGTCGCGGTCATACAACTTTTTCGTAGCAAAGAACATGAAAGCCACCCTAAAAAGATTACTTTATGCAAAATCACACTCTATTTTCTGAACTTTACTATAAAGTATAGTATCATACTACAATTACCTTTATAGCTTTTTAAGATTTAATATTAGTTCTTATATATTCTCACATATAAGGTTATATATAATTCACTATGCTACAAAGAATGTAATTCATAAATTCAAATAATCTGATGGTTTTATATGTTATAGATTTTAAGATACGATGCTTTTTGTTCGGATAAAGGGTCCGCTTGACCATACAGCTGCTAGTTTTTGGCAAATGGTATGGGAACAGAACAGTAGAGGAATCGTAATGTTAAACAAGCTAACCGAAAATGGATCTGTAAGTTCTTATCTGTTCTCACATTACTCAAAAGTAGAATATATTGTATGTTAGAAAATAGAACAAAAACGTGATAGCATTTACAGATAATCATAGTCCAGCGCTGACGATTTAGGGACTTTACAGTAGATAGCCAATCCTTAACGATGGTTACTGTAGCCTTAATTAATCTTTCTAGTCAACATACTGCTCTAATTTTGAATTAAATAATCCTGCAGTATGTTCTTACTCATACGATATTTACATCGTATTTTCGTAAATGACAAAATGCCAATTCAATTCTACCTTTAGATTAAGTGTTACCAATACTGGCCGTTGCATAAAAATCAGCCCCTACGTTTTAGAAATCACTTTCAAGTGACTTTAACTGAAGAAATATACGAGAGTGACGATTGCATCATTCGACAGCTTAACCTTGTAAACGAAAAGGTTAGATTCCATTTGGGTCAATACTTATTTTACTATTTGTACACAGTGCACTTTCTATTTAGATAATTTGTAATTCAACTTAATTTATAAGAGCATCATAAATTTTTCTTCCAGGATAGCGAGTCAAGAACTATTTTTCAGTATCATTTTACGTCCTGGCCCGATTTTGGCGTTCCAAGATCTCCTGCTTCATTTTATGAATTTGTGGATCGTATCAGAAATTCTGAGAGCCATAGCACAGAATATGGTCCACTCATTAGTCATTGCAGGTAGCATCACTAGCGTATGAATTAATTGATTTTCCCATGATACTAAAGATTTAATTTCCAAATCATTAATCATACCACTAATCTACTTATATAGCGCTGGAATTGGTCGTTCAGGAACTTATTGTCTAGTCAACTTATGCCTTTTACAAGTACGTAGTTTAGCAACTTATTTTACCTTTAGTAAATGCTACACTTCAATTTATAGTGAGGTAATTACATAATTATTTTGCATTTAATTGCCGATTATGTCGCTACAGATTCAAGAAAATGAGGATTTGTCAGTACAACCAAAGGAGATCTTAATTGATATGAGAAAGTGTAGGAAAGGCTTAGTGCAAACACAAGAACAGTTACGCTTTGCGTATGAAGTCACTCTTTATGGCGCGTTTAAAATCCTAAGACATGATAAGATTTCCTGTTCAATAAATTTTGATATTAGTAATGATAATCTTAAACGTAACATCAAGAAGGTATCAACATCTGCAGCACCTTCCAAGCCGAAGAGGAGTAGATCAACTCTTCGTACTACAACAAATGACTCTATAACCGTTTATAATAGTAATACTAGTACTAAAGATCAATCCGTAGATCTAAGGTAATTTGAACATTAATGTATGTGCTAAATTGCGTTTTTTTACTGAAATTAAAATTTCTATAATTTTACATACAGAAATTCTTCAAATTCAGCGAGTGAATCGAATAACAATTCTCCAGAAGATACATCTGGGTAAAATTTGTTTCTGTTCGTCAAAGTTGACGTATTGCTGTTATCTTAATCAGGACTATCAGATATATTGATTACTATACCGTATTATACATATTTCGCATGCTATACCAGTCAATCCTTACGACATAGAAGCTATAAGGAGAAGCAAGAAAAGACCGCAACTTTAGTTGCCGAAATTAAGAAGAAAGTTGTTAAAAATGAGCGACGAAGTTTTCTTTTGCGTTACTTATATCGTGCTGGTTTGCCTATATCAATCCTTTTAGTTATATCCATTGCTATCTACAAATATTTCATACATTGTTGAAATCTTTCATTATAATTAATACACATAAAGCATTATTTGTATTAACAGTATGATAATCGATTTACTTTATACAATACATTTGATAATATTCCTTTTATCTATGATTGCTGTGTTTCATAGAAATATCACTTGATGTCAGCAGGATACAATTTCTAAATGCGTTACCGCTAGGTTATCGCCATTGAAATATACGTATGACCTCACTCTTTCCATTATACAAATTTAAGTTCTTTCATTTTGAGCTAATATAATGAAGATATTAAATAATTAAATAACTGGTAAAAGCAGAAATTTTATAGTATTAACTAAGGTATATCTGTTGTGGCATTTGAGCTTTAGTGATTTGTAAACATCACATGAATATGTGTAGCAACTCCTAAATCCTTATTGTATTATGAATACTTTCTTAGAATGTAAAGCTTACACTCTAATTTGTACGAGAATACTTTAAGACAGCCTCTGATTAATTACGTATTGAAATCAATTTCATTTTTAATGTGGTATCGTTTATATTATGGTATATCAGTATCACGATTTCCTAAGTTCTCTATTTCAGGTCTTGTAGGTATGCTACACCATTGTAAAATTTACTACGGTTACTATTACATTCTTAATACTAGGTGTCCGCGATACATGAGTTACCTCAAATAAACAATGATACTACAATACTGAAAGCTGGACACAGAGAGGCAACGATCTTTATAAGCATATTAACGGTTCGAAGATTGGTGCAAGAATAACTATTTTATATATCGATAATCTACAGCGTCGTCATAATAATGACTAACGATTTACCTAATATCAATTCATGTCTTTTCTGATACTTCTGAGAAAACTAGGTTATAACTGATTAGACTGTTTTATTTATTACAAAAGTCATTACTAATTTTGCTTATTGTGTGCAAAGACTAAATGAGAGCTTCAATGTTAAAATGCTGCAATAAAATTGATTGGATTGAAATACGTTATTTTATTCGAATACTATCCACTTTAATACATGATAACATCAAAGGAAAATGGCTACTTCAAAGTAAAATAATAACTAGACGACACATATTATTGATAAGATCATTACAATTAAATAAACGTGAAATGATACTGTGAAGTGTGTCAATAGCGTTTAAGCCTATTGCAGTCTCACACGTAAATTATCCAATTCCTGCTTGATAAATACAGGTAGATCATCAGCTACTTGCTCTTCAAAATATTTTTCAACATCAACAGTTTCTTGTAACCATTCATCTCTTGGAGTACTCATTAGTTCGCCCATGTCAACCCCATGAAGGCCATCAGTGTTAATAGAATCTGCCTTGGGAACGTAACCAATAGGACGAGCCTCTGCAACATCTTCGCCTTCAGTGCGACGAAATATCCATTCCAAAACACGTGCATTTTCGCCAAAACCAGGCCAAAGGAATTTATCATTATGTTTTCTAAACCAGTTGACGTGAAATATTTTAGGCATTTTTGCATTCGGCTTATCTTGCATACTCAGCCAATGTTCAAGATATCGTCCAAAATTATAGCCTAAGAACGGCCTCATGGCAAAAGGGTCATGCATAACTTCTTTACCTTTATGTTCAGCAGCAGCAGTGGCTTCAGACCTCATAGAAGCTCCCACAAAAATGCCATGTTGCCAGCTGAATGATTCATAGACAAGAGGAACAGTAATAGGACGACGACCTCCAAATAAAATAGCATCAATAGGTACACCTGCTGTACTCTCCCATTCCGGATCCATGATAGGACATTGCTGAGAAGGTGTACAAAAACGAGAATTGGGGTGAGCTGCATTAGTTTTCATAGTGCGATTCCACTTATTTCCCAACCAATCAGTGCATTCTGTCTCATCAGAGATCTGATCTTCGAGGCCTTCCCAATAGAAACCACCATCGCTAGTTTCTGCTACGTTTGTGAATATCGTATTGCGTTCGATGGTTTTCATAGCATTAGGGTTTGTTGCCATGGAAGTACCAGGTGCAACACCAAAAAATCCAGCCTCTGGATTTATTGCACGTAGTTTCCCTTCGCTATCGAATTTCATCCATGCAATATCGTCTCCTACGCATTCAACCTTCCATCCAGGTAGACTAGGTAACATCATTGCCAAGTTGGTTTTGCCGCAAGCGCTAGGAAAAGCAGCTGCAAAATACTTTTTAACTCCATTTGGATTAGTTATTCCCAAAATCTAAAACCCAAATAAAATGTATATTTTTATGATGTTTATAATTTGATACTAGTAACAATGATGTACCAGCATATGCTCGGCAAGCCATCCTTCCCTTCTGGCTATGGACGATGCAATACGTAGTGCAAAGCACTTTTTACCAAGCAGCGAATTACCTCCATATCCACTTCCAAATGATGCAATCATATTTCTATCAGGGAAGTGAGATACGATCGTCGCTGCAGGATTACAAGGCCAAACATATTTGCTTGGAGCTTTCAGAGGCAAAGGCTGGCCAACAGAATGTAAACATTTCACGAAATCGTCTTGACCTAACTGTTCTAAGACATTTTGGCCCATTCTGGTCATGATTCGCATACTCGCGACAACATAGGCGGAATCTGTCAATTGTATTCCAATTTTCGATAAGGGTGATCCAACTGGTCCCATGCTAAACGGAATAACATACATTGTTCGCCCTAAAAAACCAATTATCAACATATTATGATACCAAATCACATCGAACTAGTTAAAATTTTCTATATAAATAGTTACGTCATTCCTATTTTAGCTAAAAATATAAATGTTACAGTTTATGGAATTTATAACAATTATATCCAACAACAGTAAATTACTGTTTTTAAACAACAATTGGTTGACTTTTAGATATATAAAATTCTACACTGGCTGTTAAAGCAGGTGTTGCAGTTAATGGAATTTATAACAATATAAATATAACTAACAACAGTAAGTTACTGTTAAACAACAATTGATAGGCTTTACACATGCAAAAATTGTGCACTGGCTATTAACATAAAGTACTTTTGGGTGACCAAGAAGTATACAAAGTTTTATACGGTACTACAATGTCCAAAGTAGTCATTGTTCTACTTTAGTCTACCTTTCATACAACCGGGAAATCTTTCACCCAATTCATTTTCCATATTTGATATGCCCATCCAATTGCCAAGTTGTTGACTAACGCCTTCTTTTAAGATAGGTACAGTTTCTCGTTTATCGTTGGTACATATATACGTTTTACTTTCAACCCGGGCAACATCTGCAGGGTCAGTTCGCGCTATATAACTATTATTAAAATCATTTTAAATTTCAACTGATTAATAAAACATAATGTGATATGAATACTGTAGATAGTGGTTACATTTGTATCATAAAACTATTAATGAATGCTACAATACGTACTCCTCGCGTTATTAAAATATATATAATAATAGCTCACCAATTTTCATACTTCGGTAACTTTTTTATCATTCCAATATTTAGCAATTGATTGATTAGTGTTGCATTTTCCTCTTCCGATCCATCGCACACGTGGATGTTATCCGGTTGACACAATTTTGCATTTTCTTCGATAAATTGGCGAATTTTTGGCGCTAACTTACTGACACCTTCGTTGGCGCTTACGGCACCGAAGGCACGAAAACTACCTCTCGTTAATATAGGTGCCTTTCGAACTAGTTTTGAGAGAGTGAGTTTATTCAATGGTTGCCTGTTAAAAAATTAAATAAATCATCGGTTTATTGTACATCACTTTAAGGCAAGCCTCAGAGTACGGCCACTTTAGTAATAGTAACATGTTCTTCAACGTATCAAGAACGTAAATGCTTAATATGTACAGTAGAAGGAATGTGGGTACTAACGAATAATAAAAGCAAAAAACACTGACATAGCGCCTACTATAAGTAGCCATCACATAATTTATGGATGCCAGATGTAATGTACGTTAACCACTTTCTTTCATCGCATAAATTATTGTAATTTCTAGTGAGTCAAGAATTTTAAATATGTTACTGATGTTCAGTTCTGATAGCTGCCCAGCGACTGCACATAAAGATTTTCTTTCAGGTAATCTACAATACAGCGATCCTAATTCATAATAGTACATGTTGCATATCTCCGTTATCTTTTATTATTATATATTCAGTACAGAATAGTGTTTACAAAAGATACTACGTATCTTGCCTATTTCCATTAACGGAATTTATTATACTTTTCTGAAGGCATAGACAGGCAATTTCTTATCTTGCTTTAATACAGTGTTTTCTACTCTGTTAAACTTGGTATATTTTGGAATTACATGAATTAAAGTATTAATCAATGGAGAAAACTAAGATACGTTATTAATTAAAAGGATTAGTTGTTCATTGAGCAGGTATTTTAGCTAGTAATTTAGAAAAAAATTATTTGTGAATTATTGCAATTGCCATAACACCATTGTTAGCTGTAATGCTGTATGTATATCGTGTTAACTGTTAATTGATGTGTGAAAACAATACAGTACTATAAATAGAATTCCTACAGTATACTGTTATACATCACCATTTAAAAATCAGAGGTACGAGTAAATTAGCCTTTGTACAGGAACGATAATGTATATTACACATTACGGTAGTGGACCAATAAAAAATTACCACAGTACTGTACATACGAGTATATACTTTTATACAGTAATCGGTGTAATCTTTCAAAGTATTATTCACAGATAAGCGGTACTATTGATAAATAATAACTTGCAATATTATATTATTCTTAGGTTATCAAGATGAATACTTGTTTCCGTAATAATGAGATAAAATATGCGCTTATCAATAATCACAGCTGTGCCACATTTAAAACAGGCAAGTAGCGCGACTGATGTGATCATCCACTGTACAGTAATTGGTCTGTTGGTATTGATTTTTAATGCTATTCTTTATACATAAATGATCCCAATTCGCAAATGACAAGTTATTAATTTAATCACTAATCATTCCTCTGCATTAAGTAAAAAAACTCCAATCGTACTCAACAATTCTGAAAATACAGGATTCAAATATATTGCTGTAAAATGTCGTTTCTATATGAAAGTAAACTTTGACAAATGACAATTCATACAATACGGACTATACTATACTATACTATACGAGTATACGCTCAATATATAAACCATACACAATAATGTTAGGCTAAGACAATTCTATAAGTTACTTGCAAACGGTACATATGTCATTACTATTGCTGCATAATGACGAATAAAATCAAATAGTATTCTTACTAATACAGTAACATACAGTATGTACTGGAAATATATACAGTATGCAGTATGTATGATATGTTGTTTAATTCAATACGAGCACATACAGTATATATACGGTATATCCATCCATTCAGTTCATCAGTGAATCACTGCTACAACAATCTACAAAAACATACTTTAAACGAGCTGGTGTCGTTGCTAATACTGTACTCTGCTGTAAATGATTTTAATTAACTATGATATCAATCCTAAGATCATACGCGCATAGCGTGTAAAGTTTCCCAGGGTTTCTATAGTATGTGTAACATGACTACTGTACTGTACAGCGTTTGTTATATCAAAGTTTATCTTGAGAATTATCCTGTAATCGTTATCTCAATCTCTTAAAATTGCGAGATACAATACTCAACATTGATTTCATTCATACAGTACACTAGACATAACGCCATTTCTTTCATTACATCTTCATTTGCCACCTATTAAGTAGGAATCTACGATACATTTACAATACTATGTACTCCACAGGCGAATTAGTGAATGTAGGCGTTGTTTCTTTAAACATTGATATCAAAAAATGCAGCCATCTATGAGTCGTACTCTACTACTGTATATCTAATACTATTAAACCGTGCTTTCCTACACCGATGCCAAAACTATTTCTCCCTGTAAAGCTATTCATTATCCATGTGTTCGACCATGTATAACTAACTTCTCTCTAGTCACGTATGTGGAGTGTACAGTACACAATCCATAAATAAATTATATATGTATTATATTATTATTTATTCATTCTGTTCGTACAGTACTTTAGTTACTGCACTACTGATACAGCATACGACACTGCAAATTTCATCGCTATCAACGTCTCAGTATGTTGAATAAATAATTTACAAAGCAATTCTAAAGCTATAAATAACGAAGCTCATATTACCTCAAAAAAGCGGTCATGATGGCTACCTTCGATGTATACTGTCTTGCCTTTCAAGCCTACGATATTCGAAAATGGATGATAGATCCTTCTTATACACACAGAAGATACACCCGGATGCACGCCTTCTCGGAAGCATCTGTTGCTTCAACTTGTAGTCTACTACAGTATATATCTATTGCAACCACAGTAGTGTACTGTACTGTACTGTACTGTACTGTACAGTACTGTACGTCTGTAAAGTATAGTACAGTACACTTCACTGTACTGTCCTGTACTGTACACTGTACAGTACAGTACAGTACAGTACAGTACAGTGAACAATAAGCCAGTGAAACTTTTCAAAGAAAATCGTTTTTACACGATTTTTCAACTCGTGGTTTTATCAGCCGCATCCATAATACTGTACAGTACGGTAGTGTTGCGGTAATCTCATCAGAGATTACAGTACGAAAAATTTTATTTTACAGTTCATACTGTACTGAAACACTGTTCTGTACAGTACTGTACAGTACAGTACAGTACAGTACGGTACTGTACTGTACGCCATAGAGTTGAGAAAAAAACAGTTGTACTGTACAGTACAGTTCGTTTTTTTCTTGAACTCTGTGACGCGTCGGGCATTCAATCGAGGTTAAAGAAAAGGTCAGTACACGTTTACCGTACAAAGTTTTTACACACGACCGTACAACCCTGTACAGGTGTATCAAAGTATTTTGTCACTTTGAAAAGCATCAACCAGTGATCTTAATAAGCAAGTACTGATTAAGAGTTGTTACATTCCATAGCATTTAATATTAATATATCCATTCTATTATAGCTTTACTGTATTTTTAAAGAAAAATATTGCCCGAAAGTGACAAAATGTTATAGTACTGTACTATACAGTAGATTGTACTGTACTGTCGATAAAAGAAAAGAAAGAAAAAATGTACAGTACTGTACTGTACTGTACAGTCCTGTCACTTTAATGTACAGTACAGTACAGTAGAACAATTGAGCACCGTCTTTTAAGCATACAGTACAGTACAAGGTGTAGAATTTCTTTCTAAAGTTTTGATCATTTTATCTGTTTTTTTTAAATCTACAGTACTGTAGATCGAATTTCTACTGTACACCCTGTACTGTACAGTACTGTACTGTACCGTACAGATAAAAGAAATTACAGTACAGTACTGTAGAAAATTCGGAATTTAATACAATATTACGTAGAAGTTGCTCAATTAACCTCATTTTAATCAATTAAATTAAAAAGCCTAGTTATTCAGCTTTATATTCGTATAATTTTTGTTACATTTTGATTCACTCTCGTGATTTTAGGGCAGCTTAAAGTACTCTAATTCGAACTGGTTCACACTCAGTATATTAACATATCGAATGCCTCTCAGCGAAAAAAAAAGACTCAGCTCTAGAGCCCTATAAAAAACACAAAGTTCAGAGTTTCCTCTCAGTACCATGAACATGAAAGTAGTATCACGGTGACGTATGAGTTAGGAATAAACAAGGAGATGCCACTGAGGTTAAGAAAATAGATGACCCATCGAAAAGCTCGATACTTTGTTCTTTCTTTGAACTTTGAAAATACATTTATGGGTCTGTTTGAGGCTTGGTCTACAGATTGTAAGCCCAATAGCCCATATTTGCTTAGAGTTTCCAGTTAATGCTGTTCGTAAAGTATGATACCGTTAAGGGTACTATAGGTGTATTAATTACTAACTGTAAATTACTGTACTTGTATGATTCCTAAACTGACCTTTGGAGGGCTACGAAAACTCTTTATGATAATAAAGTAAAATAAACAAACAAATAGTACTGAACTATACTGTACATTGACCCGAAAGGGCGAAATCTAGTAATGTACGTAGTTTACTGTTAGCACAACGTCACAGTGATTGTAATACTACGTTTCAACCTACTTCTGCAATTGCTGGCTATCGTTCAGTACTTTACCATGCCGTTATCCACACTGAACCTGGTTTGCAATCTTTGAATATTGTTCGCATTACGCGTGCGCTTGTGCAGTTTGTTGTACATTGAACACTACAAGAACTAGGGACTGACTGTAAAGACTGCGGTCAATCCCTCTGATATTTGCCTACGATGTTATTCTACTGCAACTACCATATTCTTAACGATAAAATAATTACCGTATCATAGGGTTCAGTATTAGACATATTCTGCTTTTATCCGTGATCGTATCTGCCAGAAATCCCTCGGATTTTTAAAGATGCCTTATGAATGGATCATACATTTATTTAATAATTAATTAGCTATTCTTCATGAAGTAAATCAAGTATTTATTTAAAAACGATATTGTGCTTCAATTAGCTTCGTTATCCTATTTTATAAAAACGGGTATGCAAGCCAGATCTAAAAATAATTATTCACAATATCCAAGAACCTTAAAATGACATTCCTTAACTTTTTTAATCTCGAAGATATTTGTAATATACTGTAGTATCGTTTACGTTCTAATCTCATAATATAATTTAGATAGCCTCTGAATAGCCATAATACAATATCAAAACCTTAAGTATGAGAATACCCGCTCATCGTATACTTTTAAATGAAAGAATACGTTAGTACTTCAAATTGTTTAGTTGTCCACATCATCGTTTAATGTAAGTAAGTAAATCTTATGTACGAAGCAATCTTAATAGTATGATGCTATTGTAAGGAAATTAATCAAATAGTGATACTTGTGTATATATACGAGTATAAACTAAAGTGAATAAATACGTAAATATAAATATTGCAGTATTAAAGCAATACAATTATGTATGATGCGTCAGAGAGCCAGTAGGTACGTAATGTATATAGATATCGAAATTGTGCAAGTTCGTAAAAAACTACTGTAATTTCTTAACATATTGATATCATTAACTTAGCTTCTCATTATCGGTATTAAATCAGATTAATAATCAGTGATTAATCGTAATATTTCATAGAATTAAATATATAAAACAGTTTATGAGCTTTTATTATTGTCGAGAACCGAAGAATTTGTATAGCGACGAGTACCATCAGGATATGGCGGTAGTTCTTGCACGAAGTACGTTGTTAACTCCCCTTTACCTTTCACTGGTATTTTTCCACGACATATAAGAGTAAATCCATATGACTGCAATATTGCTGCCGTCTCTTCACCAACCTTACATATTAATCATTAATATAGAGATTATCACCATGAAGATTAAGTCTACAATGCTCGTATGTTGGGTTACTTTCTATGCTATAGGTATTAGAGCATGCAAGAATAAACAAAGGTGATAAATAATCTATAGACGTTGCACTAATATGGCAGCCTTTGCAATTTTTTATCTAAAAACATAAATACAATCTTTTTTGTAATACCTGAATATGACCAATTAAACCAGTTGTATCCATACGACTAGCGACATTAACAGTATCGCCCCATATGTCGTACTGTGGCTTTCTAGCTCCAATTACTCCAGAAACAACCGGTCCATGATTTATTCCTCAAAAATTTAAAATTTAATATATCTAACTATTACAAAAAGATGAAATTATAATCCTATGAATTTTAAATAGCAATAATAAATAATCTAAAATACATAGTACGTAGTATGGTTTGTATTACCAATTCTCATTTTGAAATTGTTGAAAGCATGAGTATTGATACGATTTATGATTGACATCAACGCAAAGGCATATTCTACCAAAACAATTACAAAAGATTCTTGCGTCTTGGGATTTACTATTTCTTCATTCTGTGCGTAAATCCAATAAAGGTAATAATATTTCAATCACATCGATATTCTGTATATCTATCCTCGACTCAATATATCAAAATTAAATATATTTAAGGAGAAAGGATACTTCACTAATCAATTTAAAACTTCATCATCTATTTTAATCTTGAAGAATACGGATGTACTATTTAAATTTAATGTTAGTAGTAAAATTGAAGTTATGAACCGTAGTAGGCTGTAAGCCAGACGCAGCCATATAAGTGCTGTTAATAGTTTTAATCTTGTCAATTTGCGAAAATTTTGGTTTCAGTAGAAGCTATCCGACAAAAATGAAAAGCAAAAGATATTTGTTACGGATTTTATACGATTTCTACCTTTAAATATGACTATCACCAGATTTAAATCAGTACCGGTACGCATTACTTACTAAAAGGGATAATTATCATTAAAAACTATATTATTGAGCTATAATATTATATTTTTGATTGTACGTAGGCTATAATTCGATTAATGTTTCAAGCAAAGTACAGTATTCTAGTCTAAAACTGTTAAATTAAATAAATTTAACTCTTACAGATTATCTTCCTAAATGCAGTTATTATTTTAAAATTTAACTATATTAAAGTTTACTCAATTCGAAGAACGATTCCCTAATAAAATCAATAATATAATTTATGACGCATGATGCCTAAGATATTTAGTAAATATCTGAACCCTGTAAATTAGGTATCATTCTTATTTATTACGTGGAATTAAAAATAATAACAATTACTCTGCATTTGACTATTACTCACATATTAAATTATCTAGTATTAATAACATCATGAACGTAATTTTTCTTACTTCGTCGAAATCAATAAAAATTTCATTTAGCAATCGGAGACATTCAACACCTTGATTATTTGCATCATTTTCAACGTAAAATGAAGGGAAAAAATTAGGAATCGAAGCAAACATGACACCAACAAATCCATGAGAATTGGCCAACAATTCCTTAGCAACCAAGATAAAAGTAGGAATAATCAACTTAAAGTCACATTTTATTCATTGTCTTCATCAAAATTAGTATCTAAAGGCAGCACTTATACCGGAAGATAAATACCAAATATCAAATATTTTTAATTATCATCGAATGTTGTAATTAGTTATAATAACTAACATCGGGGTTATTGTTCGTCGTGAAATGGTGTGCCGCATGAAGAGGTAAAAGACTTTCCAATAAAGTTGAGTTAATTGAATCTACTGCTTCAATTTCTTCTTGTTTGTGATGACACTAATAAATAAATGCGGGTATTTTAAATTTAGAAATCAATTGTTTATCAACTTTAAGATTTATAATGTAGATTTATTCAAAATCTACATGATACATTTTACAGTACTATATTTAATATATCGTGTTAAAACATGACGCCATGCAAAAAAATTGCATTTTACTAAGCTTTTGGCAACACTTACTTGAACTTGCCATAAGAAATCTATTCTAGAAGTATAATGCACCTACATGAAAATTTATTAAAATAAATTTTAAACTTTAGGAGAGTTACTAAACACTCGTATTAAGTAAATGAGGAAGAAAATTTCATGCCTGTCTATCTAAAGCTAGTAACATCACACAATAAGTTGTAATCACAACGACCGCTTCATATCTGAATTCAATAATTTGCTTCTTGGGCCTAAATTATAATTAGAGAGGTTTCTAAGTAATCATTTTTTCAAGGAATAAAAGAAGATAACGTGTTAGATAAATAATTTACCTCTTATCATATTGAATATGATCAAAATTATCGAATAAGGCTTTATAAAAATCCAAAAATATTAAAAAGTATGCAGTTGCTATCAAAGTAACAACAAAGTATTTAACCGGACTGGAAGTTTTTAGAAATGCACCAATGGTAAATAAACTCAGCATCATAGCATAAGCAAAAGCCTGCAAAAGTAATTTTCAAGAAGATGCAACAGATTAATAATAGCAAGATACATTTATTACAACATTTAAAATCTGAGTATATATTGTATTTAACCGAGAAAGATTTATTAAATTTAGAATTTCGCGTAAGATTAGATATATATGTAATTTTATTATGCCTAACCGGTGCATAATAACAGCGAGAACTTTGATACATTTCTTGACTTATGCTTTTACTAATTTCCTGACTGTTGTTACTGCTATCATTCAATTGGTGATTTTGTAAATAGAAGTCTTGATCACAAGGAATCTAATGAATAAGACAAAGTCCTTAGGTATCGATTATATAGGTATTATTTTAGGATATATATTTAAATTGATTGTGGACAAAATCGCAATTTTTGCATAGTAATAACATACGAAATAGTAGTACAAATAAATGTAGAAGAATCTTATTTAAATGCGATCTATTATGCTATAATTGTAGTAAAATTTGGAGAATCAAGAAAAATGCTTTGCTACAGATGTATATCTATTTAAACTTACAATACTCATGAATGAAGCTATCAGAACTGTTATCATAACAATTGTCGCTAGGAAGTTACGTGCGTGATGACTTCTCATAACTCGATTGCAAATTTTTTTAATTGGATTTAGGACAGTAGATTTCATAGTACACTATGAAAAGATTAATCAACATTAGTATTTCTTATTATTTACCTAAGTATTACTACAATTCACAGTTGTTCAGTAAAGTAATTAAATTTTAAAAGTAAATTGAGTTTAAAAGCATAATTAAAGGAGTAAAAATACCTTGCATTTTCCTAATGTAGCAACAAGTGCGATGAAGACGAGTATAATAAAGGCACATGGAAACGTTACATAAACAAATAGTGTCCTACGACTTAATATTAGTAATAATAGCAGATATTAGTAAAAGCGAATAAGGTAATTTATGGAATGTAGTATCAATAGTCATACGTATATCATAAAGCTACTTTTCACAAACCTGGGAGTCACAGTAAGTATAATAACCGTTACAAAGCAAAAAATAATTAAGGAAACATATACATAAAATTTAAATAATGGATCTTCGAGCCCGCAATACTAGCAGAAATGAAGCGAAATATGGAAAATAATTACAATTCCTAATCGTAATAAATTTTAGAGGTTTCCCTTAAGAGATAATTTTAAAATTATCCTATCGCTTCGAATTCATCTTACCTCTTTTTCAAGTTTGGTATCATGAAATCGTAATGTCCAATAGTTCATATACTTTGTCCATTTAACATCATCGTCTTTACTATAAAACGATTGAATTAATGGCTTGTAATAACTTGCAACTTTCATCAATAATAAATAATCTTTACTTTATCACTAAAGGTTATTTAAAGATTAAAAATTTCGCAGCTTATTTATTGGTTACGAAATTTTGAGTATCTATAGCAGATAATACATGTATAGTTAAGTATAAGAAGAATTTATATAATTGTCAATAATTTGTAAATATAGTCAAGGTAGTATTATCTATAGTTAATAATACTAACCTTATTTCGGAGTCATCCAAATATTTTAAAATTGATAGCTTAATCTTATTGTCCACTTCCTCCATTTCTCGTTGAAATGTTCTCAGAGTAACACTTACTCTATAATAGCGTTAACTTAGAGATTAATATGCACGTATAATATACCGATATAGGAAAATATTATAATTTTAGACCAACCTTGGTAATTTAAGATTGTCTAGTTGAACTGGTATTTCAGAATCCCTCTAACACGTTTAAAATTCGATTGTTAGAACAAATCTTAAGGCAGCCTATTTCCAGGTTTTAATTGCATTTACAATTTGATTTAAGGGAAATTGGATATGGATTTACTAGTATATTTTACAATGCGTCGTACTAACGTGCTAAAGATAGAGGAAATAGTAGATACCGTACTGAATACAGTAGCGATAAATATTCGATTTTGAATTATCTGAACATCCTTTATACATATTTGCTTGTACACCATGAACTTGGATAATGATGAAAATCAAGATTTACACGTATTCTATTAATAAAAGCCGTATTGCAGATTAATACTTAGCGCTTGTAGTAATCAGTTTACTAATATCACTTATCTCAGTAAGAATTTAATAGTTTTATATTCAACCAGGGTCTATCTATTTTAGCAATTTAACCATTCTTAAAACTCATAATACATTGAAAAACTGTTGTGTATTATTATTAAGTAATATCATTATAGCAATACATAATTCGACAAATACTAATGCAGTAATACCCTATAGTTTTACAGTATATCACAGTTATAATAACCCCTATATCAGCATAACAAATATTATGTTATCAGCCACAAAAAACTAAAAAACTATAATGCTATTTATTCGATTTAACTGGATAAACAAGTCAATGACACGCTAAATAGTGCTATATTGAAGTACTAACGACGATACAGAAAAATCCGGTAAAAGCAGAGTTCTATACGTATAAGGCGTTCGTTGATCACAAGAACTCACACTCCATGGTAGCCTTCAATATGAGGGATATTTTTATAAAATTTAACCATAAATGTGCTGAGGTGATAATATTTTTGTTTATAAAAAATAATCTTCACCCTGATCGACGTATACCGAGTATACCATGATATCATAATGATATTCTAACAAATTTTTCTGAATTTTCGAAAATATGTGGGTGATTGTAATTAACAACTATCAGCATCATTAAAATCACTTGATTGCCGTCCTTAACATATTTTCGATCGAAATAGGAATACCCGTGATGTTAGGAAATATTTACCGATAGAGGGTTATGGGCTATTCTCTTGAACGATAATTCTGCAAAAGGTTTATCAGCTCCCCAATGTTCAACAAATTTAGACAGAGAGACCTGCCTTCTTCGGTTCCTTCCTTTATCATTACTAAATGCTGCACCCTTTGCTAATCCGGATAATTTATTTTTTCTAGCCTGGGAATTAAATATGTAGTATTTTAGCGCTTTCTAATGTTTCTGTATTATGATAATAAATTTAATAAGTGGAAAATGACTATATATTATTTTACAACTGTAGAGTTTTTAAAATGTTTATAATGAGGCAAAACTTACCTTAACCAAAACAGATTTTTCTTTTTTTTGAATGAAAAATGTAGAAACATTATGATCTTTCAAGTAAGCATTACGCTCTTGGCCATGGGCATCAATAATAGTAAAATATTTGGTAAGGTGGCCTAGATTTTCAACTGTAGCTTGTGATATATGAACGAGGCTAAGCGGAAAGAAATAAATTAAGTAACTTAATTAAAATATTAGAATATTTTAAGTTACAACACCCAAAAACTTTGTTATTGATATTGCTTATTGATTCGATATAATAAATATTTGATAATGCAATATTGCAAATAAAGCACCCTCAAAAATTCCAAACGAAAATTGACGTTGTCGCTTCAGTATTGTTATGAGATAAAAATATTAGCGACTACAGAATGTAATCAAAGCTTAGATTTGTATCTTTAATAGTTGCAAATGTCATCTAATCCTTTTTACCCTGGCATTCCTCCTGATTCCATATGATTAGCTAGAATAACATCGTTTGACCAAACATCAAACTGCCATTTTTGTTGTCCTAGTATTCCGCATAACACACTACCAGTGTGAATTCCAACTCTCATATTGATATTACTATTTGTTGCTTCGCCGAGCTCTCTAAATTTTACAAGGAAAGTATAAATAATTAATATGTAATATAAATTTTGAAATTTTTAAAAATTGCTATTATATCAGAATACTTTAACCAAGACCACTTAAGTGACCGTATCAAAACTTAATATCGAAAAATGATCATAACATTCCATTGTAAACTTACAAAATCGCTTTAATCATCGCAAGAGCCATTTCAACACTACATTTGGCGTGATTAACTAAGCAGTCGTCATTTACAAATAACCCTGATACACAGTAATAGCAATCGCCAAGAATTCGTATTCTCATGCAATGATTTTTCTATGATTTGAATAGATTAACTGTATTAGTATGAGCCACGAAAGATGTTTCTTATAAGTAAAATTTATGAAACTTAACGATCTACTCTACTAATCTCTACTTTAAGTAGAAAAATATGCCATAGAAAATAATCTACGACATAAAAGGCACTAATATTCGAGAAAAATAAGAATCTTAGTAATTTAGCAATGATAATAATTTACCATCCCATCTTAATCATAATATAAAAGAATATTAATACTATAAAATGTATTACTATTTACCATATTAAAGTAGGCTTACTAGTATCATTCTTCGATTAAAACAGCAAATATATATTACAAGCAGACTATATTTTAGCATCATTACTTTCTCCGTGAGACAGCGACATTATTTTGCGCTACAGTTAATGTAAGACGAAACTTGCCTTTCGATCTGAAATATAGTAGATATCATTCTAACTATACTTTGATCAATTCTCCGTTACCTTTGCAAGCTGATCAAATTTTCCAAATAGTTCATTTAATATTTGGACTATTTCTCTTGCTGTACATTGAGATGATAGTTTGGTAAAGCCAACGATATCGGCAAATAAAATGCTACACAAAGCAATTTACTGAATAAATTAGCTGCACACACTAAGTATGAATTTTCGTAGCAGACAATAAGATTAAAAAGTAGAAAGGTATACACGACTTTTGTGTTAAATTATAGTCTAAATCCATCCGAGCGACAGATTTAAGTGCTACAGTACGTAACAACTACAATGTAGAAAACGATGTTTTTTAGAATTTTTCGTCAAGTTACCTAACATTTTCGTGCCTAGTTACATAAATTTTATGAAATTGCTGTGGAATTTGAGTTAAATGCCCATTTTTTTGATTTATTGTTGTCATCAATCTAGATAGTTTATCCTTAATGATTTCATCAGCGATATCTTTAGGTAAAATTGATTTTAGTAATCTTTCCTATGAAACAAGGTTTGATGTTTAAATTGCTTAATTATATAAAATTAAAGATCGATTAGCTGCCGTATATTATAATAAAACTAAATCTCATTACGTAACTACTATTAAGTAACCAGTTTTTAATTTTCAAATGATAAATATAACGGCACATTTCATCTTGTTTTAAGTATCTATTAGAATACCTGCTTTTTTCTTTCTTTATCTAACTCAACAGTAGTTTTTATGCAGTCGTATGTGACTATAAACATTTTACGTTGAGTTATATCGAACAGAATTTTGTGATAGATTCCAAAGAGATTGGAGCATAAAAAGGCAAGAAAGTTAATTCCAAGCTAGAAAAGAATTAAGAATATCGGTTCTTTATCTATAATTACTGTGCATCGTTTATCTTTACAGTTATGTTATTTATTGTCAATAAGACCATTCAAAATTTTTTGAGTAGTAGCTTTAAACGAAATTAGCTATAAGTATGAAGGAAATATATTTACCTGTGAGACGTAAACAGGGTTATTGGCTTTAAACCCTGCTATTAGTAGATGGGCAGCGGTCATAATGGTTCCAGCAATGATAGCGGTTAATAAATCTAACGGTAGCATCGTATAAGTCACAAAGATAGCATAAATGACTGATATTACTTGTTCACTTGGTGAAGCAAAACGTGACAATAACATATATAGGTAAGGATCTAATATTATTAGGAAACCCAGCGTAATTGCCCAAGGTGCAATTCGTTTAATATGGAACCGTTTTATTGTAATAAAGGCAGCGGTAATAAACGAAGCAAGCAATCTTAATGCCCATACTATAATCAGCGCAATATTAGGCGTTGTAAATTTCTAGATCATGAAAAACAGAAGGAAAATCTTGATTACTTATTAATATATAATCGAGTGTAATACTGCATAATGCAACATAAAATGGTAATAAGTTGGCAATGAACCCTTAGTATGAAAGTGTATAATGCTAGGATATTTACAGTACCATTCATACTGTAAATATATTTGTATTAAATTATACTATGGAATACCTTGACAGTGGGTAACATGTAATATTTTGTGACATTGTATCATTATTTTGCTAATTTAATATAACAGGGGTTTGCTGCTAGTTTATAAGTACTGGAACCCTAATAAATGACAGATCGGTTATAAAATTGCAGATATACCAAATCTGTACAGATAGATTATGTAGGAACTTGATGTAAGTAGTGCCATGCACAAGGACATTGTCATAAATAACGATATTTTCTAAATTATAATCAGTGTTACCTTAAATTATCGTTAAAACTACAATGGGTTGAATAGTAGATGGAGAATTGATTCATGTACGTAATTAACTTTATTAGAAACATTGTTTGAAAAATTGCCTTAAATTTTTAACAATTTGTACCAGAATTATAAGGAAGACTGAGTATAGATCTGACAGTCTTAAAATATGTCTATTACTGTACCATTCCTTCCTGGATTGGCTTTTTTTACCCTAACACAGTAATTAAGCTTAATACTCGTACGTAGGGAAATCTGGTTAAAGTTGAAGATTGCAAAGTGTATAGATTGCAGTATGTCTAACTTTTTATTCTTATATTAGTGTTTAAAATGTTTAATTGCCTAGTGTATCGTTAGACTATAGCATACAATTGCTAAAATCACTTGAAGCTCATGATTTTATTACTCACAGATATTTTACTTGTTAGACGAGACTCGCTTTTATGAAGATAGGAAAATTTTAAAATATCCTGATAATTCGAGCAAAACGTAACATTCAGCTATGGAATAGTGTTTACCTAATTTGTATAGATTTACTTTTTTAAGTTTCGTTACATACATATGAAGATATAACGAAATTTCTCTTATTAGATTAGAATTAATACCATAGATACGGTGGTCAATTTTGGCAATAACTCATTATTCTACAGTGTTCTCTTCCTCACACGAAAATTAAAATAGTCTTGCCATAGTTCATAGATCCAATATTTGCAGGATTGAGTTCTGTCCCTTTACTAAATGTATATTGCAGTGAGATATTATACCAATATGGTGCATGCTAAGATATTAATATGTATTCTTTATAGTAAGCATGACAAACATTAGAGGTTCGGTATTAGTGAATATGATAACTACGTGGTAGGTGTATTGTACTGATCACCCAATATCGGTAGGAGGAGTCAAATAAAACTTTGTAGATAATGTTAAGTGTTCGTATGTGTAATAGGGTGTGCTTTAGGTTGTAAGATATAATAAGAATATAACGAGAAGCGTGAGCATTCTGTAAGGTTGATTGCATAAGACATTAAGCTGAATAAGGACTGAAACATTATATATATGATTTTTTTACTTTACTAACAACATGTACCAGCATGTACCAATAATGCAATAAAACATTGCACATGGGCTATATATCTGTGGATAACAAAGCTAGTACAGATAATTGTAATATCACGATGAAATTATTTTCTTTTTGAGCTGATATGATGTCATTAGAGAATTTATACGACGGATTACTGTATGTAATGTTGTTTTATAGAATAACAGATCATTTCTGTTATTGTATAAAGCACGTTACCGTATCTCGGGTTTTCTTTAAATCTCTTATCTAAATCTCTAATCATAGTAAAGTAATTACAGTAATATATTTACAATTAATTGGAACTTTGAGCCAATATTAATATATATTTCTTATTACAATATTTGTCATTTACAATGAAGATACAATCTACATAATGTAGTCTAGTAAATCTACTTGAGTAAGTAATCGATGTAATTAATTACGCCTACGTAGGGAAAGAGTTCAATGCTCTTCATCAATTCATTAGCTTATATCTTTTTCTAATCATATTTGTATATCAGAATCATTGGGATAAGAAAATAGAATACTATAAGCAGGAATTTCTGAGAATTTCTCTTAGAAGTTCCTGACTATAAGCTATCTATCTATGATATCAACATCATATATGGAAATGCTAATTAAACTATAGTAGTTAAGATCTATTAGCATGGCAATATTGTTCAGTTGTTTCATTCAATTGGGTTTGTCACAGAATAATACAATACTTCTCTAAGTTTTGTAGCATTGCGGTAACATATTGAAATTATTTTACAGAAAAATATATGTAATCTTCTATTTGTCTATAAATACTACAAGGGATTGCATAGTTGTGTTTATATCTAGAAGTGATACGTATATTTGTAGTAAAGGATTCTTCAGTTTAAGATGCAGGATTTGATACTATAGAAAGTGCAATATTTTCAAGAAATCTTAGAATAATGATAACTAAATAAGAGGGATGGCGTTAAAATATGGACGTTTGGTCTAATTTTTGTATCTATCTTCGTTAACTACTTATTATTTATATTTATTGGGCTAATTAGATATTTCAATTGCTAGTTTGGGATAGGAATGAAAAGTTATATTAAAGTGCATTAGTAAAAAGATTATTTTATTTCTAAATTTGATTATACTAGTAGAAACTTCTTGTTATGCTTTAATTTAAAGTAGCTCAATTGTGAATATACATACATAGATAGGTTTAAAATAGATATTTAATTACTCATGATGTATTCATATTCAGAAATTCGATGTGATATGTCCTGATTTGAAGCAGAAACTATCATACAATATAAAATAATATTCATCGTAGGGTGATATCTAATTGCATGTATACCATGATATAGCATTCACTTGGTTACAGTAAATAAAATTCCATTTTTTACTAGCATTTAAGCGTGATTAAGTTTAGCCTATCAGTTAAATAAGTATACTTTAATAATATTCAACAGTATCAAACTTTGATATGACTTCATTTTAATACACAGTTTAAAGCCATTCGTTTATGGCACATGTACAGAGTTATTTGAATTCTGAAAAAACAAACCATCTTCTCTCACTATTGATACGTAACCCAGAATTGCCATTATTTTTAGTTGTGATATAGGCTACTATGATAAATATCTTTTGAGTATTTTTCGTTTATACCCTTTGTAATGGATTCAAACTGCTATATAAATGTAAGCTGTAAGACAATATACTGATGATACAATTACCTACTATTAGATATTATTTTCTATCGATAGGTCATATTTGGATAAGTGATAACTTCAGCAATGACTGAATAAGGTGTGTATAGGATAATTTGTATAATTAAAATTGAATAGATTCGCCCCGTTACCTTTTTGCTATCGCATAGTAAAAAAACATCGATATAAATAATTCATTGATGTAGCATAATTATACTTCGCAACGCATTATAATTGGGGAGGGAAAAATGATGTTAAAAACAACAGATCGATTAGCAGGAAATGTAATAAATTAATCGTAGTTATTTCAGATTTTTGGGATTCCTGTTATAAATCGAAATTTGAAAAAACATGGTCCCTAGATTGAAATTCACACAATTTTAAATCCTTTGTCATAGCTTTAAATTAAGCTAACCTTGTAAGCTGAAAACAGTCGCATATTCTATCGTACAGAAATATTACTTATTAAAGACAGTAGAAGGAAATTTTTAGTTGATGTAGGGTATTATCATCACTATTTTTTAGATCTCACTTGTATTTTGTGATGATATACAATAGATACCCGTATAATAGAATTTCTATTATTCTAATATAGAAATTATTGATGTCATGTTTTCAATGTAAAACTTGGAAGTGATAGAGTATTTATATTGTAACTTGTAATTAAGAATCACCTAGTAACTAAAAATTTTCGATGAAAGCTAAAAAAAACACATGACGCGAATTTACTGGGATAGTTTTTAAAACGTCGTAACACTTGGCATATCCGTTTGTGCAAGAATAACAAATGTAGTCGCTGAATGATCTGTATTGACTGTAAATAACTAACAAGTAACGAGACGTGCGCTATCCTACTAATTTTATTATATTAAGCAAATGTAACCTATATCTTAATTACATGAAATTATTGAGTGGCGTAAAACGTATATGGGTAAATAAGAATTATGTACTATTATATCTGATATTATATTAGGCTTACCTTGTCTCTGCTGACATATAAACCGGCCGAAATACAATCAGATAGCATTGTGACAAAAATTAGAGCTCGAGCAGAATATAGCTTTTGTTGAAGGCAGTAAGACTGATATAGCTCTTCATAACCTTCGGAAATAAATCTTGGTTGTAAGCATTGATATCGCCAAATTAAAACTCCTACGTCATTTCTATCAGACATACTCGTATTTAGTACCGATGCAGTACTATAGCGTTCAGATCGTTTAGTTTTCGAAGTAATTGTTGCCATAATTTAGACTTTCAATATATGAAGGGTGACAGTAACTCAGCATAAGCAGTTGTTAGAATTTAATTGAAGTCGAGAGACATAATATGTGCAGTCCAGCAATTACTTTAAGAAGGTTCGATGAATCCAGGGCAGAGAAGGTTTGATTGCGATTACTGTAATTGAGAGAGAAAGTAAAAAGCAAAAGTGTTTGTAAATAAGTTTAGTTCGACTCAGACAAGCTTTATTGCTTACAGTACTAATTTATTCCTTTTTCATTAACTTTATTGTATAATAATTACCACTGCTATAGTGATGAATCTTCTCATTTTGCAAAATGAAGTAAAGTGATACTGCAAACCAAATTCTAAATTAATTAGATTCGAATAATCGATTAATATCTTATCGTAATACAGAATAACATTATACTATTATAGTCTTAATATTGTAACCATCGACAGATAATGCCTAAAGACATACAAAAATTATCTAATATCGATGTGGATAAAATATTACATTCCAATTGATGTGACTACATCAGTACAAGGTATTATCGATTGCGTTAGTATGATCTCCAGTGAATAATGGAATAAATTTAACAAAGAAAACTGTCGTTTTCATCTTTACTGATTTTTTTATCAACATTGATAGAAATGTACGATATCTAGCAAGTTTCGTTCATCTTAGTAACATGACGGCATACGAACGCTATCACAATGCGTCAATGGAATATTACGTTTTCAACATTTGATCTATTCAGTTAATTAATTAAAATAGTTTAATAGCTAGATACGGAAGTCTGTTTTAGCAATACACCCAAGATGGTATACAGTAAACATTTATCTCCTGTGTAGAATACGGTATTAACAGTAAGGAAAGTTTCTATGAATACTATCAACATAAAAGCTTCTGTTACGTATATTAAGGGTGAAAATGGCTACTTGCTTACTTTCTTATTTTATCTAATAATTCGAGTTTATTTTACATTATGCATGAGATTTTTTATAACTATAATACAATCTATCTAATTTATTACCTTCTGTTTTAGGAATAAAGTTCTATTAGTTATATCATGATGAATTAGTAAGCATCTTCGAAGTGTCGTTTATCTTTGGAAAGTAGAGATTGGTTTAATTAAGATCATAAAATGGTGAAAGTTGAGAGAAAAAAGAATCTCTAATTGTAGGTTACCGTAATTCAATGCTCCAGGCTGGAGATAATTCGTTTAGCCTCACAATATTCCGGTGTTTTTAAGATTGCTTCTTCGAAGAATTCGATTGCTACGCGTTGTGATTGTCAATTGGCTGAAACCTATTACTGTAGTGTGATAGTTAACACTTTTATTCTTTCAAGTTTCTCGCTTAAAGACAGTTTGTATGCCAGATACGGTATTTATTAGTCCAGATCGCAGGTTCAGCTTATTGCAATAGCCCTTCTAGCCAGGATGCTATGTTAATTTTTGGCCGCTAGCTTGCTGCTGTATAGTATTGTTCTTATACTAAAATGATTCCTTTCTAATCGGTATTGATTAATTGATTGATACTACTAATAATGAAAGCTGCTAATGAAGTTACAACTCGGTCTAACATAGAAAATAATGGTTTACAAATGGTTGCTTAACGTTTTTTTTTTGCCGCGAAGACGATTTACCACCTAAAATTTTTTCGTGAGGCTGTAGAGGCGTATGATACTTTATGTAATATCTTTGATGATATTTACGTGATCTCACTGGATAGAATAGAGCACAAGTAGATGGGGCTGCTGTGCGCTATTGTATTTAATGTGAGTATTAAAATAGATGTCTGCAACACCCCTAAGTATTAACTTAAACAGCTGATCACAACAAGGATACGTCGGCACAGGTATGCAATTATCGTCCAGTTGTCTGGCTATTTTCAATATTGATTACAAGCTGCTGAGTGAATGCTAAACAGCGAATACTATATAACTGTAAGTAAGAACAAAGAAAAATCTACTATGTAAGTAAAGTATGATAATATAATTACTTTATTATATTATTATTATTATTTTATTTATACACCTACATGTACTATAGTAACCTGTCAAAATATCACAGATATAGTAGGCTATGCATTAAGTATGCAATATGCATTGTTGTTATGAATACAACAATATGGATAGCAAATGATAATATTAGAAGTTATACATGAAACGGATAGTCAAATACGTTATTAATTCATTGTAGTAGTGAAGCAATAAACTAGCAGTGATAGAGTGATTTAAAAAGTGAAAATTTAAATAAAACATTGGTGCAGTCGCTATTTAATTTTACAGGTAATTGCCGTAGCTTGCTATATACACTGAGGAAGAAAATCCGTAGATCAATGATTCGGTGAAAGCGGTCGAGCGCATAAATTTATTTCGTTTCTAGGATTCCTTTTGTATCCTTTCTGTCTTACTTTTGCCGATATTTTTAATTGGCTTAGGCATGTACTACCAGATATATAGGTACATTTAGTAGTTCATAGCTTAGATTACTATAAATAATCTACTGTAGTTTTAAATTTAATCAAGCATTACATAAATACTCGAATATAGACGTTGTTTTAGTCAGTAAATTGATATAGTTTTTATAGTTTGTAGTGAGCTTATCTGTAGATACTATATATATGTATTATATAAATATATAATCACTCACTACGGGAATATGCGATTACACGAGTATGAGATGCATTGCACTGTAATATCGACGGTACCCTATCAGGTCAGTACACTTACAATTTGATATAAGTATGCACTAAATTACTATTGAACCCTAACCCTAAAATTACTCCTGTTGATTTGTGCCAAGGCTTATTATCAATATAGCTGGTTTAATGTCTATGATCACGCTACACAATCGTTCAGTTATCATGGCTTTGGATGATTTGGGATATTACCTTAGTATACATGCAATATTTGATTATTAATTGATCAGTTATTGAAGATTTAGCTAGGTATGATGACACTATTTTCAGTTCTTACTGAAATACATATACTAATAATAAAATGTACATTAAATGTTTAAGATTCATAATATTCTCGTATTGTACGTTATGTATTACATATACATAAAGTACCGAATCAGTTATTATTTTACCAGAAAGTTATTCGTTCATGTGTGATTTTATTAAAAAAGCTATAGGCATTTACTGAGTGGACCTAAATGCTACAGTTTACATCATATTTAGGATAATTTAAACTATCCAAAAATAATTTAAAATGTCAAATGGAGAAACTTTAATTAAGAGTAAAGCGTATTTAATTCTGCTCATTAGCTATGTTGATTTTCTTGTAAAGGTATCAAATATATTATATCGTGCTATCAGGAATACTATTACATTAGATTTGGATTTTAAACGGAAAGGAAAGCAGTTCTTATTTGTAGTATATGACATTACCATATTTTGTGAATTAAAATTATTAATTTTATTGGTTGAGAATTTTTTCAGTCTAAGTGTTTTCAGCCAGCTTTAGAGCATTTGGCCCGCAATAATATCAGAAATACCGATACACTTTATTTAATAAAATGTTTCCAATTTTGAAGCGTAACGTAAGTAATATTTGGAAGACTTTATGATGTCGTACTGCTGCATTTCTTGAATTAGGAATTATTGCAATTAGTTAAGCTTGTGCCGCCAGATTTATTATTGTTACACATAGGCCTGTATAAAATTTTAGATAGGCAAAAATACGCGTACATACGTAAAAAGCATTGTTATTGCTGCCGCAGTACTTTGATATTGTCGTAAATGCAATTTACCGTTAATTATAAATATATACAGTATATAATAGTTGGTTAAGAAAGTTTAGTCTTTAATTTTATGTCGGGTAAATGAGTCAAGGTTTGTCATGAGAAATGACTTGATATTAAAGTGTGCACAATTAAACGTAGATTCTAGGATAGTCCCCTTTTTAAAAGTCTATAAGCCAAACTGAGATATTATAGAAGGTTTATAACATTGCGTAGATTAGTTCAAGTGCATGCTTGTTGTTTCTATTTTGTTCGCGTATTTATGACTCTACGCGTATGTGTTTGGATCCTGTAGAGGTAAAAATCTGCACATTTTGCGTTTTATACATAGTAGTGTACACGTTATGACATTACATAATTTATATTTCGAGAGTAGTTTGAGGATATTCCGTAGAGAATCTCGTAATTTATTGCTAAAGTAAAGGTCTGGCTATGCGATTTCAAGAAATAATTCTTGCCAGGTGTAGAATGTAGGTTATAGTGTTATAAATTCATTAAATTTTAATTTTATTTAATTTATAGGGTTTAAAACTTTTATATGTTCTGATCAACTTTATGTCGCCTGATTTGAAATGGATTTCAAAGAATTGTCTAAAAAGCACCGGTAAAATTACAAAAGGCTATGTTTGTTTTACAATTATTGCTTGCATTGTTTTGCCATTGATTACATTAAATAGCGCAGTACTATCACGACGTTTTCACGAGGTCACCACTTCGTGTGTAAATAATTTTAATTAATTAAAGCTGATAAAAATAAAAAATAAAGGCTTCTATACTGTACAGTACAATGTACATATGATATAGTACTAACCAATGCTCCATACAATATTAACATTACAGTACAGTATGTATCAGAGTAATACTGGCTAGTGTGCTCAAGTGTACACTGCAACGCTACAGTGTGCTGCCGTCTAGTAAGTGCTCTGCCGTATGGACTACAGCTGCTTGCAAATGGAACCGATGCAACGTTGCAATAACGAACTCTTGGCTTTTCGAGCACTTTTTTACAGTATCAAAATGCGGCTGCATTACAAATCAAGAGTCTACTGTCAGGTTTGTCCTGCTGACATTTACCTATAGTACGATTCTAACTACTGACGATTTCCTATCATCAGGACGAACAGTATACACCACTAGTCTCTCTTTTAGACTTAACTGAACTCCAACTTTATTTGAAAAAGTCGGTCAATTTAGAGCAAATCGACATCAACGTTAAACATGAATTAATTATCAATTCAGTTGATAGATAATAATAATAATATTATACTGTACTGTACGAGTATGCAGTTATCTATTAAAAATATATTAGATAAAATTGTCTTAAGGAAATTAGGTTACGACAGCTATGCATAGGTTACTCCGTAACAGGCTGTTAAAGTTAGTTACAGTAGACAGCATCTGGCCGCCATCGTTTGAAGTTTCTTTAACTTCTACAGTACCACGACGATTCCTGATCATCGGTTTAATAGCCCCAGACAATATGTACTGTACAGTACAGTACTGTAAGGTACTTCAGTACAGTTTGAAAATATAAAGGCAAGGAATAATACTGTACAGTACTGTACTGTACTGTACACTGTACAGTAGTGTTCTGCCCATTCGCACTGGTATTGTTCATGATATTAAGCATTGTTGTTTCTGAATAGTACGGTAATAATCTATTGTACTGTACTGTACCGTGACAGTAGCACAAGTTGTGTATACTGTGCGGTATGCACATGATGCCATAATGATGCTGCATACCACGCACTGGTGACCTGCTGGCTTTGATTACAGTAGCTGCAGGATTTCACTTCAAACGTTTTATGTTGTAGGTGCAAATTGTGTCTTATTGATAGCGGTAAGGTTTCTGTATTTTATTTTTATTTTTTCATCTAATGAGATTAAAAGAGTCACATCGTAGGTTTTAGAATGTTATCTTACTAGTATTTATTCTTATAGAAGTAATGTGCATCATTGCTTATTGAATTGAAGTATTAAAGTGTGAAATGTTCAGTTCACGTTGCAATTTGTGATTGTTTTTAAGCGAAGAATCGCAGCTTAATATTACAGCGTAAAGTAAAATCTTGGATAACCTTGGTTTTCTTCTTTGAAGGAAAATGGCTCTTATCAGCAATTCTGCCTTGCTTCAACTCCTTAGACATAGCAAGATGATCAATACAACTGCAGCCGCAAGTTGCAGATCGATGTACGTATTTTTTTTTGAGCAAATTACAGCCATTACTGCTGATGTACAACTTAGGGTACATGTTGATCTTAAAAACATTGCACTATGAATCTGAAGTACTGCAGTAGCTATCTTTATCAAGACTGATTGGTTTATTATGATACTTATGGTTATTTCACACTCTTTATAGTATTGATGTGCATGTACTGGCCGTTGCTTAAAAAATTTATTCGTAGTTTGCTCGAGAGGGTAACTTGAAGTGCAGAATCGCTCAGGATTACAGCATTATTATTGAGATAGCAGTAGAGTCTGCACATAGTCTGCATAGGATACTACAATAACGGTCTAGCTAATACTTCTCACCAGATTATGTCAATAAATAAAATTATCGTCAACGGTATACAGGTAGTGTTTTCAGCATTCGAGTATACAAACGAATTTTTAATATCAGATGAAAGTCAACGCATAGAATGTTTTAACCAATTTCTAGTCCGTGAAATTGATTTGATCCTAGTATTTGCTTGCGAGCAAGTGGTTTGTGAGAGATCTACGAAAGCTATTTACTTCAGTACAGTGAAAACGATTTTAAATTAATTAATAGTACATTTACGCGAAGTATCACAAGTGGGGATATTATTAGTTAGCTCTGTATATGTAAGAAATCGTTACATGCAGTTTCTTTGCGCGATCGAATATATGTATACTTCCTGTAGATTAAATGTTAATGTTAACTAAGCATTTCAAGAAGTCGCACAGGAAGAGTCTGTAGACATTTCGTATCAACCTGAGTAATATTTATAAATTGAAGGTAATATTGAGTGTCTTATGATATGAGAAGTTTTAGGCTTTAAATAATCCAGTTACTATACCTTTTAAAGTTAATATTTTAAGACTTGCATCAGTATTAGTGTTTTGATTTTAATCTTGAGTTTTCAGGTTAAGCAGCAAACATTGATTGCACTATAGGTAAATCAAAGCAGAAATAGTTTGTCACTATTCACCAGTATATAAGTCAGCTGAAATAAACCACGGCAGCTAATTTATTATGAGTGTGTACCTACCAAAGTGAGATAATGCCTCTCTGAAATATTTTATGTGCATTTTTAATAACGCTAAAATAGTTGATGCAAAATAACGTGAGATAATATTAGTTTCATAATGGGGATTTAGCCTTTACTAATACGGGTTTTAAGATTGTTGGTTGATTCTATCTAGGTCTGGGCAATAACTATATATTTTTAATTATTTATTTTTCATTTCTTATTGTAAAGCTCTTGGTGGTCTCAGGTAGAGCTTGGACCTCCAGATCCAATTCTGGGAATAACTGAAGCGTTTAAACGTGACAGCAATCCTAAAAAAATAAATCTTGGAGCGGGTGCATATCGTGATGATAATGGTAAACCATATGTACTATCGTGTGTGAAAAAGGTAAAAAGTAATCAACGTCTACAATACCTACCGTATATTGAAATTTTTTTTTCGAAAGAGTGATCATTATACGTGTATATAATCTAATTGTAAAACGTATATTTTATTGCGTAATATACAAGTATACGTATGTTCAGTGAAGGTATAAAATTGATTCGGCCAATTACAGAAGTATGACGTATCAAGTATCCAGTCTAGAGCTTCCAGTAGTTCATAACACGGATATGGAATAAAATAATAGTTACCGCGTAGTAATATAGTATGGTCTACTAGTTTGTTTTAACATCAATGCCTGCGCGTATAGAATAGTAGTAGCACACGATTAGAAGAAAGATCAGAGACAAGAGAGATAATATGCCTAGAAATAATGTTTTGATAATTTGTATTCTTTATTAGGCTTCCGACATCATTAAGAGCGAAAATATGGATAAAGAGTATGCCGGAATTGCTGGTATCCCTGATTTTACCAGCGCTGCAGCCGAACTGGCTTTTGATGCAGATAATGATATTCAAAGAAATGGATTGGTATGTAATTCGCTTACGCTTATGAAGATAAAGCTTCTTTAATAAGAACTGCTATTTTATGCGATAAAGTATAAACGATTATATATCGGGTTTTAAATTCAAGAACGCAACAGTTCAATCAATTTCTGGAACAGGTGCTCTTACTATTGGTGCTGCATTTTTGGTAAGCGGTTAATTGGTTGTTCAACATATATTAATGTTTTCGTGCTATAATGGTATCGTATCGCATAGAATATGATTTCACTTCTTGTATTTGATCTAGCGTAAATTCTTTCCTTATAACAAAACTGTTTATCTACCTTCTCCTACTTGGGGAAATCACGTGCCGCTCTTTAAGTATAGTATATTTTATATTATAGCAATTTTTTCTCATGCTAATCGTTAAATTACTGTATGGCGCAGATTTGCTGGATTAGAAACGAAACATTACCGATATTATGACCAGAAAACTTGTGGTTTCGACGCTGAAGGAGCTTTAGCTGATCTTAAGGTACTATTAGCTTATTGAATTGGTACCGATTTTAATTTAAAATAGAGATTTATAAGAAACGTATAATTACCATGACCTGGCTATGGGTTTTAATATTGGTGATATGGGTTTCTAAAGATGATGCCAGAAAGATCAATTGTATTACTTCATGCCTGCGCCCATAATCCAACCGGAGTTGATCCCAAGGTTAGCCTTTTAAGCTACGTAAAAACAAACGTGTACATTGTACTTTGTGATTATTACAATGTAGCGTTGTGGGTAGTTATTAATAGGTCTCACATTTACATCTATAACATTATAGCCTGAACAATGGCATGAAATTTCACAAGTAGTTAAGGTTAGGTGAATGTATGAACAGTTTTCAAATTAATTTTTTGAAAATTTTTTTAGTCATTGATACCGTCAAATTCAGTATGGCACTAGTAATAACATAATGTTTCGATGTGACTGATCTAGGAAAGGAAGCTATTTCCTTTTTTTGATATGGCTTACCAGGGTTTCGCAAGTGGAGATATTAATAAAGATGCATATGCAGTTCGGTATTTTATTAAAGATAACCATCAAATGGCTGTAGCTCAATCATTTGCCAAAAATATGGGATTATACGGTAGGAATCTGACTAGATAGCTTAGCACTATTATACAGCAGTACGTATAAAGCTTATACTACCAAGGGAAATCCCTTGACACTGCTGATCCTAGTTGTACGATATGACTACAACTCAAAATACGTAAACCAGAGAAATAATATTTTAAGCGATTCTTAATTTATGTTGCCTGTAATCTTTTTAAGGTGAACGTTGCGGTGCATTTAGCATGGTATGTGAATCAGCAGAAGAGGCGAAAATTGTAGAATCTCAATTAAAAATTGTTATACGCCCTATGTATTCAAATCCTCCAATTAATGGGGCTAGAATTGCATACTTAATATTGAAAAGACCTGAACTTAGGAAGGAATGGTACATTTTAGGAATCGATGTATTCATTATTTAATGTTAAAGAATTATTTTGATGTGATATAAAGATAGTTCTTTCAAAGATTGATTTGCAGTATGCGTAAAATGCTAATGATAACTACTTGTAAAAAATTTTTCGAACTTCAAGGCTTGTTGAGGTAAAAGGTATGGCTGACAGGATTATCTCTATGAGAGATCGCCTAAAGACTAATCTTGAGAAAGAAGGTTCTAGCCATGATTGGTCGCATATTACCAATCAGATTGGAATGTTCTGCTACACTGGACTTGCTGCCGAACAGGTAATGGTATTCAGCGGATTAAATTAGTTTATTACGATTACGTTGTCAAATTAAAATGTTTGTCTTCATTTCATTATGTAAGGCTGAACTGTTGCTTGATAAATTACTGTTTTAGTTGTCGTGTTACAGTAAAAGTTTCATTTCGGAATTATGAAGCCAATTTAATTCGTATTTTTATATTTCAGTGTGAACGCCTAAAAAAGGAATTTTCAGTGTATTTGACCAAAGACGGACGAATCTCGATAGCTGGTGTTACTTCGCAAAATGTTGAATATCTAGCTCATGCTATACATCAAGTCTCAAAATAATTCAACCGATTTTTCATGTAGGCACCAGTATTATTACCAGCATTTAAGAATAGTCTTAGTATTTAGATACTGGTCTAATAAGGCTTAACATTTAATTTCTTGCTGATATACTGTATGTCAATTTATAAGTTAATTTTCTAAAATGCATTGAAAACTTATTGACAGATTTTAAATTCTAGACAGCAACCTGATAAATAAAGGTTTTTTTCTAAGCGTCGAGACACTTCAAAGTGCTAACGTTTGTTGTTGATCAGATGCGTTGAAACTTTTTACTAAATTTAATGTCTGACTAAGAATGTACTTAAAATAGATATTCTCGATCGCACTTGTTTCACTGGTATTAATAATGAAGCTTTATCCAACGTTACAGTAGTTAAATCAAACTCAACATAATAAAAAAATTTCATGGGTGAGTCATTCACACAGTCTTCGATAGTATTAAAGACAATTGTTTACCTCTGCAGCTGCTAAATGCCGGCGATGGCGTACCGTCGTGTGATACCGATTTTCTGAAAAATCGCACTTTCTCTGTAGTATTATCGTATGATGAATTATATTATGATTGGGCAGTACACTTGATAGATATACTAAAACCTCGGTTAACCGATCGTTCGAAAATTAAATTGTATAAGTTTACTGTGAAATATTTAAACAGTTTTATTTATAGGAATATTTCCCTAATCTTACTCTCGAAGTACAAAGAATAAGTACCGAATTGGGATCGTGTCATGACTGCGTGTAGCATTAGAAAATTTGGAGGGCCTACTTTAGAAATTATAACGTGTTTTTTGTATATTTATACGGTTGGGATAAGAGAAAGTGAAGTTAAGTGACTAGCTCTAATAACGGACACAAAGAACAAAACTGAAATGGGAGGATTTGAGCTTGGAAATACTCAAATTAGAGGATTAGTCTGATCTGTCGCATTTCCACGATTAATGTAACAGATACTTAGACAGTGTTAAAAATGTTACATTCTGTTATCTGCTGATACACATTATGTACGTAATTGACTTTCCCTTCATTTAGTCATCAATCAAAGATTAGTAGGATTGTGTACGTACAGGCGGTAGGAAGTAGTTAAGTTTTAATAAATTTTATTACAACATTAACCGATTAATTATAGAATCTTACTTGTGGATATATTAATTAACATTAATATCGAAAAATGCACCTATATTGGTGCATTGTTTTAGGAGTGAGGCATACCGTGACGTTTAACAGCTAAACGTAGTAAGTGCTATAAAGTGGTTAAAATATATAGCAAGGATAATTCATTATTTTTTTCTATATAATTACAGTAATTATTAGTAAAAAATTACTTATTTGGATTACATTGTATATATATATACACCAGATTTATATCATAAGAAATATAGTATTCAATATTGTAGCTTGCAGTTATATCCTGTACAAGTATGTGATTAGTTAAAATTTTGAATAAGTCGATGTTGAGAGGGGTAGTTCGCAATTTATATAGTGTTAATACAGCGATCATGGATTCTGTCACGTTGGGTTATTAAATATCCTGTAAATACATATAAATTTTATGGTAGTACGTAAATATATTAACAAAAGGGCGAACTTTTGTGAAATCCTTAATCAAAGGGAGGCAAGGACTCTACTGTACGACGTGATGACATAAGCTATAGTGAGACCAATACCGATTAAAATAACATAAGAAGATTCGATAACAAATCCACCAGTAGAAAATATTCCAGCTATTAATGCACCTAAAGTGAAAATAAGATTATAGACGTTGACAAGATATCAAATATTGTATTTTCCATAACAATTTTAGCTATAATACCAGTAGTATTGAATATTTATTCGATTCAATGCATAAGAACTAGAAAATTGAGATAAATTTAGGTGTAGGGAACGTCTTCAGTGGGGTAGAGGGCTATGTCGCTATATTTTGCTATATGTAGAGATCAAGCAGACTGCATCCACGATCATCCTTTACTGCAATTTGGCTTAGCTGAATATTTTGTGTATATACTATCCTGTATATTGTAAGGTATTTAGGGGACCTTGTAGATCATCAAGTACTTTACACACATACTTATATTGATTACGAAGTAGTGTAAGCGTACAGTTTACGGTATACGCGTATATTTAATAGCCTGATGTTTTTTAGAGTGTATGCTATAACGTATGTAATACTCGTATTAGATAAGGGGAGTTTCTATCAGAACTTACTAAAAATTGCACCACCAGTTAAAGGATAGATTAACGATACCAGCAAGAATATGCACGCCGTATAGGAGCCAATTCGTTGATACCTTAAGGCTCTAAATGCTACTAGAGCAGCTAGTACGTGTATCAGGACACTTGTAACGACACACCAAACGAAGATATTAAACCAGTATGCTAAAAATTTTAAAGAAAAATGCAACATTACTGAAAATTGGATTATTATTTACAGAATTTAATTTGTAGTATGCGCAATTGCACGTGTGTACAGTAATATATTTTACTCATTTAATACTTACTTATTAATATACGTATAATGTCTATGGCATTTACTACCGTGTTTTGCAATCGATAGGATTTTAATACTGAAAGTTCGAAAAAGTATAAAGATCTCCAATACTTACTACTAGTGTTATAAATTATCGAGTTAATGCAGTGCCTACTTTTCTACTTCATGAGTAAAGCCCTACTAAACAGTGTACTGTACTTATTGTACAAGAGCTGTACAATCATAGTCACATTTGTGAATTTATTGAATTATGATTACGATCAGTAAATTCGTAGTTGCTTAAATTAAAAAGGGATCTGGCGACTAATTTTAAATATTAATATAAATTAATAACATACGAGGTAGTTCAATTTTATGCCAGAATGCAAATCTATAATTTAATCACTAATACTACTGCTATAGTAATACCGTCAATACTACACGAGTATACGAGATATAACAATATTTATGAATTATTATATAATTTTACTGTAAATGAATCGCCCCTTTATGCGAGTTAGTGTATTTGTATTCGTGAATAGATTACAATTAATCAAGTTTTATCATTAATAAAAGTAAATGAATAAGAAGGAATGCTGTATTTATGTTTTAGGTTACCGCTAATACATTTTACGGATTTGCGGTGGTATTACTATTACAAGTATAAAAAATGAAAATATCTTTTGCTTTAGTATCAGCAGAACTGATCAAACTTACGAAGAAAGTGTTCAATCAAAAAGGTTCCATTTGGGGACAAGAAAAAGAGCTGCGATTCCGATGCCATTTTTGGCTCATACGTGCATCGCAGTTTTGAAGAGGGGAATCAAAATAATTGCAGGCTTGCTCGAACCATCCTTTGAGTATGACTTGAGGTGTCTTGTACTGTACACTACAGTGTACAGTGTACAATACTGTATACTGTACATTGTACTGTATTGTCACTGTTACAGTTGCGTACAGTACAGTACTGTACTGATAACACTGGTTGGGGTTCGGAACGACACTTGACTCCAATGCTCCAACACTACAGTACTTACGTTACGTATGTACTGTACAGTACAGTACAGTTACAATACTGTATACTGTACTGTACGCTACCATACATTGTACTGTGAACACCACTGAAACGCCTTACTGTATTGTACAGTACTGTACACTGTACAATGTACTGTACACTGTACAGTACACTGCTTTATACTGTATGGTTCATTAACCAGTCTTGGACAGTTGGATTTACGGACTACTGTACTAGAATTTGGGATTCGATTAGTCGACGATTGTAATGTACACTTGTACAGTACAGTACCGTCATTGACTACTAGAAATATGTCTGGTATTCTTCTAGTGGTCTATGAGTCTATGTAGTATCCGGAAAATTTTCTCTCCGTATGAAAGTAGTTTGGCGTTGATGACTTGGTCTTATTCTATTTTACTAAGTGCTGCTTGAAAGCAGTCATTAAATAACGTCATAAATATTTTTGAATTAATAGTAGTGAATAGGAATATAGAATCGGAAGATCTAAGTCATTATTTTTCCACATTTCGGCCTTATTTGGTCTGAAAAAGTCCTTGACTATACTCACTGTTGCTATTGCTGAAGTGTACAGTACTGTATTATTTTAATCTACAGTAGTTAGCTATTAGCTGGCTGTGAAATTGAAGAGGAATTGCCTCAAAGTAAAGTAGAAATCGACCATTACGATCGTGGAGGTGATTTCTTTTATCGCTGTGATTCGGATTCGGATAGTATGTTAGTAGTATAGTTAGTATCAGTGCTCCCATACAACCCAATTGTTGATTAATTAACGACTACAAGAAGAGGAGCTTCTCCTACTGTACTGTATTACCGGTAACAAGGATGCAAAATGCAGCCACACTAAATAATGCTACAGTATGAATGTAGGAGTACTTACAGCTTGTTCTTTTAAGTCGTCCATCTCTATCAGCATACACTGTACAGTACAGTATTAACAGTAGGTGTGCTTTAATTAATGATGTACCATTGTTGATTTACGACTACAAGAAGAGGAGCTTTTCCTACTGTAGTGCATTACCGGTAACAAGGATGCAAAATACAGCCACACTAAATAATGCTACAGTATGAATGTAGGAGTACGTACTGTCCTGTACAGTATATTACGTTTTTATTGATTAATTATTTACATTCACTTTTCAAGGCTCCCAGCATGTAGCTAAAGAAAAATTCTGAACGTGTCTTGTTATTATGCAAGTAACATCAAGAGGTATAAAAACTAAAGTATCAGTGGACTTTCAATGTTAATTGTATCGTTCGGTTCTGTATAAGGCTATTGTATTCGACGGCAAATTCGTCAATTGAATCGTTTATTTATTTTATTCCTATGGTATTAATAATTTTTTCTTTATTGTATGAACAGCGCTAGTACCCTAGGTATCTTAAGTATGCATAATAGTACTAATAGCGGTCAGTGCTTTCTACTTTTCTCAATTAGTGATCATCGCGTACTGCTGTAAGGCTCGATCTACATCGCTAAATTCAATGCTATATAAAAAAATATAAAAATTGTAGATTTCAGTTGTGACTGTACATTGCAGTTCTATGCAAACTTGTTGTCATTAATTAACCTCTGTTATTACTTTACAGCCAATTACCACTGTGATCAGAAGTAACAATTTTTAGCAAAGAACCAATATGGCGACAATCTCTTCAACAGTAAGTAAAATACTCAACTAACTTTACACGTTTGCCACAAATAGTGACTACAGCCACTATCATTTTAGATATGTTAAAATTGTAATCACGCGAATGTAGTAGTAGCGATAATTAACACATGGCAAACACCAATTTTCAATGATTAACATCTACTTAACTACGAGTCATTTTATTAACTACTTAATATATTTATTATTTAATTGAATTGTGTGATGAATTACATCAGATCCGGATTTAATTTTATTCCATTTCCGTTCTACATGATTATGATTGATAAAGTAAAAAGGCATATTAGTAAACACTTGGTAAAAAGTTCTGAGATTAAAATTGCAATGCTAGTGATTGATATTATATGCCGATAGTTGTAAGCACTAGTGTGGAACCTCCCTGGATTCGAGAGGTCCACAGCACTAGGTACAGCAATAGAGCGCAAATTTGTTGATTGAGTAATGATTAAAATTATATTGTATAATTTATAGATAATATTCGAAATGTAGTCAATGACGGAGGGTAGCGGTATAGGGGGGTACGTTAAGATTTCTTCACTATATTTTACGGCTAGTATACTATAGAGAATTTTGGGTGCGTAGCTTATAAAGCAGTGTTTTTGGAGGTTCTCCAGATTTTGTGAATCACTACAATTACAAAAAGAAGGAACAGTAAAGTATACAGGATAACCCTTTTCAAATTATGGCTAAATTAGCAAAATGCCGTCGGAGAACTTTATATAATCATTAGGCAGCTACTGCATAATCATAAACTGTTGAATACGAACGATGTTTTACTCCTGCAATGTTACTTAATTGATACTTAGTCTTATTAGCAATGTGCACCGGTCTGCAGAACTCATCGTTAGATACCCATGCTTTCAAAACATCATCGAATCACAAAGTTATAAAACCACTCATCAATTATTTCATTTTATTATTGATTATTTTTTCGTCAGACTAATTTAAACTGAGATCTATTACTGTACTGTAGTTCACTATTAAGTCCGCTTAAAGATCTAAATTGCTGTTACCCAAATCAAATCTTGATTTGATTGTAATCTGTTGCTAAATCGCTTTCAATTAAAAGATTAGCACACTCTATAATGTAATTACTTTATGTAAAAAATATCAGGATCAGCTTTACAGAACTAGATTGTTTATTAATTAATGCAATTTTATTACATCACTAGTGGAGTGTCCTTCATATGTTTTTTGTTAATACGGCAGTAAGTAAATGTGCAGTACTGTTGATCGTTAAAATACTCTGATAATTATACTAGTAAATATATATGATTACTGTTAGCTATCAGTCGGTTAGATTTTTCAATGAATGTAAAAAGTATGATGCTGTAGATGTCTGGTTCTATTAAGCAATTATTTACATAGTAAACTGAACGATTATTGTGTAATTGTGCGTAATTAATTTTATTCCAGAGCAATCTTCGAGCTATTGCACTCTATGATAATGTTGCTGAATCTCCTGATGAGTTAGAATTTACAAAAGGTGATACAGTAGAAGTTATCGAACGCAATCTTCCAAAATTAGATGGATGGTGGTTATGCCAGCGCAGAGGTAGAACTGGAATTGCTCCTGCCAATCGTTTGCAACTTGTAACTAATAGAGTTATAAATCGGAAAATAAGTAGTTCAGCCGAGAGTAAGCTTGGTATTACACGATCTACGACTAAAAATAGCACTATGGCTGAAAAAACAGGTCAGAATTTTATATGTAAAGAGATAAAGTTATGATAAGCATTACATTAAGATGCGTTATCAGTTAATCAAATCCGCTATTGTTTACAAACCATAATCCATTTACAGGTGCTGATCGAAAACATTCAGTTCTCGATGGTGATCATCAGCAACATACCAGGCTTAATGCATCTTTTCATTCAGCGAATGATTATGATTATATCTCTGATGATTACAATAAGAGTGCTAATAAAGATAACCAAAAGATGAAGAGTATTGATTTGCCTGATTACGATGTTCCAGTTAGCAACGCTAATTCTTATTATCGTAAAGATAGTAAGAATGGATCCAGTAATACTGTGAATAGTAACTGCGCCCAGTCTCGAGATTTTGCAGATTATGATGAAATCGAAGAACGGATTGACTACGATATACCAGAGTCAGTGAAGGACATCAAACAGCCTGATTACGATGTACCTACGCTTGCAGACCATAGAGAGGATCACAAATCCGTTGAAGTGTCCGAGCAGCCTTCCTATGATATTCCTGTCTCTTATAGTGAGGATGCTCGTAAGGGTATCGCAACAGGTCTATACCATAACAAGAATGATGTAGGCCATAGTGAATTCCAATATGGCTACTCTGATATGGACAATAATCAAGATTATGATATTCCTGAAGCTAGGTGTGGATCTCAGCTGCATGAAATTAATATTAAGACAATGGATAAATCAATTAATCAGCCAGACTACGACACTCCGGACAGTCATGAAAGCGTTTTAGTTACAGATTCTAAAGATTGCAAAAGCGATGAAGTTGGAAATGCACAAATATTCCATCAAAAAGATTATGATATTTCTAGTCGGGATAGGTATGTGAGTGAAACTGTGTGTATGATACAGTAAAGAATACGAATTAAAATAAGATTAATTCTGTTAAATGAAATTTTTATTGCGACTTTATATAGCTTAAATCAGTGTTCCCAAGCCCCAAAGGAGGAGAATAAAGTATTTCAATCTAAATCCGCCCTTGCCGTAGCTGCTGGTCCATCGTCAAAATTCAGAAATGAGCAACAAAGTGAATTACCCGTTGATACGATGATGACTTTTAAAGCTGAAAATTACAAATACTCGGCAATTTATGCGCGGTCGGAAGACTTCAGTACCAAAATATCAAAATGGAAGCAGCGTAGTAGCTCTTTCAAAGGAATTGATTTAAATATTTTAGTTGGATTGACCTATATCGATCATTTACAAAGGGAAATTTTCGATTGCTCAAAAAATTTAACAGGACATAAAAAATTAGGATGGCATACAGTATCTTCTCTGAAATCGACAATGAGAAGTATAAGAATTCACCTGAAAAAGCTGTATATGTATATTGTTGATTTTGTGGACGTCGGCAAGCGATCCTTAGTCAATTGTTATTACTCAAGTGATGAAGGTAAAGAAGTAGCTCGTGTACTCAAAGAAGGTCTTCACCAACTGGTTGAAATTAGAAATACTATAAGTGAATCTTACAAGGAGTTAGATAGCATTAATTGGAAGATTGAATATATTTCTTCACAATATTCCGGGACTTTAGATAGGGTCATGCTAGTTACCAGTCAGATGCCCAAATTATGCAATGATTTTTTTTTATTAGTATTAAAAAATGCAGATATAATATTCGACAAAAATATTAGCGTCGGCTCGGAAAATTTTGTTGGTATTGAAGATCCTAAATTGGATTGTGATACGTACACTGATACAATCTTACAGAAGGTAATTTCAGATACCGTTAGTGAAAGAACTAGTGCGGTGAAAGAGAGCGAGAGTTTAGGTAAGCCTAGTTACAAGGTTGATCCCAATTTAGGTCAATCCTCAGCTAAAGAATCCATAACAACTTTTGTCGAGAAGAATTCGCCGAAACATACAGAAAGCAATATAGAAGAGAATACATCAGATAAGACCACCGAAGATCCTGAATTAATTACGATGATTTTCGATCAGCACGCATCAGAATTTCAGCAAAAATTTCAGAGTCTTGGCGAAGAATTTAAAATTTTAGTGAAGTGCATTAGAGAACAAGAAGGAGTTAATGTAATATTGGAAGAAAGTAAGAAGATTATCGTTGGTGCTCATTCGCTGATTTTCGTAGCTGATTTTTGTAATGATCGCATACCTGATTGCGATGTGAAGCAGGAATTACAAAATCGCATTACAAAGTTAGTAGACGCAATTACTACATTTGCCTCAGCTGCTAAGAAGGCATCTGAAAATTACCCATCTAAAGATTCGTTACAAGGAATCGTCAGAGCTAGTAAAGATTTGTCAGCGATATCTAAGGAGCTAGTTATATATGCAACTAGTCTTAAAACGAAATAACTACTGACGCAGAGGTTGACGCGGACTAAAGATGCCGGTTCAACTGAAAAGTTCCAAATATGTTTTGTTGATATGATAAATACCCGTAAACTTTTGTTAAAGCTATAAAAGTTTATATACCATACATAAGCGGTTTTACTAGCAGATTGACTTAATTGTTGTAAATTATTAAAAATTGAATGGCCAAAAATTTTCAATTTCGTACAATTTTGTGGTTAGAATACTAATGTAAGCTGTAAATGGCTAATTGAAATCACCATTTTATTTGAGTAACTAAATTGTATCTGTTAATTAGTATTGGCATCGTTAAATGATGCTAACGTCAGAACTTACATAATGAGTTTCTATTTATTTTTAATAAACGTGAAAGTAACGTGTAATTCAAATACTCTTCAGGTTTTTCTCATATTTTTTGATGCCATATAGATACTCGATGAAACTATAAGTTTTTTGATTACGATTTGTGTTTATAGTTAAATTTTATAAAAATTGTAATTAGTGATGTAATGATTAATAAATCGTACGTAACGATCCAATCGTCTTCGTAGCCGTAGGCATATATATATATGATTAGACTAGCTGAATTATCTAAGAAATTTTAACAAAATGTTGCTTAATAGCCTATTCTTAAAATATGACATTTTAATAAATATCGATGGTATGTATATGTATATATAATGTATGGGTACTAGCATATAGGATATTTTACATTTTGCATTAAAAACTTTTCTACTATAATCTACAGATATCAGGTAAGACACTATATTATTGAACTATTTTTGAAGCGATAATTGTTTAATTTTGGAGACTGCATATAATATATCAACTTATCGTATGCCAAAGTACTTTGAAATTTGAGCGTCAGCTCAGCTAATGAAGGCGCTAATTTGGTCTTAAATTAAAGGATTACTGTATTGGTTCGTATTAGATATTTTATCTTTCTCACTAAATTTGAATTTGATATAGATAGTTTTGCATTGTCTGCTTTGCACCATGTAATAGAGACTCCATAATATCAGTAGTAAGCCATTAAGTATGTTGTAGCACAATACAATATGTTGTACATTTCAAGTGCAAATTACAGTCTAACAAATTATAAATTCTGATGTTATTCGTTCAAATGTACAGTATAAGAAGATTAAGTACGAAGACGGCATTCTATTGTGTACACAGTACACGAATATAGCGACTACAGTATAACGTAACTACTGTATTAACGAACATAGCACATCAATTTTACGGGAGTATCATAAATAAAATTTGATTTACAGATTTAGAATAAAAGTGTTTTCTAAGTTTTTAGTATAGAAAGATTTTGTAATGCGAAAAAGTACACGAGTTTTACAATAATTTTGGCGAGAATAAAAAATACCATTTAAACAAATATGCCAAACAATGAATAGCAATACATTTATGTATGATATAGGTGCATCACAGGCTCATTTGCACTGGGATATCTGGCAATCTGCCTATAAACTTAAGAATTTAATTGTTGTTACAAAGGAATAAGCCTGCATGATATTTTATATAAAAAAATAGAATGCTGATCGTTTATAGCCTCCTGTAAACGAAGGGTTACTACAGAGTTGATAGCCAGTGTTAAGGGTGTAAATTATTCTTTGTTGATGGTATGTCGTAGCAATTACAGCAGTGTCGACCATTAATACCGTAAGTGCTGTATAGAACCGAAATAGCCAAAGGAAAAGCGATTTACATGGCTAAATTATATTATTTGTATTCAAGCCTGATATCATTGCCATATTAGCAAGGTCCATTTGATTAGAAGTAGAATTAAAATATTATAATTATGAGAGGTATGGCTCCTGAAGCATACTTGTCAGATCTGAAAGGTATCTTGCCGTTAATACAGTACATTACATCTTAAGTTAGTGGTTGCTTGCAGTGGCAGTTTAAAATTTTATTAGACAAATAATGATGTGCCTGGGTAACATCTACGTATATTTTTTACGGATGGCATACGACTGTATGATATATGTATATGTGATTACAATTCATGATGTAATATCAATATCTATCAATACACGGACATGCAGAGTGGTCTATTCACACTCATATTAGCATTTGGATATAATCTTTCATCGTTTTTTTACTTGATCTTTGACTTTGGGTCCTTCAAACAATAACTCTCGTATGAACTGAAATCGCTGTAGAAAGAACTTCCATACAATGTACCAACCTACAGGAAATGATAACAATATCAGATGAATAGTTTAAGTACTTGATATCTTTAAGCAATCTGTACTGTACGAGTAGTGTATACTTTGCACTACAGTATTAATTATTGAATAAACTCCCAGATCCTCCTATTTATCATTCTATTGCCAATAAAATTGTCTTAATTAACAGTAACGGCTTCAATCTTAGTAGTAACTTAAAATTCAAATTTCGGAGCATTCAGGAATGGTCTGGAATATAATATTACTTAAAGAGCAATCAGCAATCACTTGCTTAAAAAGATACTACAGTAACTTTCGTCTTGCAGAAGAGCTATGCGTAAATGAATAAGTAATAACAGAAACATGTTTACAGAATCAACGACCTCGACCTGGAACGACATTCGAGTTAGCTATCAGAGATATGATATGGACAGTATATGACAAGCACACGGATATCGCATATCGCTTAAGTAACTCTATTGTATACTGTAGTGTGCCATGGAGTATTCAATGTTGCATTTTCAATTGTAGCAATAGCAAATTTAAATTGACATTTCATAAAATTGCAAAGTGTAAGATGCAATGAAGACAGTAACTACACTGTAATGTCCAGAGCATCAAAGCGTAGCTTGATAATCGACCTTTTCTGTTAAAGGTCCGTAAGTAACTGAAAGTTAGTTGTATCATAGTATCGATTTGATTAATACAATCCCGTTTTGGTCTCTCCGTCCGATGATCTAAACTTCACTATCATCCTGACAAGGATAAGGATGACCAATACATATCGAATAGTTTAGAAACAAGTACTAGTTAAATGGTACCATTTACATTACAGTACCAGCTTAGCTATCAGCGAATAAAATTTTTAGGTAATCTGTATGTTGTACGTACACACAAATACAACCAGGAATACCATCAACAGTGATATTATAATCGTAAAGGCAGCAATAAAGATATCTGTGATAGCCATAAGTCGAGTTAACTTGAACTTTGAAGGTATAATATAGTACTTTTAGTTCACTGTCAGTTTATTCATTGGAAGTCTTCAGTTTTGATCGAGGTCCACGTACTCCATGATCGGTTTGATGGATTCGACGCTCCACTTACACTATAGTTTACAACACTCGACTGCTGCACAATATTGCCATAGCAGCTTACAGTATAACATTTGAATATAATTTAACAGCTTTTGTATGAGCTCTGAAATACCCGATTTCAGTCCAGTACTGTACTGTACTCAACCGACATGGCTGTACTGTATACTGTACTGTACATGCTATACAGTGACAGAGTTACACTACATTTAAAAAGGTGTTCTACTGAACGGCGCAGTTCAAGTGGAGATCATAGAGTTATACACGGACAGTGCTTACATTTGTGATCAACTTGAAAGTTTTACTACTAAGTGTTAACATTCTGAACGTGAAATGAGCCACCTAATCGACGATTTATCTTCTGAAGACGATGAAGATTACGTACCGTCAGGTAAAAATGGCAGTACAATCTATTGTAGGTATAGTAACATGCATTTACAAATTGACTACGAAGAGTGCATTACTGATTTATGAACATTTCTGTGTACAGGGAAAAGTCAAACTTGACTGGGAAGGTTTTAAGAGTAAAGAAGGCATTGAAGATGAGCTGAAGTATCATAATAAGGATGGGTTAGTAAATGAGATTAGAATCTGTTAAAATGGATAATTAAATTTAGTAATGTCTTGTTCTATGACTAAAACATATATAGAAATAGCATAGTTAAAATAGTGATAGTTTCTGTACTTAAGCTATCATGACCTCTTGTGTCAATTATTATATAGCTTATGGAAATCTTTAAGTAGAATATTAAATTCAGAAAAGTATTATAATTGTAATAATTCCCTTAGATTGCTTTAAAGATTATCTTGTTTCAGTAATGTAATAGACTCGTAGCTTGGCATAATGCGGCTATATTTAAGCTACTAACTTTATCCTATTTTATATCTAGATACTTGGAACGTCAGGATTTTCTACAGAAGGTTAATGAAAAGCAGTTCGAAATTGAGAAAAGCTTGCGCTTTAGTTCTAAAAAATAGTGATTCCATGTAACATTTTACAATTATCATCCAGAAGGCATGTTACCGTTAGGCTCACTTACTGAGTGAATACCAATTACTGTATACCCACTCTGAAAAGATGTATTGAAATTTAGTATAATATCATACAAATAGATTTTATTTATGAAATGAGCTATTTCGTCGGATTAAATATCTTTACATCAGTTACATTGTACAGTTTAACATTCACTTTAACATTTTGTAATTGTACAATAGCAAATATTTATGTAGATATTAAAGTATAGATTGTGTGCAACTATTATGTACCTGCAATGCGTATTCGTTAGGAGTCATGTAGATATGATTTTAGTAAATGCCAATTCAGATATGCTAATATACACTAGTCTGAACTCTTGATGTATCATGAACGCTGCAGCTAAATTTGGAACTGGTTTATCGTTAAATTATGCAGTTGTACAGTATTTCAGTTATTGATGAAATACTTCCCATGTACAGTATGATCACGCATATACATGGGATAGTAGATTAATGCTTTAATTCAATGTTGGCATGAGTGGCTTTGCATTATATGAGCATGTACATACATACGAATATTACTGTACAATGGTAGCCTTTTGCATATGATTTTGATGTTGTAGCCTTCTTGGTCACTATGAACTATACTCAGTACTGTACTGTGTACGCCGATCAAAATCACTACTACAGTACTGTATCAGTATCATACTGTACAGTACAGTACATACCGTACGGTACGCGTTCTGTACTGTACAGTATTTCGGAAGGCAGCATTGATAAGCTTGTGCAGGAGTGCTGCTGACACAATAGTAGTCGTTGGATTACTTTACCCAAAATGGCATTGCTAGAACCCAATAGAAACTTAATCAACCGTAATTTTGAGGGATACAAGTTATCTCCTGATGAACCGTTGGTGCTCAAATTGAAACTTGAAGTAAACGTTAGAGCACTAGCTGCTTCTAGCAGTCAGATAAGCTTTGAGGAAGTGAGGCTTTATTCGACATGTAATCATTTAATGATGGATTGTTGGTATAGCGATCCAGGTATAGATCACCTGTATTTTATAAATGAATCTTGGGAGGTAGCGCATATAGAATTCGATAGTAAGGTAAGTTGTTAGGGTAAAAAGTGAATATGGTGCTTTGCTACTACAGCTACTACTACACTTTACGCTTGAATTTTTTTGAGTCGCGTATAGTATACGCGCATTCATATCGTGAATTATCCGTGTAGAGTAGCAGCTATTAATGCTGTATTTAGATCTATTTTTAAATACATAGAAGTTCCAATTTTGATTGTATTAGTTTCTTTAACTAGCGCTTCATTACCAATCAGTCGTCAATGACAACCGTCGAAAGTGCTATGTTGTCATATCCCTGTAGGGGTAAATTCTGGGGCTTTATTTCATTCTTGTGATTATGATTTCGAACTTATCCTAGGATGGAACGAGCTTTATCGAATGTCCGTTTCAAGTCCCGCTTAATGCTGTTGCTGCTACGGATAGGCATAATTTATCGATGCAGTTCCCTTCTAAAAAGCATGCACTAATATCTGATGGTGTGGATAAAATTTATTTATTAGATCGTCATGTGAAGAAATGGAAAATTCTAGGCATTATTAATTATGAGAGACCATGCACATTATTGCATGCTGTTTGTGATGACAAGCAAGATAAATGCCAATGCTATTTAATAGAATTCAAACGTCAAGATTTCAAAATAGAGCCTACGTCAAAGTGGATTGAGATTACAATACCTACAAATCATCAAGATTCATGTAACTATAACATAGTACTGCAAATCAGAGGTCAATGTGTTCCCCTGTTTGGTGGCATCTGTCCTATCAGTAGAAAACTGATTTTAATTCATGAGAAAGAGTTAATCATTGAACGTTGTGAAATTTCTGATGCTGATGATAAAATGGAAGAGTCGGCTAGCTATGAAAAAAGCAACTCAATGCTGAATGAAAATTTACTCCCGGAATACATATGGACTCAGAGCGCAGATACAGTTGTGGTTAACTTTGTAACTCCATATAACATAAAACCAACTGATGTAGTATTTTCATTGACAACTAAGGAGATTTTATTAGGATTAGTTGATGGTCTAATATTTTTGAAGGGAGAGCTACATGATAAGGTTGACGTCGATGGATGTACTTGGATCTTACAAGACAATGGTGCTGGGTAAAGTACAGTATAGTACGATAGTTGTTTACTGTATCATGCTGATGCTTCTGAAGATCGATTAACAATTAACAGTGTTATGATAATTTTTAGCATCCAGCTGACGTTGGAAAAACATCAGCCTTTTCATGTTTGGTCAACTGTAGTTGAAGAATGTACAAGAGGGAAACAGGCGATAGGCGAAGTAGATGAAATTCACCAGCGCCTGGCTCATCTGACTTCAGACCAATGGGTAAGATAACAGTTTATTACAAGAAATTTGTCATATACGAATATACGTAAATTATGCTCGGTATATTAAACTATAAAACTATATATTATGAACAGCTTTTAGTGTTATAGTTAAATTTAAAAATTATGTACACCGGCTATTTTTTATTCATATACACTCTTCAAAGAATCCTCAACCCAACACTGCAGAAAACAGAATCTTTCAACTTGATAGATCCGAAGACTGTGATGAACTATCTCAAGACAATACTACGCTTTCTGTTGCTTCTCCAACATCGAAGTCTTTTGATAAGCAGGTAGGGAATTACTGTAGCTATTTTTTATTGACTACATTTTTCTTCGCAATCTAAATTATTGTTGTACGGACTACACGATTTACTCTTAAGATTGCGTTAGGCTGCAATCAGTGGCTGTTTAATGCTCCAATATTGCCATATGCAAATATGATGCCTGCTTTCTGCTTAAGACATGATACAGACGCATTTCTGTGGCAGTTTCAAGCAAATCCTGATATTTCTTTCACTCATACGTCTACGTTCGATGCCTTTGGGTACGTAATATTTAGAGAATGTTCATCATTGCACGTAAATCAATAAGAATAAACATTATTAATAGATATCCTTTAACAAACCTAGGTATGTGCAAGCTTCTAAACGTGATCGTAAATTTATATCATGCTCTCCATCATCGAGATTTGTTGTCATATGTGATTACGCTCGAAACGTTTACATCTACATGAAATCTACTTCGGAAGATCAGCCACTAGGAAAACACTCCTTTCAGCGTATTGTCGCCTTGGATAGCGAAAAGATTATGGGATTGGTAGCGTCTCATAACTTTATCTATGTTTTAAGCAATTGTGGGATATATTGCATAAAGGTCTAAATGTAGCAATATTTGTTCACAAGTTAAGAACATTTACAGAGAAAAATACTTTCTATTCTGTTGATATATATGCAAATATAAGAATTATGGATATTCCTGATATCAGCACGTAGACATTTGTACAGTATATTGGAATTGATGATCAATGTAGTTGAGTTATTAGGACTATCCTCAATCATTGTGATTGTCATAAGTTTATCGATAATTATGTGATATATTTTTCTATCCTGTTTATATACTGAAAGTGTTTACAGCGCATTCTAAATTAACATCGCTATGCAGATTTCCTATTTACTATCAATCTCATTAAATCATTCATTGTAAGACTATTTAGCAGTCGCATTGTGATTATCATCGGATACAAACGTAATACAGTAAATCTGTACCAAATTTCGATCACTTTATTTGAGTTTTACAGTACCCATTACCCAAAAATATTCGTATAAACAGTATGCATACATAGCTGAGGATTTTCGAACAAATGCTCTGGGCGCTTACGTAAATATAAGTGATAGAGTAATCTAGTAATATAGTATAATCAATAAGAATTTCATTACGAAGAGAAAGATTTTTCATGTTACTGTTACTTTTTCCGCTTTCCTTTCTTGACTACTTCATTCGGATTTTTTCTTCGAGATTTCTGGTGCCCTGCACCTTGAAATTGTAGTTTCGCCGCGCGACTATGAACATCATTAATCAGAAAGGGAGAAGATCTGGCGATATAATCAGGATCGAATACATTCAATTTCTTTCGTTGTGATAGTGGTTTTTGTAAACGGTTAGTACCCTGATCTTCACTTAATATTGGATTATTACTAAAGCGGCCACCTTTCGGTAATGGTAGTGGATACTATACAATCGTACAAGATAATACATAACCAGTTAATTTATATTTGTTAAAGGTTACAGCAGTGAACTACGGCTTGAGTTAGTCACCTTCATCCCCCTAGTGTTGATGCGTTTATTTTTGACCAAAAAGTATTGTCTATTTCCTTTATCATCGGTGTTGACAGTCACTTTCAACAGGGTTTTATTTCCACAAGATGGGCAATATTGCTTGCTGGTATCATTGGTAATTCTTAAAGGATGGAAAATAATCCGTTACGTAATTCTTGCTTTAATAAGCTAAGTATGCATGTTGATAAAATAGTAAAAAAATGTAGATGTAAATAACCTTAGACATGAATGACATCGTAAAGCATAGCTTCTCAGATGACGGATTAGGTAACCATCAACGGATACGATAGGTATACCCATTTGAATTAGGACATTCTAAATAAGATTGATATTATAGTTAAACCCTAATTTCTGCTATAATTCTAGTAGTACATACAGTAATTTTACAGTTATAATATAAATTGTGCTACTATATCGGTACAAACCTGCATAGCAAAGTCTGTAGTTATACAAGCAACTTTGACGGGTAATTCAAGAGAGGTTTCTTCACGGTCTGAACTGCCATTTAACTGTTTAATATTACTTGGAGTAATCCATCCTTCATCATCGGTATCAGAACTTGCTTCATTTCCGCTAGTGTTAACATCGTCTATTGAAGAATCACTCTCTTGTAATATTAACTTTTCTGAAACATTAGCTTTAATTTTATCTTTTTCACACTCAAAGGAGTCCGATTCTATTTTGAGTTCTTCATTAGTATTAACCGGTTTGCTGGAATCACTGTGATCATTACTTATAAGGCTGGTTTTATTGGTAGCAACAATATTAGCAGGTGTTCCCTATATCAATGAATATATTATAATATTATAGCACTATCTTCAGAGTAATAAAGATTTTTAGATAATTTCAGCATCGCGGTATTAGATAATATCATAAGCTATAAAGAATTTAATTTAATCTATTTAACATTTTTACTGCAATAGATGATAGTAATTCTTTTTGAATTTCGGAGGAAATCCATTTGGCTAGGATATTAATAAGCAGTAATAATAATAAATTAATTCTTAATGTTGGTTATTAGTTACGAGTCACCTTAGTGCCATTATAAAATCCCGCAAGGTCAGTTTTACTGTTTTCATTTAGATAAGAGGGCTTAGCTATTAATTTAGCAGGTTTACTTGCTATGATGTCTTTACCACCGCGTTCGGTGTATAATTGATACGTTAATGCCATGACACGGATATCTACAGCTGATAAGCTTGAAAAATCACCCGTCTTTTTCGCATATCTGCTCACTATAATATCATTAATGTGATAGGTTAATATTTCAATAAATATTTAACATTAACATTGTTATCGATGCAGAACGATTTAATAGTAGCATTACGTTAATGACGCCATAGGTATTGTATAATATTGCAAGCGTACAGTACACAGCGAACGTAAAATGTAATCCAATAGAAATAGTAAATTTTAGTGTCATTGATGCCAATTTAGATCGTCATTACACATCCATTACTTTGGTTTTACAGGTCTACGTGGACTTTAAAACGCGTATACAGATTTCCATATTAGTTAATTTATAAAAATGATACGATTCACAAATCATCTACACCAGCACATACCATGCAACATTGTTTAGTGTTGATCATTGATACCTAGTGTAGTTATTATGAAGTTTTTAAGTGCTTAACTTCGGTTTTATCTACCGTACTGCACGTGTAGGTAATGTCAATCACTATATCAGAGATGAGGCAAGCACAGCACTGCAATGTACCTATCTTTACAAACAAATCGATTAAGTGTGATACTACTTAATCCATAAACAGCAGAGCTACGACAGTGTATTATACTCGATAGTTAGTGTGTTGGTGGATAATATTAGATCCTTTAATTAATGCAAACTCAATACTGAAGTCAAGATTACCCGCAAGAACACTTTCTGCTTTTGGTTCCCTAAATTTGATTTCGTAAGGTAACACATTTAATTTCTCCCTTGTCACTTTATCGCGTATTTCGCCAATGACATCGGTCAGGGTATAAATTTCCTTTCCAATTTTGTCTAAACGATCACATTTGATAAAAGCTCCAGTGTCGCAGATGATACACTCCAGTAATTCTTCTAACTTCGAGGTCATGCTTTCGAGTTTCGATTTAATAAAGTAAAGTTCAATTTGATCTTAGTACACAGAGAGGGTAAAAATATACAGTATATTTACGGTACTGAGTACTGACATCAACGTTTTGCGAGTTTGACAGGTAATATTGTACACTACTGTACTGTACTGTAAGTACAGTAGAGTTGAGTCCGAGAGCGTGCACTGTACAGTACTGTACTGTACTGTACACTGAGTACGGTACACTATTACAAAGGTAGATTTGTCCACTGTCGGTGATTCATATTGAGCACAGTACAGTACACTACAGTTCATGCAATGGCATCGATAAATGTGCGTATGGCATGAACTGTGTACAGCACAGTGTAGCGATCGGCCACGGTCGGCTCAAAAAACGGCTCGGCCGGCGGCTCCTGGTCGACTCTGGCTCAACTTTGTTCACAACGGCTCGGCTCAGATTCAACGGCTCGGCCCGACTCAAGAGCCGGACCAAGCTGTCTGAGCCGTAAAAGAGGTACATTAACTGAGTCTAATACTATACTGTATACGTACATATACGTACAGTACTACAAGTACATACACAACCCTAACCAACTGTAGTGTACAGTACAGTACAGTGTACAGTACACTAGTAGAGACCCTAGTGTTCAGTGTACAGTACTGTACAGTACAGTACAATACTGTACAATAACATACAGTACTGTACTGTACTGTACAGTACGTCGTAGTATCATCGCACGGTACAATGTACTGTAACGTACAGTACGCGTACTGTATCCCTGACTGTATTGAGTCTATATACTGTACTGTAGAGCCACGACTCGAAGTCGACTCTGAGGCGGACCAATCGACTCAGGAGCCGAATGGCTCTGGCTCAAAGACACAGCAGTGGTCCGACTCAAAATCCGCGACTCGGCTTGACTCATGAGTCGAGTCGACCGTGGCCGATCACTAGCACAGTGTACAGTACAGTACACCATTTTGAGCGCGATTTGGTTTACAAAGTACTCTTATCTTTTCTGAGGCTGGCAGATAATTTGAGTTAAAGTACAGTACAGTATAGTACTTGATACAGTTGTACTGAAACTACTAAACCATATTTGTCTACTTGTCTACCATGATGGCTTATGATGGTTTATGTAAAGATTACTGTATTTCCTTTTTCTACGGTATACTATATTTAAAGAGAAAATAAACATGCTTGTACAGTACTGTATAGTATCTGTCTGATGCATTGTACAGTATACTGGCTCATGTCAGATGGCACTTTACGACGTTGAACCATGATTGAAGCATGCTTGAACCATGAGCTACGGTTCAACCTAGTTCGACCTGTTGAAGTATCAGGCCGGGAATGTCAAGAATGTGGTATGCATCGCCGTACAGAGAGCATAGTACAGTATAGAGAGGTCATAATGCACCTCTACAGTACTGTATGTGTCATGCAGTGCTGTAGTGAGTGTACACTGTACAGTACTGCCAGTCTGCCATACAGTACTGTACTGTACTGTACACAGTGTACAATGTACAGTACAAGTCCCTGTTTACTGACTATAGTACTGTACCGTACTGTACTGTACAGTACTGTACTACTGTAAAGCAAGACCACTAAAAGAAAATGGATTATTAAATACAGTAGATTGAAATTAATCCCCCAATTAATTAATCACAGTACCGGTACTATAGTGTACAGTATACAGTACTATAAACTGTAGCGACTGACAGTACAGTACAGTACGTACAGTACAGTACTGTACAGTGCAGTTATCAGTTTTAAAACTACAGACTGTAGTCTACAGTACAGTACTGTACAGTACACTGTACTGTACTGTACTATTTGTGAGGTACAGTAGATACAGTATAATTCCATGAGCTTCATGCGAAGAACTCTTATATAATTTCGCAATAATCCGCGAGATAATACATTATATATAAATAATTATACAAGAATTTTTTGAACCGCTAGGCTAAGATTGAGTAAAACAGAGGAAAAGAACAAACGTTCGGATTTGAACGCAGAAGTTCTTTACTGCGGAGGTGTTTAGGGCTGCAAGTAGAGAGAAGTGGCAGAAGTCATACCGAATCCAGAATCCAGCTTTATTTTTCGATGCACAGTGCTTGGTGCGGGACAGCAATATAAGGAAGGCTATTTCATTCTGTGGATTGTGCTTTAGCTATAAAATCATAGAAGATCGCGAGATACGTTTCAGCTCTTCTTAGCATGAAATTGCAAGGATACGATATCTACTAAGTTTGGTAACGCGTCTTTCGAATTTTAGTGATGTCAGCTGTAATTACCATCCCTGTCGTAATAATCGGTAAGTTGTTCTTAGTATAAAGTTAATTAATATTTGCACCTATAGGACCGTAGTGCTGAAAGGATACCTACAGAATTATTACAGATTTTTTATAACATGAACTGAATTTGCTTAACTGATATTTATTGTATTTAAACTTCGATTCCAACTAGTAAACTTGCATGTAGTTTTCCAGAACAACGCGTTTGCTCGTTGTTGCATTCATTCGGCCCGGTAATAACAACGTACGGTTCGGTAATCACAACGTACGGTACTCTCGTATACCATACTGTCTCGCTGTACCGCCGGTCTTACGGTAGTAGTAGTACAGTACTGTACATACGTACGTTATACATTATGTGGTACACAAGTGTACGCGTACATGTAGTAAAATTTAATATTTATTTATATACACATCAAGCGAGATAAAATAAAGAAAGGACAGGACAGCTTTTTTAATTCTAAACTTTTAATTTCTAGGTAACGGTCCTTCGGGTCTGAGTTTATCACATATATTATCTGGGAACTGGCCATATTACAACGGTCAAATTCACCCAGATGAATTATTGCAAAATAAACTGAATCAATTTGGGCAGGAAACTCTACTAAAGCAGGTAAAAAGTTGCTGACGTCATGATTTGACTGTGTTCAATAGTAAAATCTATTTATTATGTATCACCGGATAATAGACTACATCGTCACTGTACTATATGTATTGCTTTATAGCGCCATCACATCACAAAATTTGTAACGGAGGAGAATCGATAGCTTGATTAATTAAATGATTTTGCGGTTATCGCCTGTACACTGTCGTATAATAATAGTGATAATAATATAATTATTATTTGGTGTCGCAACCATAAGGGTCTGTAGCCCGTTTGATTACATTGCTTATTTAAAACTCTTAAATGTTATCTAAATATTAGAATAATATCATACTTGTACAGTACTGTAATCTCCTTACGCTTACGTTTCGGTATTTGATCCTTACATACAGTAGTACTGTACTACTGAATGTGATAGCTTACAGTGAACATTAAGGTAATAATTAATTAATTAATTATAATCAGCACGGAGAAAGCGTTGGACAAGCTAGCTATGATAATGATTACATTACTGTATATGAGTATAAAGCAGTATAGTAATCCCACTGTGAGGCGTAACCCAGTTTTTGATATTACTAAGTATTATGCTTAAAAGTGTGTATAGATTTCTTTTTCCTTTGCTGCTAGTAGTAAATTTGTTGATCATTCAGTTAAAAATAAGTTCTTTTCGCTTTCTGCACCATTACAGTATTAGAAGTCGGATACTAGAATTAATAAAATCAGATATTAATGTGATTGTTCGTAGATAGATAAATAACTGTAAATTGCCAACACGGTAGAAATACGCTTAAGAAAACACCTGACTGTGAATTCAATTAGCGCTGTCATAATTTGAGATCGTTAGATTCGTCTACTAGTAATACTGCTGTGATGTGGTCTATCAAGGACCTCTAAAATTACAATGGTAGTGATTAAGATCTATGACTGTACGTGTAAAGTCAATGCTACACCTGATGAGTTACGTAAAGTATATTCCTGTCGGGAAGCAATTTATTAATCTTTGAAAATAGTGTATGGTGCACTACCATGGAGACTAGGCACAGTCAGTGGAGTCAATAGCACCATACTCTTATACTCGTATATAACTTGATAAAGGACTCGGTAGTTCAAGGACTTTCATGTTTCTTGTTATCTAAGTATTGAGAATCTCTAGGAATTATGATCAAGATTTACGAGTTTGCGAGTGAAATAAAACTACGCGGTATTACCAGAATCACTTTTGCAACTAAAAGAGATAAATTTTTATTGTAGTACAATTTTAGCTACTGTACAATATAACGGTAATTAGAACTGATCGAAAACTATAATTTTTATTATACAGTATATCCGATAGTCCATGTGTAAAACTTTCTCTACTTCAAGATGTTATACAATTATAAATGTTTAAGCCATCTTTCACCTAATAATTTTATTTACCATATTTACTGTTTTTACGACAAAATCTGTACATAGCTAATTAATTAAAGGGTATTTATAAACTCGTCATGATTAGAGTAACAAAATAATAATTAATCAATGAAATGATTCACAAATATATTACAGTAATCCTAGGTATTCGTAAGTTATCAGCAGTCAGTCATTATTGGAAATACTAGTTATTGATATGTTGGATGGTATTTCGATTAACAGAATTTAGAGGAATTAAGTGATGGCTTAAACGGTAGATCATCGAACCCTGTGGCTGTTCTATTTGACCAACTTCATCACCCAAATGCAGATCTTGGTTTGGATATGGAATCATGCTTAACATGGCGTTTTGATAGTAATAACACAATTCCACATCTCGTCTTGGGTAAGTACTCTGCTGGTGGAAGTTGGAGAAGCATACACAAAGATGGAAGAACGCTAGGCTATTCTAACTGGTTAGAGTTGCCTGGCTATAGAATGCGTGATTGGCTAAATCGTAGAATCCCTTCGAAAGAAACTGGTACTTTGGACAGATTAGATCTAGGTCTGGTTAGACACTATTATGCCGATTATGCCAAATATATGCAAATGGATAAATACCTACGCGGCGGCGTAACTGTTCGATCAGTCCGTCGATATAATTTAGCATGTAATTTTCTGAACGACCGTGCTGATATGAATTCAGATTCAGACGAATCCTGTTATGAAGCAAACGTCATTAATGGTGAGACTTGTAAAAGATTACATCCCTTAAATTCTACCGGCTCAAATTTAGATTCTGACGGCGAAGAAGAATTCGATGAACGCAGCCGAGAAGATAGCCATGACAAAAATATAAATTGGATTATAGATGTTGAAGATAAGGATGGTGACGTTTCTTCTAGTTATAAAATATTAGCGAGCCAAGTAGTTTTAGCGACAGGTGTTTACGATATCCCAAAAACTTTAAATATTCCGGGAGAAGGTCTTCCTTTTGTCTACCATCGCTGCCCGGATTTTAAGCATATTGATCTATCCTCTAATACTAATGGGCCGATTTTAGTTATTGGATCTGGTCTATCAGCCGGTGATACAATTCTTGCTGCTCTAGAGAACGGTTTTAATGTTGCACATTCATTCATACAGAAGACAAATGATCATAGCTTAGTATTCAATCGTTTACCATTATCTTTTTATCCTGAGTATCGTAAAGTATACGAACTTATGACTTGTACTAGCAGAGATGGTTGCGATTGCTATGTTCCATTTTGTTGCTATAAACTGATAGAAATAAAATTCGATGGCACTTGCATTCTAGAAAGTATGAAAAATTTGGAACGCATCGCTATTTTAGCATCGAGCGTCGTAATTGTAATAGGATCGAGCCCAGATCTAAGCTTTTTGACGGATAGCACAATTGCAGGGGCAGTGCAGAACGGAACGTATGTTGATTATAATTATCAATCGAACCCTATTAAAGTTGACCCATATACTTATGAAGTTATCGATCAACCGGATATGTATGCTATGGGTCCTCTTGTCGGTGATAACTTTGTACGGTTTATAACTGGTGGTGCATTTGGTATCGCTAGCTCCATTGTAAAAAAAGCAAATTTGTTTTAAATTGCTAACGACTATAAGTATGATATCGTATACAAATTAATTGTTATATGTGTGTCAGCTGTATATACTAAGTTATTATAAGCTTTTCTTTAAAATACAAGCGGAATATATTACGGTTTCTACCTATCATCGGACTAAGTACTTTTGTTTCTACACATGTTTAAAGTTGAAGAAAATGTACAGTTTATTAGTTGTTGATGTTTAAATAGCTTTATCGCTTGTAATATTCTAAACCGATTTGCCTACTTGTCTTAATATATATATATATCCGTATATTTATAAGTCAGCTCCTTCTTCTATGTTAAATGTTATACGAACAGTATTCGATATGTTTATGTCATAAAGGCAACTTTCATCAGCTTTTTTATACTTCATCTATGATACGAATATAATGCTTAGTAACCTTATGATCAAAGTCTTGATATAAACGGCCAAAATTGTAACGTCTTGTATTGTAACATTGTTCACGAATTTTTCTGAAATATTTAAGTTACAAAGTAAAGGGTAATATGCGCCTGCATTTTATTACGTTCTCATCTCACGTCTTTTATTCATATACTGACTGTACATTAGTATATTGTAAATTGTAGAGAAAAATTAATACCATCAGCATATACTGTACTGCAGTTTCCATAGTTTATTTGTACGCCTGATCATTCACCATATCATGCTAAAATACACTTAATCTCTCATTATGCGTCGATGCCAATCTCGTATCATTTTATTGATCAAAGCTGAGAATAACTAAATACGGTGTCATGTACTTTGCCACAGTGTTCGTTAGTACGTACTTTTGTGTTCTCTACTGGTAGGAACAACAGAATACTGTATTACAGTATCTGCACTCACGATTACAAGATATTAACGCGTCCATAGATAGGCAGCTATTGGCCATATACTGTGCACGAACTTTACGTGTAATGGAAATCATTTCTCACAATTTTAAAGTGTTAACGTCGATATGTAGATTAAATTTATGAGCCTAGTTTGTATTTATGTGATGTAAATCAGACTTATGATTTTGGACTGTCAACATATCGATACTAGATCATCAAGCACATATTTACGAGTACATACAGTAGTACGATATAGCCTTTTCTCTATTATATTTCAAATATTGGGTAACATGTGAAAGTGCCGATATTATGGATTTTGCAGACTAGCGTACAAAATCTGCTGGTGAGGATATAAAAGAAGGAACTGTTATTGATGAAACAGAAGCGAACTTTCTCAATTAGATGTGAGTTTACCGGGAGCTTAAACAATAATATCAACGCTACAGACTTGAGATAGTTTATTCACTCTTTAAAATTCAAATACTTACAGCGTTATATAAATATTTGAACATTTAGCTAATCAAGACGCTATGCTTATACTTTACAACAACCTTAATACCAGGGGTAAAGATGAGCTGATGTTAAATTTTGCAAAAAAGATAGAACGTTTTAAATTGCTTTATACTTATATTAATTCTTTGGATCATATCTAGACTATTTATATGCTGCGTACGTTTATACTCCCTATTACATAATAAAGGATGACAAATAAAATTTATTAATAATTATTTCACTGTCAATGATTTTCCTTCGTAAGATATATTTTAATAACATATAAATAAGAGAAGTCATGTAATAAAATTGTCTATTTTATATCTTTTTACTATGGTAAATAAATTTTCACGGGATCTCTATAATATATTGTACAGTTAAGAAAACATGAAATAATATTTGAATTTTGAAATTATGGTACATTGCTCCTCTCCAGATCAAATAACTATTTCTTGCATTCTTATAAGGATAGTATTGCCTTTCCTATTCAATACTTGAATTTATGTTTTTAATAATATATTAAAATTCGAGCTTTTTGATGTGGTTACATAAAGAGCTAAAATTGGCTATTTGATCTTCGTGGCCAACAAAATAATCAGCATTATGATAATAGTTACACCTAGTACAAGAATCAGAATCATTTTGCAAGATCTTTTTTGGTACTTCTCCCCCTAATGAAATATGATTATATTTACATTCAATATCACCTTACCGTAAAATTTGGATTATTCTAGATTTCGATTAACTGAAAATTCACGTATAAATATTACATACTACCGTCATTACCTTTTCTAACTGCTTTAGTCCTTCTTCTACTTGTACTGCTGCATGCTCAATGTTATAATCGATGCGATCAAGAACTGTTCCCTGTTAATTTTTAAGACAAAAAACTTAAGAAAAGATACGTCTGAAGCTTCTTAGCAGTTCCTAATAATAGACTACTTTAATACCTGATCTACGATCAGTGTTGACAGGTCCTTAAATATTTCATTTAGTTCTGAAATGGATCGAACAATAGCGACAATTTCTCGTTCTCGCTCTTCGATTAAGGCGGTGTTATCTTCGACATATTGCAGCTGATCTTTCGTAAACCCCTTGTGCGTATGCAAATTTTTTAAACTCATTATTTCGCTTATAGAAATAAAATATTAATAGAAATATGAAGGTATATTATAATTATCTCATTATACCCTATCGTATACTTCTGGTTCAATATTATCAGAATCAAATGGCGATGAGTTTACATTATTCTTTATTGGCCCACCGATACTGGAACTTAGGAATTCTTCTCTAGACTTTAAACCTATGCATAAAGATCAATTCTAAAATGATCCAGAAAGAGTCTAGCTAACAATCTTAGATCTTACGTTTTAAATAGCTAGATTGGCCTTTGCGGAAAGTTGATGACATTTCTTGTAATGTTACAGCCAGAGACGCCATAACGTTCTTCGCAATTTTCTGTTCTTGTGACGATGCAGAACGATTGCGACTACCAATATTCTTAATACTACGTTGGCATCGATGAAACATCTGCCATAATTTAAGTTGTTGAAAATGATGCAAATTGATAAAGTTGTTATAATCGAGAATAATGAGAACATGGATATCGAACCATGTCACGGTATCAAGTGATGGATGAGCTCTATTACCTCCGTAATTTCCTGTGTTAAAATTTCAATACTATGTTCATCTTCCATATTGTCATTAAAATCTGGTCTATTTAATTGCTTATCATGTAATGATGATAGTTCTTTCACTAGAAAGTTAAGTGGGTTGAAAAGAATTCCATACTGATGATTATTTTAATCAGCAAAAGAGAGCTACTATGCAATGCTAAAGGAAGTGCTAGTTCTTACTTTTTTGTTTGATTTGAGTAAAATCATAATGAATCTATTCCATAAAAATGTTGACCAAAAATATAAGATTGAAAGATCAAATAATTATCCTTATTCAATTTATCCTCATTATAGTATACGTAAAAATTCGGTGATTTGAAAAAATTGCGTGAATTACATGATTACACTGATTATGTAAAGTATTTTATACTCAGGTCTAGTAGTAGTTACAGTATGATCTCAAACCTCGTCCACAGCATCGACCCTATTTAAACAATTTAAACCAAGACGAATAAATATATTTATTGATGTTGTTTGTAAGCTTTATGAAGGTATGAAAATCACTACAATTTTAGTTCAACTTAATTTATCGTAATAACTACTATGAATGTTTCAAAAGATATTTAGCTGCTCATCTTACCAAGATGGAGGTAGACTTGATTTAGCTTTGCCATCCCTAATACCGACTTCTACATCTTTCCCAATTAAGGCCACTTTACTTTCCTCCTGAAAGAACGCATCGATACAATGAGATAAGCAAAAGCTATATTACGATTAGCATTTCTTTGGAAAAAGGGAGCAATAAAGATTTGATTTATCTACGACGAATCAGCTCCATTACAAGCTAGTTCAGTTGCAGAAATTTGTTACAGTATCAAAATATTGTTCTATTGCGAGAATAGTGATACACCTAAGCAAAGACTTAAGGTTGCGTTTATAAAACTGTACTATATATCGTTCATGGACCATGTCGTTATTATTTTCTTTATGAGTTAGTAACTATCAGGAAATAGAATTTCATTTTTGAGATAACTAAAGTCAACTTGATACTGCAGTTGATAAAAATCAGATGGTAATTCCATACTCGTGTTTACTTAACAACGAGCTTAACTATTAGAAAGAAACATCTGTTACGTAAAGAATACCTTACAACAATTTTGTTTGAAGTAAATTTAAGAATTATTAACATTTAACTCATAACAACATTACATATACAAATTTAAGTATGTGTACTGAGAAATTATGATCAAAGTTATTTTTAAAATCGCAGAGTACAGCAGGTTCAAAGATAATTAGCAGTGAGATTAAAAAAGTAAAGAAATACATTTCTCATCAAGCAGCCTAGATCTGTTAACTGCTTCCTTTAAAAGCACATCTCCAAATAAAATAACAAATAGAAAAATAAAATCTTAATCTAATTTTCGCAATCTTGAATATTTATAATTGAAAGTATACTTTATTACGATCTCGACCTATCTCGTCCTCAAAATCCTCAAATTAAAGCTCTAAGCCGCTGACATATATCAAATTAAGGTTCCAATACTATTAGCATGATCAATTACTCATATTTTTCCTATGAGATGTCGTGTCTAATTGACGTAGCTTTTATTATGAAGAGCTTGGATCAATGATCCAAGAAGTCATAATAATGAATTCTTACACACTACCTTTATTACCTTGTTCAGCCATAATAAGAGTAATGTAGTATCAGTATAATTGTAGATTAATTTAATTTATGATTGATGAATACTATCCAAACGAAGAGAAATTAAATAGTTACCGAGTACAGCAATAACTGCTATACCTAGCTAAAGTATTACATTGCAATTTCAGATTATATATTGTAACTTAACGCCATAACTACTCTAAATCATGGAGGGTTTAACATTTATACTGTAACTAAACAGTAACTCGGTTTGTTGAATTTAATGATTGAAAGTCTAAGATATGGCATTATGATACTACTATCACTACGATAGACAAGTAAGAACACATAGTACAGTATTAGATCCACTGGCTCTTAAACAAAAATTTAAATTTATGAAAAAGAGTCTATTCGGGTCAGTTTAAGAGTACTTCCAATATATGGGTACTGTAGTGCTAAAGTGTAACTTTGTCAGGGTAAATACAGGAATCAATCAGTGCAATTCGAAAGTCTTCACAAGACCTGAACAAGCGGATACAGCAATTTGTTACGTAGACGTCACCACTGCCGTCTTCATTATAGCCTACATAGGGTTCTGAATACACCATACAGCAATATACGAGTGTGATCATTGGTTATTACTGAACTAAGTTCCTAGTATCCATAATACAGTACAGTAACATGCAAAGGCTCCAGTGTTGACAAATGGTTTAATTAATGACCGTATGGATCGCTATGCAACATTGATATTCTATTTCATACACATTTCAGGTAGAGCGATTATCACGATTGCTATATACTTCTTAGCTTTCCAGTAGATACCATAATCAAGTAGATTTATATAAAAGTATTATTAGTTTTAGCTTTACATAAGATACAAATGTATACTAAACAGCCAAATTTTGAATTAGATACAGCTAGATGCAGTAAATAAAAATTCAGCTCTATCTTGATCGGTAGTGCAAATTTAATTTTAATGCCCATTTATTAGAGTTAACTTTTCGATTTATGATTTTAAATGATGTCATTGTATGGGAGGAAAAAGGTTATCAATGCGTAGAAACTAGCTATTTAAATGTATACGTTTTGTTCAATATAACTGTACTGTGCGTATATTAGCATTTGGTTATGGTCTCATGTGCTACGTGTGCGTATATCATCATTACAGTATATGCATAATTTCAAATCTTTGTTGTTGGTCATTCATGAAAATATATATCGTTATCTCATCTTTCTCACATTAAGGTAGAATTGCGTAGAACGTAAAAAGATGTATTCCTTTTCGAGACCGCAGTAAGGTGTAAAAGTTTTAACAAGATTAAAGATCTGTCTTCATCATTCG